ACCTGTTGCATTTAAAAATTGCATTAATAATAAATAGAAATGAGAAAATTTCTGATGCATCTTTTCACAGGTTTATTTTCAAATTAACTTCACACTAAAATAAATGTAACAATATCCCTATACTCATTGAATAGAACTATTTTGTTTTACAATTACATATATTTTATTTTATGGACTATTATAATTTATAATGCTATCATGGATTACCATTTTATTATTAAAAGAAATACCAGAGAAATGCACAAGCTTCTGTAACAGTTTATAAAATTTCAGATTTCCTCAAAATGTAAAAATGCAAAACGATTGGATTAAGTGCATCAGACAGGAAATAAATGATTTCAAATGGCTTCCATCAAAAAATGCAGGAATATGCAGTGACCATATTTCTGTAATAAAGATTATAAGGGTTATGATGGAGAAGAAAGCATTCCCATGTTTTCAAGTTAGTTATATTTATATGTCATCAGTTACACAAGGAAGCAATTCACGTCATCATTGTACATTGCAACATTCTTATCTATACAAAAAATATAAAATGCATTCACCAATATTCCATGTATTTTATTAAAACTTAGAAAGGGCATAATGACATTGTGAATAATAAACCCTGCTAAGGACTGGGATCATCATCATCATACCAATCACCATTACAAGTAGAGTCAATTTTATATTAATGCTTAACAAGTTAACTAAATTGGCATAATCAAGTTTTTATATGAAATACACATCAAGTATTTAATGTAACAAATAAATTAACAAAAAATTTCTGGAAAAGTTTAAAAAAATTAGAACATATGACTCTGATCAAAAATCATTCGCGTTGACACTGCATTTGTATGGGCATAAGGCATTATCTTTGGACAAATGGCTTACATCTTCCTCACACTAGGACATTAAGAAAGTAATCTTGTCATACCTGTTCAATAATTTTAATAAGATTGTTTTAAATAACTATTCTCAATGTCATTTTATTAACACTACATTAAAAGGTGGCTACAAAACATTGATGGTATGCCTGGGGTGATTTCTACAAACCTTATTGACTAATGGTGATGGGGATCCTCTGGGAATGTAGGATCATGACATTCAATTTGGTCATGGATTGAGAAATCAATCCTTGATATATTTGATAACAAACATTTATTATAATATAAGAATGAAAAAAAGATGTAGGTGTAAGGCAAAATTTTACTGGAACTATTATTTTTAGCAATTTATGATTTATTTTTTTATTTATGACTTTATCCATTTTCAATGATACCGATATTTTTAATTATTATTATCCAAATTATACTCATGCCTATATAAATTAATTTGATTGTGGCTATTTCTATGCTTAATTATTTTATTTACTTGCCATAGGTATGCACAGCATTTAATAAATTAATGATAATAATTAATAACACAACATTCTAAGTGCATAAAATATAATAAATTAAAAGTAAAATTTTTACAAACCTCATTGGTTATGGTGATGGGGATTCTTTAAAACTGAATGATCATGATCTAACAAGTCATGGATTGATGAATCACTGGAATCACACATTATCTTTAATAAATTTAATAACAACATGTACTACAATTTAAGAATGAAGAATATTTTGTAAAACATTAAATGGAAAAAAATTTAATTTGAATCACTCATAATTAATAAATTTTAATTAAATTGCAAGTTAGCTTGCGGAGTTTGAAGCTTGAATTGAACAAATTACAAAATTGTTTATTTTATAAAATTGATTGGTAAGTTGTTTAATATATTTATTTAATTTAGTATATTTTTTATTCCCAGACCTAAGCATTGTTAATAAAAATTTTAAAACCAATCAAGCAATAGAATTTAGGATCTTAGGAACAAGTGCTGTTAGTCGTTAGTGTAGTAGTAGTATGTATTAGTGTAGTGGTTGGTAGTTTCTAGTAGTATAATCTGTTAATGTTCGTTAGTGTTATCTGTTATTTATTTCAATCAGTAATTACTAATTAGAATCAGTAGAGTTTAGTTTTAGCTTAATCATTAGAGTTTAGTAATTTAATTACTAATTAGTCGTCGTTTAGTGTTGTTACAGTTGTTAATGAGTTAAGTCAGTTAAGTGTTGTTGGTGGTTCACAAAAATTTTTTTTTATTTAAAATGCAAAAAGATACTTAACCGTCATACAGCAATATCTATCCTAAAACTGCATCTAGTACCTTTTAAAACATTTTGAAATTTTAAATAAAAGCAATTTTCCGAAATTAGTAAATATACGATCGTAACTTTTGACTTGGGCGATAAAAAATCACCCTCCAATTTCCCTCCGGAAGTAAGCTCCTTGTTCGACCGTCAAAAATGAGCGAAGGCCGTTATATTTATTCTAATTATATGACCCAGTCCAAATGCAAAACGTCAATAACGCAGGTAATCTCGGAGACGGCAAAGTGGTTTTTCCCTGCAATATTTATTTATAGTCAACAGCTTAAAGAGACTCATAAGTTTTTCCCACGGTACAACTGAAAGTTAAACTAAATAATAAAAGCTTATAATAAAAGTTTAAAATAAAAATTTTAAACCAATTTTGACTAGAAAAACCACAAAACCTCTATGAAGTTATAAAAATATGATACATTACAAAATGTGTAACAAAATTTTATACGTATCAGTTAAAAATATAGTTTCACTTTAAAAACAAATAATTAATTTTTAGAAACTTGCTTCCAGAGGTAACTTGCCGTTGAAAAAAATTTTCAATGTTAAAACGTTGGTAGGGCGCTTCCAGTTATATAATTCCATGATTTTTACTTCATAATCAGCAGATAGATCTATTTAGTTTTAGAAATTGAACTATAACATTATGTTGTATGAATTATTCTTTTCTTCGATAAACGTTTTTCATTCATGTTTTTCAATTTTAAAGTCATTAACATTTAAAAATTAAAATTCTTCAAAAAACCGCTTATTTTTTCTAGTTTTTACTTCATAACCGGCGGATAGATCTATTTAGTTTTAGAAATTGAACTATAACATTTCTCAACGGGTACAAAGCATAAAATTCAGGTTATCAATCAATCAATCAATTAACTTATAAAGCGCTATTTCCGCGATGTTCAACAGCGCTCCTCAATGAATTTTGAAAACAGATGGGTCTTGAGATCCACTCTGAACATCGCAAGTGATGGAGAAGTAGTCAGAGAAGTAGGTAGAGAGTTCCAGAGAAAAGGACCAGAAAAAGCAAAAGCAGATTTGGCAAAAGAGTGTTTAACACGAGTTAAGAAAAAGCGAAAAGAAGAAGACGATCGTAAACCGGGGCGTTTAGGTTCAATTAATATATCTGATAAATACTTAGGAAATAATTTAGATTGAGACTTATACATGAACGTGCAAATTTTAAAAATTATTCTATATTTTATAGGTAGCCAGTGCAAGAGAACAAGATATGGAGATATATGAGAAAAGAAAGGGGCACGAGCAACTAGACGAGGAGCAGAGTTAAAAGATTTACTTAAAGGATAGAGTATAGAGTCAGGAAGATCATAGTAGAGCGAGTTACAATAATCAATCCTAGATAAGACTAACGAAGTAACAAGAAGGAGAAGAGTAGGATCATCAAGAAAAGGCAAAAGTTTTTTTATTCTACGTAGATGAAAGTAAGAACTTCTAGCAACACTATTAATCTGAAAAGAGAGAGACATAGTAGAATCACAGATAAAACCTAGACTACGAAACTTATGAGAGACATCAAGAGTTTTAGAATCAGGTAAGATAATAGGAGGAATAGTAATTGAGTGTTTAGATTTATTAAAACAAATTAATTCAAACTTAGAAAGATTAAGTTTAAGACACATAGAATCAGACCAAGCGATAATTGAAGAAAGACATAGAGATAAATTATGAAGAACACTATTAAGATTAGATGGAGGAAAACAAGTATAATTATAAGAATCATCAGCATATAGTTGACTAGAGAAAGAAAAGTTATTAATAATACGAGGTAGTTCAGAAGTATAGAGTATAAATAGAAGAGGGCCAAGGATAAAACCCCGAGGTACCCCGAAAGTAAGAGTAGAGGAGTTAGAAGTAGAGTTATTGAGAACAACAGAAGAAAAACGATTACAGAGATAAGAAGAAAACCAAGATAGACAAGAATCAGTAATATTAAAAGAAAGATGCAGTAGTCTCAAGAGAATAGTATGGTCAACAGTATCAAAAGCTGAAGAAAAGTCAAAAGCAAGAAGAAGAGTAAGATTACTATTGTCACTAGAAAGAAGGATATCATTGTGTATTTTAAGTAAAGAAGTTTCAGTACTGTGAGCAGGTCTGAAACCAGATTGAGATACAGGTAGCGAAGAGTTAAAGTCTAAATAGGATGAGAGTTGATTAAAAACAACTTTTTCTATTATTTTAGAGATGAAAGTAATATTAGTTACAAGTCTATAATTAGATAAAGAGGTTATATTTTGATTCAAAATCGTTTAAGGGTAGATTGCATTGTCAAGCGTTTTACATTTAATTTATTTTTTTTTAAATTCAATAACATTTTAAAAATAATTACTCAAAAAACAGTTTTCCTTTTTTAAGTATTTCGGCTGTTTACATTATACTGTCGCTAACCAACGAACACGCAGGCTGTATTTAGTTTACTAGTTTACTAGTTGGAGCTTATAAGTCTATTTATACTGTTGACTATAAATAAATATTTCTGGAAAAACCACTTTGCCGTCTCCTAGATTACCAACGCAACGAGTACAAACAAGAGAGTAATATATTTTCGATATTTTGAAAAAAAGTACAGCCTCAAACTTTTTTTGCACCTGGCCCCTGATACGTTAGCACCGGCCCTAACCAAAACACATAAAATAAAACCAAAATCTTTGTAAAACTGTTTTGGCTTACTATACTATTTTCGTAGAGTATTTATTATATAGGCATTACATAAGCAGGGGTTGACGGGAAGTTTGACAACACATAGTTTCGTATCTTCACCTGGATCTTTCGTATCTTTACATTCATATGATGGCTGACGAACAAGAAAATGACAAAACCGTTTGGTGTGGAAATTTGCATAAACTTGTTAGTGAGGAAATCATATACGAACTTATGCTACAGGTTAGTTAGAGGATGATTAGGTTTGTTTTTTTCCTTTAAATTTAATTTCAATATTTTATAAATAATTAAATTTAATTTTATTATTACTTTAGTATTATTAGAAGAGTTTATATTCTTTAGTTTTAGAAAAGTTGTTATATAAATTAAAATGTAACTTTACTTAATTAATCATAGACAAATTTTATTTAAATTTAATTAATTCTAATGTAAATATAATTTTATTCATTTTCAAATTCAACTAACTAAATTAAAAGATTAATCACTTTAAGCAGATACCTGATATGTATTTTTTTTAGTTCACATTTTGATTTTAACATTATTATAATTTCTTATCATTTTTTTTTGTTACATCATTTAACGACACTTTGTAATATCTTTTTTTTATTGTTTATCTACTTATATATACTATATAGGCTGGTCCAATTGATACAGTGAAATTAATTACAAACAAGGACCCTTCCAATTCAAATTATGCTTTTATCAAGTTCCAACACAGAATTTCTGTTGCTTTTGCAAAAATGCTATTCAATGGATTGTCTTTATACAATAATCCAATTAAAGTTCAGTCAAGATACAATTCTAAAACTAGAAGCTCAAATCTCTCAGAGACTGAATTAAACAGCTATTTAAAATGGAATGATGAACTTAAAATGTCTTATATTTTAAAGAAACCTTTGGAGAAGAATGATTTCCAAGATAATTACAAATATCAGGTTGGTGGAATGATACCGTATTCTCAAAATACTAGTTCAAACTTCCTTATGCCAATGCTAATTATTCCATGGGGAAATAATTCAAGAACAGAATATCAGATGTTTAGTCAGCGAACAATGCCTCGTCAATTTTAATACCTTACTAAATAATTGATGCATCCACCATTTTTAAAGAGTGTTTGTTAGATGTGTTTAAAACTCTATTTAAATTAATTATTTATATTTAACTTTTGAGATATACTTTTGCAATTATTTAAATATAACTTATTTTTTACGAATGAATCAAATCAATTATAAATTTTTTAGTCTTTTGTGGAACAGTTGAGGTCAGCGTCATCTACCTTTTATTTTTATATTCGTAACTTTGTAGACCAGAAGAAATTCTTTCTGAAGTGGCAGCAAATACGAACAAAGTTGCCAAAAGTTAAAGTAGAGTGTATATATTTAGACAAACTTTTATCGAACAAATCTAGATATTCAAAAGCACATTTGGAAGCTGGCTTTTTGGGGCAAAACTAACTGTCTATACCTTGTACCTTGATTTAATTACTTTTTTTTTAGTAATGAGCAGTACCCAGTCGCCGTGTAAGATTTGTGTTTTGCTATTCTTTCTATTAACGGTAAAAATCGTGTGGTCTAGCTCTAGGAAAAGGATAAATGTATTAATGCAGCACCACACCTTTTTCTTATAACTTCTTTTTTTATATTTTTAATGTACATTTGACTCAGTTTTGGCATTTGATGCTTAGTTGACCAAATTTTTTTACCGTTTTTAAAAGAATAAAAATAAATAAACACATTTTCAGCGGAATACACACACCTCAAAACAAAAGAATTACAACGAAATAACTAACACTTTAGCAATAGTCCCAACATTTCGATCATTTCTTAAATAAACAAAAACACTGCACAACTACCAAGACCAAACAACATCCTAAGACCAATACAAATGTTCGATTGATTTACAACAAACTGAATTATATGGTCGCCACTATATCACGAATCTTATATTTAAAAGATATCTATTTTTAATCTATAAAGGTACAATGAAATTTAATAAAATAATTTTATTTCAAAAATCAAAACTCAATAAGCAGCTTTAAAAAATCTAATTGAATAAATGACTTTAATACTATGCTTGACAAAAATCAAACAGAAGTAGATAGATTAAAAACAAAGAACTTATATAAACATGCAAAAAAAATCTTCATTTTGTTGACTAGAACTTGAAAACTATGTCTCTTATATGAATGGTTAATTCAAACAAGCTTTGGTCATATGATGCCTTTGCTTGTTAACTTTGCTTTCTGCATAAAAAGAAAAATTAAAGTCGTCGTAAATTTTTATTTAATTAAAATTTCAAAGAGTTCAATACCAATTTTATTTTCTGTTATTGAAAAAAATTGTGAAATGAACTTGCAAAGTTAATTTTATTGAAAAATCTTATTAAAAGTCTGAACATATCCCAGATGAAACAAGTCTGATGAACGTTTCTGATGAACGAAGATACTGACCGTCGAAACGAATATTTTTTTAATGTCTAATAATTTACTTATAAGGCACCATTTCTATAGTAAACAAATCGGCATAGTGTAACTGTAGTCCATTTTCACTTGGAATAGGTTTGCGGTCAGGTATAAGCAATACTGAAAGAGAGCAGGCTAGTCAGTGCAAAATATAAACTCTAATGTATCAAAGGAATCGTGAAGATATCATTTTGGTCCAGTCTACAAACTGATTAAATATGGTCCCGATCCAAGCTCCTCCAAATTGTTGAAACACGAAGACTCAGAAACCAGAGGCAACACTTTCAAGCTCAAAACACAGTCGTTCAAAACATTATTAGAATATATTACTTCTGCAATTATGTCGTTATTTTATGGAATAATCAATCTTCGTTTAGCGTCCAGAGACCCAGTTCCCCCGAGGTAGGACTTCCCCGACTAAGTCCGAGGTTCGACCAGGACTTCTTTGGCCGGCTTTTGGGACGTGTGCCAGGTACTTCAACATCTACAAGAGAAGTTATGGCACAGTTTCCACTTCGTTTGACAATGACCAAACCACTGCAAACGGTGTTGCCGGCATTCATCCTTTATATCATCTAAACCAGCACGACGCAGGATTTCGGTAGATTTGACGTGGTCCTTCAGACTAATTCGTTGCATCCATCGGAGCAATTTCATATCGATTCGTTGAAGTTGTTGTTCCAGTTTGGCTGTCATTGGCCATGTTTCTGCACCATATAACAACACCGGACGTATAACAGATTTATAAAGTCTTGATGGTAGTGGGATGTCACGCCGCATCAATATAGAGGCAAGGAGATGCAATTTATTCCAGGCTGCACGTATGCGTGCTCGAACAGCAGCTTCAGTTGTCCTTTTATGGAATAAGCTGCCAAAATAATGTCGTAAATGCAGTGGACATATGCAGTGGACATTCAAGAATTTAAAAAAGATGCTTCGGTTACATGTTATCTTGTTTCGTCGTGGATTATATTATTATTAATTGTCACATCTTTTAGTTATTTATTTTTTATATATTATAATTTCTGAACATTAGGATACCATTAATTTACCTGTTTGAAGGTTTGCAAGAAGGTGTGATTGTGTGTGAATGTACGAATATGAAATGGATTAATGTGTAACGCATTTAAACGAGCTTGACTGCGCGCGTATTGACTGTATTTTGCAAGTCGATGAATCAAGGCAATTAGAAAAACAAAATTAATTTAAAAGGTAATTTAACACTATGAACTAACTAGTCCAGTTTTGTTAGTTGGAGCAGTTGTAAGCATCTTTTTTTTCAACTCCTGGATTTTCTTTAAACGTTTTTGCGTGATCTCTAACCTTTAGAAAAATATTAAAACTTTGAATTTTTTTTTCAATAAAGACTTACAAAACTAAACAAGAATTCAATGTTAGTAGGAAAAAAATTAAGTATTTACAGGCTAATTATTTCAGATGTTCAAATGAATTAGTTTGATTCCAATTCATATAAATAAGCTTAAAATTTAAATAACAGAAATTAAATAAAGTAGAACAAATTAAAGTAAACACATTGAGAAATCGGGAAAATTGATAATTCAAATTGCGCGAAGTGTATAAAGCATAAATCAAGTCCGAAAGTTGATCAACAATTTTCTGTCGACAATTTTTATTTCCATAGAATCATTTTTTAGGCTTTGAGGTTTAGGGCTTACCATTCAAAGTAAAATCAAAAGCAATTTCATTTTAAAATGTTAAAAAAACATCAACTATGCATCTGGTTTGTTTGTGATTAATTTATCATTGTTGTAATATGTTTACAAACTGCATTAAAAAATCTTTTGTTTTTAGAAGATAATCATATAAATTTTCGAGACTTGAAACTTTTATATCGGTAACGACAAACTTTAGCAACTAATCTCACAATATCAATCAATCTTCGTTTTGCGTCCAGAGACCCGGTTTCCCGAGGTAGGACGTTGTTTTCTTTGCCATCAACTTTTTGCGCCAAATTAGACGATCAGTTGTATCCATTTCATTTAAATTTAGAGCTTTCATGTCTTGCTCGATTGTTTGCGACCAGGACTTCTATGGACGGCCTTTGGGACGTGTGCCAGGTACTTCAACATCTGCAAGAGAAGTTATGGCACTGTTTCCACTTCGTTTGACATGACCAAACCACCGCAGACGGTGTTGCCGGCATTCATCCTTTATATCATCTAAACCAGCACGACGCAGGATTTCGGTAGATTTGATGTGGTCCTTCAGACTAATTCGTTGCATCCATCGGAGCATTTTCATGTCGGTTCGTTGAAGTTGTTGTTCCAGTTTGGTTGTCATTGGCCATGTTTCTTCACCATATAACAACACCGGACGTATCACAGATTTATAAAGTCTTGATCGTAGTGGTAGTGGGGTGTCACGCCGCATCAATATAGAGGCAAGGAGATGTCATTTATTCCAGGCTGCACGTATGCGTGCTCGAACGGCAGCTTCAGCTGTTCCAGTACAAACCAGAACATCCCCTAGATATTGAAACGATGTGAATTTCTCTATTTTAATGGCTTCAAAAACAGTGCTATTTCGAATTTGTTGTTGATTGATGCAAGCAGGACAAACAAAATTGGACACTTTAGATAAAGAACCAATTATTTTTGAACAACGTTTGTGACACCACTGGTTACACTGCTGACACTTGATTGAATTGTTACCTACACCAGCTTTACAAACTGAACAGGGCCATCGTCCAGTAGCTGTGGATTGGATGGGTTCACCAGTGTTCATTGCTTTGGTTTTGCTGATGTTGACTTTGAATCCATGATCGGCGTGTCTGATGTTCCAATCTTCAAACATCTGTGCTGCATTCTGCTCAGACGTGGCTGTTAAAACGATATCATCAGCATATACTAGATTCCAAATGTCACCAGTGCGTATCGGTTTTGTGATTTCTTCCATCACAGTTATAAATAGCAGTGGACTGAGAATCGATCCTTGGTGAACTCCAACGCCGATGTCAAATGCATCTGTGTTTCCAACCGTTGTGCTGACAAGAGTCTTAGTATTCGTATACATTTCCATCACAAGTCGAACAAGATATTCTGGAATGAGTTGTCAACGTAGACTCCACCTGATTGCTTCACGGGGAACTCGATCAAATGCTTTTTCAAGGTCTACAAAAATGTGTGATAGTTGTTGATGCTTTGCGAGGTACTTCTCTTGCAGTTGCCGAAGGATGTGAATTGCATCAATTGTTGATTTCCCCGCTAGAAAACCAAATTAATAATTTCCGATCGTGATGCACGACGTTAATCTTCTCTCAATGATTTTCTCGACAATTTTCAGGGAGTGTTCTAACAGACGTATACCCCGATATGATGAACAGTTCAATGGATCACCTTTGCCTTTGTATAGAGGAACTGTTATGATATAGTTCCATTCAGTCGGCATTGAGCAATTTCTCCAGATTTCACGGCAAAGTTGTAGTAACGTTTTGATACCTGCAGTACCAGATGCTTTGATAATGTCATTTGTGAGTCCAGAGGGCCCTGCTGCCTTTCCATCCTTCATAGCTTTTAGAGCTTCTGTAAGCTCCTCTACAGTGATGTCTGGAATCGGACCTTCGATGGGTGGAGCGTCAAAGTTAACATTGATTGGATTTGTTTCGTTTAACAGACGGTTGAAGTATTTTCTCCACTGTAGCTTGATCTCATCTCGTTCAAGAACCATCTCATTTTTTTCATTTTTTATACATGAGGCACCAACTATGTCTTTTTTCGTACGCTTTGCTTGTTTTGCTATACGATACAGAGATTTCATTTGTTCACCTTTGCTAATCTCACAATAAAATTCAAGATATTACTGCCGGAATACGTCAATCATGTATCAACTTATTCTTTGAAAATAATCTACTTTTTATGAATTAAAAAACTGGGGACATTCATAAAAGAAAAACAAATAAAATTTAAGTTGTGAAATTTTGTATACCTCTCCTTCAATATTTTTTGTATTTCCTTTTTCCATATATCTTTGAAATCTTGACAGAAACTGAACCAAAGACTGAAAAAATCTTTTGGACTAACACTCGATTCTGCCGGTTTCGGTTTGACCATAAAAAATGTTACGCAGTTGTTGAACCTGTTAAAAAGTATAAGGAAATCAATATTATTACGGAAATTTATATACAGCGCTTTTTTAATATATATATATATATATATATATATATATATATATATATATATATATATGTGTGTGTGTGTGTGTGTGCGTTATATATATGTATATAAACAAACTTTTTCACTGAATCTTTCAAGTTGTTTTCTTGTTCTTGTAAACTTTGCCGTGCTACGAAACCATAAATTAAATTAACATTTTGAGTAAAAAATAATATATTCTTAAACATTGGATAACTCTACTTTTTTTTTAAATGAAGCAAATATAAAAAGTTGATTTGTTAAAAAAGTTTGCAGCAAATACATATATACAACAGACCGTAAATAATGAATTTGTTCATTTTGCTTTGAAACGGTTCTAGAGTGGCAGGTGACGAACCACGTAAAACGCACGCCACCTTTGACATACATGCTGAAAAAATTGCATATTTATTGTCATTAATATTAATTTAAAAAAAAATCAACACTCGGTGGACACAATTGATACATCTTAGACAATTTGTTCAAATGAAAAAAAAAGTTGTATTTTCAAGCCATGTGATTTTGCATCGTTTGAAAACATCTTTCGACAAGGCCCTGTAAAAACATTTCTTCCAAGTTGAATCTAAATCTTGAATCTTCCATTTCAAAGGTTTTCTTTTTTAATTTAATTATTCCCCCGTTTTCTTTCCTAACGCCCTAACTCTTAATATAATAATTCTAAATGCAAGCACTATCGCTATCTACTCTCAATTTCTATTCATCATTTATTACTTTTTAAAACAACTTTTTAAAAATGCCACCTTAAATCTTTATAGCATTTCCATTTTCTCTGATCATTCATGTTTATTGAGACTGCACAAGTTAATACTTCACAATACGTTTGGTTATATATGTACTTTCACCCTCAATTTAAACCAAAAACGTTTGGATGACATATTACAATTGAATTTTTGAATTTTAATAATTTTTTTTTCATGCCATTCTTGGTCCACTCGTCTTACTTTCTGCCGAATAAAGATAATGGAAAGAAAGAAATTTAAAACACTTTCAAACGTCACAACTTTTATATTTTTCCATAATTTCGAGCCTCTTAACCATTTAACAATTCCAAACTTTAAATTATTAAAGACTTCTTCAGTCAACAGCAGTGTGAGTGTGCGTGCGTCTGAAGTTTATAGAAATTTATAGAAATAAACTAACAAGAATATGTTGAGCAAATAAACAAAATGCATTGGCAAAATTTAAAAAAATGTTTTGAAGACAATCGTCAACGTACATTCTAATGAGTTGGACACCTTATTTAATTCAGCTTCCAAATCATCAAAGTTGACGTTGGCTGCTTGCATTACATCGCTTGGTTCCGGAACTGGAAGTGGCATGTTATGATCTTCTTCAGTAATTTTGCTCTCGCAATCATCAACATCATTGTTTTCGACGGATGGACTAAGAGATGGTAATTTTGATCTGAGGTATGTGGTCACTAAATATTCCAGCAAGCTAAATGTATTGTCCTGTTATTTTGATTTTTTTAAGGATATTTGTTGAGAAAAATTTACAGTGCATTGTGAAAGAAAAATTTTGAGAATTGGAAGTCGACGGAAAATGAACAGCAGGAAGACACAATCTGAGGTTGTGACGAAGATGTGAAGGAAATCATTTTAATACAACGATAACGTATAACAAAAAAATATGGAATAAGAAAAGCTTGAAAAGCCAGGATTAACCTGAGATAGCTATAATAACTTTAGAAAGTGTTTGAAGAAACACAAATTTTGTTAGAGAATTCGAGTGCCTTTAAACAGCCAAGATCATGGTAGTAAAAAAATAATTTTTTATTAAAATTACAAAACAAAAACGTCATGAAAACTTTTATTAATAACAATATTTACTACAGACGAATTCAGCTAACTTTATTTTTGACATCTTTAAGCTTAGACAAGATATCCAAAGCAAATCCATCTGCCTGTCCCCTTATGGTTCCTATAAAAACAACCAATTAAATTAGCTATCTTCATTATCATCTACGATTAAAGGCAATTGTTCAAACTAGAAGTGAAAGGCTATGCCAGTCAAAAAAGACCTTAAACTCGCCAGTTGTGGTCAAACGACTTATCAACTTAACGTCTAATCTGCATATCTCATTAAACGGTTGCACTGCAATATTTATCAAACTTCAAATCTACCGTTTGGGTATGCAAAAAGTACTTTTACCGAAATACGGTACAATAGTTATGACATTTACCGAAAAATTAAACACCGAAAGATAAAAACCCATCTATCACATGATCATGCAAACTGAAGGCATTGCAATGAATAAAGTTCTTTTTTATAATAAACATTCATCAAATTTTTATCTAATTAATGAAAGGTTATTTGCTGACAGAAAGAAACAATCCTCCAACTTATACGCCGATCAAATAGCATAGATCTAATACTATAGTGTATCAGCCAATACATGTAAAACATTGTGCAAATCAAATATTCAATAAAAAATTATGTCGATAACATACCTCCGTTCATGTAGTTACCAAAGGCAAGAATCATCGCCATAATTTTTTGTATCTCTTGACTATTCATCAGACACTGAAACATAAGTGAGACGTGCAAATTATAAAAAAAAACAAGCAAACGAACATAAGATATCGTCAGTTTATTATTATTATCAGAGATGGAAAATGCATAGTGTACATTAAGTACATATGATCAACGCGTCAAGTACTTTTTGCATATGAAAGACGAGGATACCTTTGAATTCAAGTTTAACAATTACACCATCTCACCACCAAATAAATGTAAATGTATAATACAGTTATTTCATAAATATTACTATAAGCAAACTAAATATTCGGCAATAGAGACCTTTGGAGTTTTAGTACTTGAAAGTACTTAACGTTTTGTCTGCTTTGGTTTTTCATTGTACAAGTTTGTACAATTGGTAAAAAGGTTTGTTAGAAATTGTATGTGCGTGAGTTTGTCTAAGCTTTGTCAGCAGGCACTTTTATCTTTAAAATATTGCCCTATAATAAATCAAAAATTTGCACCAATGTTGTTTGATGTAGCTTCAAGTTTCTACAAATTTTTGAAAAATTTTGGCTACAACGCCTCTCAAAAGAGATGCAGATATAGATTTTTATTGAGGAAAATACATAAAAAAAACTTAAAAAATTTCGTAACAACGAAAAATAACTGTATGAAAAATGCAAAAGCACCTCCGTGACTAATCTAATGTTGACCAATCTTTGTTCAATGCTAGCCAGTGATTCAACAAATGTTGACTGAAATATGAAACAGTAACATCGATCAGCAAAACAAGGAATCGAGGATAGCTCGTATATGAACCTGATATGAAGAATGAAAACAACGAAAACAAAACACTTATTAATAATGGGGTACTTAATATATTTTGAAATGGAATAAAATAATAATAATCCAAAAATAAACTATAACAATCTTTCATTTACAGCACTAAATATATTTCCCAAATTTCCTCCTAAGAAAGTTTAACTGTTATGACTATGTGTTCAAGGGCAAATATAAAAAATGAAAACATTAGCTTGAAATGAAAACATCAATCTAATAATGAAAGCGACATACTGCTCAGGTCTATCTAGAGATGCGTCAGGTTGTTGTTGCATAAATGACCTTATCGTCTCAATCTCAGCTTCTTCTGGTTTCTGCACAGAAAAAATTGTTATTTTTTAATTGTATAATATAACGCTCATTCACTACCAAAAAACGACTCTTTCTCAACCACACTGCTTTTATTTTTTTTTAGAATGTTCTCATTCATTTCTAAAGTTTTAAACCACACACTGCAAAATGTCTTTGAATGTCTAAATAACTGACAACATTCGCAAACCCTGGAAGTTGCTGCTCTGCCTGGATCTCCTGGCTTTTCCACCATCTACCGATGAAGTTGTTCTTAATAACTCAATTATATATCAAAACTACTGAAACGGTGCCAAATTTTCGTAAATGGTCTATAAGTTTTGCTCCTCGATTTTGAACCGAATGCCTTTAAAAAAAAGTTTGAGCAACCGCCTAGCAAGCTTGCGGCATTCAACTTGTGCAAATAAAGCCAATTACTGGGTTCTTGTCGACATTTGCGTGAGATAACGTCTAATACACTTATTTTATATAGATTATAAAGAGCTCTATGAGAGACGCTTTACGTGATCCCCATAGAAACCTGAGTCGAGAACAGCATTAAAGCCGTCCACATAATGCAACTTGCGTTGACCTTCAAGTCACATACACACACACATAATATATTTCTATTTGTACTGAATCTGAAATGGTAACTAGTAAAAGATTAAGTACATGCTGTCGATGATAATTCTGGTTGGTGTAAAATTTCGTTAATTTCACAAATTAAAACTTAAAATATTTAAAATTCACTTTATCATAACTTGACTAATATCTATTTTCTATTCCAAATCTACGATAGCAAAAATCAATCCTTCCATTGAATGATTTGAGAGTATAAAACATCATAGCTAACTTGCTGCAGTACTTGTGCTAACAAAATAAAATTATAATTGGTTCAGTTTTGTAATAAAAATTGTCGTTTTCTAAAATGGGAAAAAATAAATGCAAAAATCATGCTCAATCCAGTTCACTATAAATACTATAACAAGACAATAGAAAAAAATAGGAAATTTTTAAAAAGAAAAAGCTAACTTGTTCATAAAAAGAAATAAGATTTTCCATTGTGAGAGATGACAGTTCGAAATCCAATAAAACTGTTAAAAATATGCATATATTAAGAATTAATATTTACTTTTACATTAAAATGAGATTTTTATTATTTTTCAAAAAGTTTATCTAAATGGACCAGAAAATTAATTAAAACCCCTTCTGGAGGGCTCACCAGGCTGTTATCTCGTACACACATAAACAACGTATTTAAAGTATCAATGCAAAATAATGCACTTGAGAATTTAAAAATGTAGATTTTTTTGCTTTCAAGCCAGGTGATTAACAATCTAGGCCAACTGGCTAAACAACTTTATCAACATAATATATCTTTAAAATTGACCATTTTTACAAATAGAGCGTAAGTAAATTCTAAAAATGGGCTGATGTCGACGCAACTAAAAAAAAATATCCCTAACCACGAGGAGAAATGATAATTTAACATTCAAATATATCCAAAAATATTGATGAGAATCTGTTTGATAGAGAAATTTGATGCGATTGCTTAACAACAAAACTACACACTTGTTTCAACTTCACTGACTGTAAGGTGCAAACTTGTGATGAAAATTCCTAACGATTGGGACCTTTTGTTGTCTAACAATTTGATAACCTGATTTCAATAATATTAATAACTATACGTCAATAATATTAATAGCCATGAGACCTAACAGCAACATTGTGGAAACATTTGTTTCTTCAAATTCAATGACAACATTATAATTCTTTTTATAAAACAATCAAAAATGAAAATGTTCGCCGCGTTTTAACTTAGTCTAATCAAAAGCAACAAATGGACGATCAAAAAGATGTTTCCATATATTAAAAACATTCTAAAATATAGTTAAGTGATTTTATTTTTCTGTTGATACAGTCCAGAAAATATTTTCTATGCTTTAATATTCATTATTTATGAAAACATTATCGATAATACATCTATCATTCAATAATATTACAATAAATAAGAATGTTCTTAAAATTAAAATGTGGCTTTACAATCAAATTGTACAGTACGAGCTACGGCGTTTGATTTTATGAATGAATATTTCAATATTCGATAAGCATCTATAAGATTATAACGTAAACTTCAAAATTTGTTTCAAATAATAAACGAATCTGTTTCAGACCACTAAAATATAGTAATCTTAATCTTTCAGTCGAATCCACTAAAGCTATTGTCGGTATTATTATACACAGAATCTACATAGAAAATTTGAAAATATTTTTAAAATTAATTCATACCTTACAAACATTAAATTATGCCATTACAAAAAAATTACAGTTCTAATCATTGTTTAAGGCTCATCTTTATTACAATTGTGAAATGTGGCCCGTCTGACCAAATGATATTCGACCCATGCTTCAAAGAAGGTCAAGAGCAAGAATTGAACTGCACAAAGTCTACATTCTTAGGATTGGTTTGTAGAATAATAAAATAAATTAATATTGGATACGCTATAAATTGTACACACAAAACAGTGCACAAGAGAAAACTTTACAATAGTGTGGATATAGTAACAAACATCACATACAACATTTTCAAATGCTAACAAATAGATAAAGTTGATAACATTGAAAATTTTGTTGAAATCAAATTAAAGTAAAACATAAGTTATAATAAATTAATGAACAATAAATGAAAATGAATCACTTCTTTAGATTTCAGCTTCTTGTTAATAATTGAGGATGTCTTTTTCTTTGTTGCGGTTTTGGAGAACATGTCTTCGAATTCGGAAAAATCAACGTCAGGCTCCTTCAATATTTCCCACAAACAATCTCGACAATCACTGTCACTAGAAGAAGAACATGACGCCATCAAATAAATCAATGATACAAAGATACTTCAAATAAAACAAGCTATAATGAACTAGAAAAATAAACTGGGTTTGCCTAGGTATTAATCGGAATCATTAAACTGTTGAGCAGCCAATCTTATTAACAGTCACACGCTGTCAAATCAAAGTTGCATGCGTATGCAACTTTGATTTTGTGTGTTGACATTACAGCAATATGATGGTTGCAAGTCTGAGGAAAGAAGAAGGCACCTGATTAAGAATCTGGAGCGGGTCGCAACAAACCAAACATGAAAATTACAAGAGTGATAACAATGAGTACGTGATTATTACCAAAATTACGTTATCGCAAACGTTACATGATTGCACTTAAAATAAAAAATGAAATTATAAAGAATAAGTTCAACGACGATGATTTTTGTAGGTTAAGACGACTAATTCAAAAAGAAATTTGTAAAAGACATTGAAGTGTTTGCAGATTATAACAAATATTAACCTGGACAGCGGCTGCTCAGCAAGACAAGTGCCAACTGTGTCCACTTGAATTTTTTTCCAAAATAGGGGTTTCATGGCTAAATTTGGTTTAACAACCGGTTTGTTTGATTCTGTATAGATGGAAATTCAAAAACTATGTCAACAACAATTCAGCTAATTTATATATTATTACACAAAATTATATTTTTTCAAAAACTTCAGATAGCAAGCAAGATTGTAACTTGAAATAATGCAAAACATACTGGTAGTGGAAAATTCCGTTGGTATTGGTGGTGGACCAGGAGGCAAAGAACATGCTGGAGGTAACGGAATGCATGGCGGTGATGGTACAGTACCAGGAGGTGGTGGTGGTGGAGGTGGTGGGACGCAGGAGGGTGGTGGTGGTGGAGGTGGTGGAATGCAGGAAGGTGGCGGAGGTGGTGGGATGCAGGAAGGTGGCGGAGGTGGTGGGATGCAGGAAGGTGGCGGTGGAATGCATGGCGCCGGTGGTGGAGGTGAAATGCACGACTGCGGCGGTGGAATACATGGCGATGGGGCGCATGGTGGAAGCGGCGGTGGTGGAATGCAAGACGGGATAGGTTGTGGCTGTGAAAAGCGAGGTGATGATAAAGAAACGCATGATGGTGATGAAATTGATTTTGACGCCACGTTATTCAATGAATCGTTTGAAACATCCACTATGCTTGTTTGATCTAATTTAAAAAATAAACATAGCTCATCAACAGGTGAAGTTTTACTAAAACTCTTATCTTTGTTAACAATGTTTTCGGCAGTATTATCTGACGATTGTTCTGGCGTAGTGATGGCACTAGAATCTCCGTTGCTTAGTGAAGAAAATTTTGCCTTGGTGCATGACTTAAAACCTGAATAAATATAAGATTTTAAATCATCGATTGGAGATGTGGCTTGTTCACATAATGACTTTCTAACGGAACTGTTATTTTTAGGAAACGGTAAGGTTGTCTGAGTATATTCATCATTGGCAGAAAGTGTTGTTCCTATCGAAACATCTAGCATTTCAACCTTCTTTACGTTTTCCAGACTGTCTCCACCCATTTGAACATTAGGGTTAAGACTTTCAATACTTGCCAATATTTTGTATTTTTCAACCTCTTGTTGCAAGGCTTGAAGCCTTTGTTCATATTCTTGAGTCAGAGATGCATTTTCATGTTTTAAAGCTTGAACTGTCATGTCATGTCGTGTCTGTGAAAAGATAATGTTACTTCTGTTTAAGAAAAAGTAAAAGAATGGAAAATGATTGATGTAAGTAAAACATAGAAATTTACTTAATGAAGTTTCAAACATATTTAAAAAATGAATTTAACAAACTTAAATTTACTTTTAAAAAATCGGCTTCTTCTTTCAATTCTTTTTTAAGCGTTGAAACCATTGAAGATGTCAAAACTGAAATCATGGAATTTTTTGAAGTTATATAGAAAACTTTTGAAAATATTGAATTTACTTTTATCTTCAGGTAAGTTTCCAGCATTATGACAAGCTTGAACGTTGTTCAAGTTGAAAATTGGATTGGCGCCATTGAACTGGCTGCCCTGAGGAGGCCAGTGACTTGCATGCAGTCGACCTGGCAGTACATCAGCAGACTGGATAGCAATCGTGTGTGACCAGCAATACATCACATCAGGCTGTTTCATTTCAATAAATATCAAAATATCGTCATTAGACACACATCATACATACAATTCATCCTACTAGTTAGTTATGTTAAGTTATACATACATGTATGTCATACAATTTATATATTATGATATTAGTTAACCGACAGCCTAGCTTAAGACTAGTTTATATAAAACAGCTTGGAACAAACTACACAGGGAAGAAGAGAAGAGAGAAGAAGGGAAAGAATGATATAGTCAGAGATTGATTGTTTGGTATTATAGAAATAATCTGAGTAGTTGATAACTAGTTGATAGCCAGAAGATCGAGACCAAGACAGAAGTTGAGAACCAGGAGTGCTGGTTTGACCAAGAATGATATAGTCAGAGATTGATTGTTTGGTATTATAGAAATAATCTGAGTAGTTGATAACTAGTTGATAGCCAGAAGATCGAGACCAAGACAGAAGTTGAGAACCAGGAGCGCGGACCTGTGACGTGACATTCAACACAGTTTAGTGCTGGTATTAACACAACGTCAACTTGTATTTCATATTGCTTGTCCTCATATTAAACTGAAACTGTTAATGAAAGATGAAACCATCAAAATGTTGTGTTTCTTTTAGTGCTTTTATAAATTGCATTCTCATGAAGCAAAATGTTCTGTGAAGCACACGTCTCGTATAGTGAATACTTCGAGCGTTAACTTAACATTGTAGAGAACCGATATTTTATCAACACAACATTATTATCAATACAATATTGATAATATGAATAATAAACATAACATGGAAATAATAAATATAACAATATATGCTTCTCATGTAATTGAAGCACAGATATTGGCTACACTTTTATTAAACATATTTATTACACCTTCTGTCTAAGTAGGTTACATCACCACAGTGTTGTACTACCTAAAAAATGTAGTTGTGTACTACTGTAATAAACTACTTTGAAAAAAAAGTAGTTTACAACTACTTTCTAACTACTTTGAACAGCAATAGTTAGTAACTACCCTTTAACTACCACCAAGTAGTTAACTACTTTTCAATACTACCATTTAAAAACACTAGCGATTACGAGCTTTTGATACCATGAATCTGCTGAATAATTCAATAATTGTGAAATAATTTAAAGGCAAACATTTTCATTTGACATGTTTTATTAAATTTAAATTTACAATCATTTTCTAAAAAAATCTCTTAAAAAAATCATTTTATCTATGTGTTCACCGGACAACCTGCTGCATTTTTCAGTAAAAATATGCCCAGCAACGCTAAATAATCTTTTAACAGCTGCTGAGTGGAATTTATTTTTTAAAAAGTTGCACACACAACTGGATAACTGAATAAATGTTCTACATTTCTAGCCTGACTAATTATGAAAAAAATATGAAAAGTTAAACTAGTTATCTACATGAAAAAATATGGCAACTAAGTAAAGACATGCTTTAAAAAATTGGATGAATTAGAGATGTTATCCGAAATTCTTTTGCTATATGTAACGAATGCAGCAGTGAAGTTTCTGTCACTATCTTTCTTCAAAATCACATCAGCAAAACAATTTTAGCTATTGGCCTATTCATATATCGTATGTATATCCGGAGTTTAGTTTTTTTTAATGTTCAGAACGTTAACCATTTAAAATTTGTTATGACGTAATATGTTAAAACGTAAAATACAACACACAGCACAAACTAAACTGTTTTATAATGCAAGCTGGGCTATCAACTATGTTATGCACATACAAGCAGTGTGTAATAAATAAACAGAAAATAAACAGTGCATCATATGGTGAAATACAAAATGCAGCACAAACTTACATGCTATAGTTTTATTATGCAAGCAGTGTGTAATAAATAAACAAAGAGAATAAAAGAAGTGTACCAGATGGTAAAATAATGCTTAACTGCTATTGTTTTATTATGCAAGCTGGGCTATCAGCTGTGTTAGGCACATGCAAGCAGTATGTAATAAATAAAAAAATGAACAGGGTATAAACAGTAAATAATGTCCTGGTTATGACATTTGTCCTGGTTATGACATTAAACTGACCCTCACTGCCTTGTGAGTGATGTTAGATCATCAAAGGCTAGGCCCACCGCTTATAACTGTGGTTGCGTAAGGAAGGGCGTCCTGCGTAAAAATTAGCCAAACAAATTACTTATGATGACAGAAGTGACAATGGCCCTCAGTATCCGGCAGAAGAGGGAGCGCGAGGGGTATTTCGGTTTCATCATAGGTAGCCAAACGGCAACCCCCGATTTCGGGGAAAATGTCGTCTAAACGTGTGTTGTTTGTTGTTGTATAAACAGTAAATAAACAGTGCACGACATGGTGAAATACAGTGTGCAGCAGAAACTTACTTGCTATGGTTTATTACGCAAGCAGTGTGTAATAAATAAACAAAGAGAATAAAAGAAGTGTACCAGGTGGTAAAATGATGACATTTAAATGTTGTTTATAATATACCGTGAATTTGCATAATTTTTTGAAAGAATATAAAAGTAGTTAGAAAAAGTAGTTAGCTACTGTATTTATTAAATACTAAAAAAAGTAGTTAACTACTAGTTAAAAACTACTTATTAACTAGTAATAAACTATTTGTAATTAGTAACACCAATCACTGTATCTCCATTTAAAGACATGATTCTACAAATATTCTAAATTCAGAATGAAAACAAAAATTGAAGCGTTTCTGATGTACATGCAGCCATACAAATAAATTATTAAAAAGTTGAAAAGCAGACCCTAAATGTCTCATAAGGAACAGAAAAGTTGTCCAATTTTCTGATGACTCCAGCGGCCAGCAGGTGAGTGCAAAACTGCACTACCAAGAGCTTCAGTTCTTGTAGTGACAACAATTTAAGAAATGCATAATGTACTGAGTCTTGGAAACAAGAACAGAGCCAGGAAATTAACATTTGACCTGCAAATATTACAATAACATTTAAACTATTTAAACTATTAATTTCAAACTATTTAATTAGAAATAATTTAATATTAATAACAATAATAATAATAATATAATAGTTTCAAATAACTTATTATAACAATATAAAAAGAATAATGTGAAAAAGAAAAACAACCATTTTGACAAAAAAAAACCTAAAATGAATCTACAACTACTACAATATTTGAAGTTAACCAGAAAGAATTTGGAGAGTTTACTCAAGGTAATGAAGGGCAAATGGTAACGGTAATGATTATATTCTTTCTTACTGCATTTCTCGGAAGTATAAACAGCAAACAAAACTTAAATCATCACACACATTGCATATTATAGATAGGCCCTCAAGCACTGCATGTACCTCACCGCCATACATGGAAAAAGTATTAGAAACTACTTTCGACTTAATTGTTGTCGGCCTGTTTAATCTCATTTTTACTCCTTTTAACATACTCAAGTTAGTTAGCTCCTAATTTATTAATTTGTTTTCCCAATTTTGCATCTTTTAATTTTATCCTCATTCCTTGGGGGAGCTGTTGAAAATATAAAAATTTGGTTTATAGACTCGCTATCTGGAAAAAAATGTCAAAATACTGAAAATATCAAACTGTCTACAAAATGGTGAACAATAATTAGGTTCCAGTAAAATAAAACATAGCAGCTGGTTGAGACAGATCATTTTAGAAATATCCAGACCACATTGCAATACATTTGCTAAAGTTTAAAGGTAACTTTTATGTTTCATATCATAAAACAATAATTCAGATGACCTGACTCAATTGTAAATATGTATAAATACTTAGTGGTCCTTCAATAATACTGCTTGGTACCTGGAGATAATAAAAATATTGTAAGACTCAAACAAAAGTCCCAACTACTCACAAATACCCTACATACTATGTATTACTATATATGATCATAACAAAAATGATATCAAATTTTCTTTGTTTATTCTTGTTCTTATAATTGTTCTTTCTGAAAAAAATTTTTGAATTTTTCATATATCAACTTGAATCATAACATGCCACCTTCTTAAAAGCACAGTAAAATATCACAAAATTTTGAAAATATATTATGGACATAATTTTAAACCAACCCTCAAACTTTTCAAGCTGCTTAAAATCCAGTTTTTCGGGCACCATTCTAGGATATTGAATGATTTCCTCAAGAAGAACTTGTGAGAGACTGTTTGTTGAGCACTTTGCTTTTGCGTGTCTGTCAGATTTTTTAAAACTTGAACAAGACTCTGACAAATTTGAGCTCTCACTATTATATCTAAATCTTTTTTGGTTGAAAGCATAATCATTTTTTATTGTACCATCTTTTACACTGTTACATTTGTCAGTTTCATTCAGAACTGTTTCCAAATTGGTATCATCTTCTCCATGGCAAATTTCATTTTTGTGAGACTGCTTTAAGCTATTATAAATAACGTTGCTATTTTTGACAATATTTTCATGATGCAACACTGAGTTGTAAGATTTGTAGTCAGCAGCAACCTCCATTCCTGACTCCAAAGAAAATCCAAACTTGGAATTTATTAAACCAGACATGTTGGTCAAACATTTATTCTTTTTTGAACACGACTTAAAATCTCCATGGTCTTTAATAACCTCCTGTGCTTTATGAGATATAAAGGAAGAATTTTTTGAGTTTGATTCAATTCCTGATACAGATAATAATCTTGATGTAACGATGTATGGTTTTGTTTCAACACATTTATGTTCAATTTTTAGAGATTGGAATGATTGCCCGACGATCTCAGGTAAAGTTACATCTGAGTTCATTGACGATGCCATGGGCATTGAACAATTTTTGTCTAAATCTTCTGCTTGTATCAGAGTGGTTGATGACAAGGTTGCAGTTGGGCGATCACAAAGACTTATTTCTGATGAAGACCTATTTTCTGAAGCAGAAAAAAAAGTTGATTCGATATTAGGGCTTTGTTGATCTTTGGCATCAACGTACATTTCATCACCTGGGCTTACCTTTCCATCTTTATCAACTAAATCTATTTCAACATTTCCTGCCGATAAAATTTGTGGTCTCTCTTGGTCAAAAATACACTTGCCTCCATCCGAAATGTTTGAAAAAGTTTCAGCATTACACATAAACTTATTTGAATCATTTAATTCACTTGATTCCTGTTCAGAATTTGATGTTGAGCTGTTCAAAGAATCAGTGACATTATGCAACAAACTTTCATCGTTTAATACTGAATGTACGTCTATAGCATTTATGTTTTCAGCAACACATTTTTTTATTATTGGACTGCTAGTCAAAGCATTGTTGCCATTGTAATTTAGATGATGATTGTTGTTCAATTTTTTGGAATGCTTTGAACCAGCACTAGATGTAGATTTATTTTTATTTCTAAGATTTTTAAAAATTTTAATTTTATGCTGTGATTGTGATCCAAAACTTGAATCCAACAGATCAGAAGAGCCCTGAGCTGATTTCAAGGGATGGTCTGCTCCATTGTGACTTCCCTGCTGACCCATTTTAAACTTTTAGGCTATCTTTAACCACATCTATATGTAGAAAAGTTTGCTATAGTAATATTGTATAATAACAAATTTTTAAATAGAAGCAAGCTTCTATAAAATAAAATGTATAAAAAGATAAGATAAAACAAAAAACTTCATTTGAAACAAACAATTCTTCCCTGGTTTTCATTTAGAAATTACATGCTACAAAATTTTTAAATACAAAAATAATTAACTTGAAATACTTAAAAACCATATAATAAATAACAATAAAAATATTATTTAGTTATAAAAAAAATAAAAACACCAATGACAAAAAGTTTTTTTCCTTGTTAATAAACTATCTCTTCATAGAAAAAGGCAAGAATTTTTGAAAAAAATACTAGTAGACTGTAGTTAGCCTAATTTAAATAGAAAAATATAAACAAACAGAGGGCTGATTCAAGATTGTAGCATTTATTAATTATTAAAAAAACTATTTTATTATTATAACCAGGTGTGAAATTTTTTATATCAGGCATCATGTGCATATAAACTATTTATGAAAAATATGATTCAAAATCATTTCAAAATACAGTACTTCAGTACTTTACTACTTCACCTTCTGTTTTAAATCATATTTTAGGATATCATTTTGTTAAATCAGAAAAAAAATACAAATAATGTTCATTCTATGAAATTTAAAAAAGTGAAATTCAAATTTGACTTTGCTAGCAACTTTTACAACTGCAAGTCATTTTTTATTTTTATGTTTTCTAATTAGTAAGTAAGTAAGCTTGATTAAAATTAAAACTAAATAATAATAATAAAATAAAACAATTCATCATTAATAGAGTGATAAAAATAAAAAAATATATAAAAAACTATAGAAAAGCCCAGACACCAAAACCTCTCTTTTTTGATTTGGCTAGACTAAGAGATATATTTACATTGATTAAAGAGAAAAAAACCATTTATTAGTAAAAAGTAAACTTTTAAGTTTTAAAATATTTAATTAAATAAAATATGAATAAAAAAAATAGTGTAAGCTGTAAAAAACTGAATACTAGTTAAATTTTATTTTTTATATAATAATTATTTATTTTAAAATATAACAAATAACAATTCAATAAGTTTTAATCAATTTTTAAAAAATGAGTCAATTAATCAGTCGATTTTACATTGAAAATTGTGAATAAGAAATGTAATTGTGTTAAAAATTGTAAATTTTACATTGCCTATCAGTCAGTCTAAACCAGATTTGTTGATGAACTTAAATAATAAATTGAAAAATCATTGGTGAAAATAATGATGATGAATAACAATAAAATAAATATTTAATAAACATGCAACAAGCCAAAAGAAAGGTGAAAAATGATGAGGCGTTACGATCAAGATATTGAAAATCTAACTTTAAATGAACGGAAGATATCAATTATTTATTTACCGTAAAGCTCATTAAATTAGATGCAATAAAAAAATAAAAAGAAAACAAACGTCAGTGACAGCGGGTACACAAACATGGCAGTTGTATAAAGTTGAAATTTATTCAAATCATATCGATGGTAATGAATATATATATATATATATATATATATATATATATATATATATATATAGCGTCAAAAATTATTGATTCAACCTCCCACAGCGAAAAAAGTAAAAAGAGCGCGTCTGAAGTCAACACAGGAGAGACAATTTTTGCTATACGATACGATACCATTTGATACGATCACAATGTAATATGTACATTAGAGACCGTTAATTATTATTAATATAGTTACACGTATATTTATATCATAAAACAGTTCAGTTTTTTATCAACAGCAACTAAGAGCTGAGTGGCTGATTGCTCTATTTACTTGAAATACAATGACGCTATTTTTGTATTTTTCTGCGCATTCGTTTAATCCTTTCAAACATGTTTTATCGTTTGTTGCTTTTACATAAACTGATGTATCAAACTCTTAACTATCAAATGTTGACTTTATGGTGGTTAGGAACCAAAAGACTGACTGAAAAAACTGATGGAACATCCGTAAAATTGCCAGCAAAACGGCTTGATTATTGGAAAGAATTTTTTGTAGACCTTTACAACCACGACCCACCAATAGAACCACTTCCAAACTCACCAGAAATCAACTTTCCAGCCTCACAAAGCATTGCAATGCAAAAGCATCAGCAGATGAAATCAAAATGACTGTTGTTTATAACTTTAAACATAGACACTACCATATCCACGCGAGCACAATGTTTTGATTAAATATCTTTATATCTAATTAGAAGATATTAAATTGTTTTTTTGAATTCTCTCCCTGCGCATCCAACTTTAAGCAATCCTGTTTTTTATATGCAATAGCCTATATATGATTCAACTTGTATCAATCAATCAATCAATCAATCAATCAATCAATCAATCAATCAATCAATCAATCAATCAATCAATCAATCAATCAATCAATCAATCAATCAATCAATCAATCAATCAATCAATCAATCAATCAATCAATCAATCAATCAATCAATTAGCTTATAAAGCGCTATTTCCGCGATGTTCAACAGCGCTCCTCAATGAATTTTGAAAACAGATGGGTCTTGAGATCCGCTCTGAACTTCGCAAGTGATGGAGAAGTAAAAATACATTGATATTAATTAATATATATGTAATTATTTATATAATATATATTATAAATTTATTCACATACATATTTGAATTTGTCTTGGTTTTATATTTATATTGACATAGTGATTGTAAATAATTATTAAAAGTAAAAATATTTGGAGTTCCATACTTTTTAAACTTTTACTTCTTGGTTACTTGCAGTAATATTTTGATCTCTGCATTCTTCCACAATTCCTTTTACTTGTGCTATATATATATATATATATATATATATATATATATATATATATATATATACTTACATATCTGCTTGTGTGACTTCTTGCACATTCGAATCAAAATATTAATTATTTACGTCGAGACTTCTCATTATTTTATTTCAACAGTTGGTACGTTTGCGAATTAAATTCTTTCTTTTTTTATTTATTAAAATGTTCAAAATTTAATGAAAGGTTTTAGACAGGGTTGTTGTTACGTTATGGTTATTACTTTATTAGTTTTGTATCAGATTAGGATTAGAATTAATGACATAAGATAAGAGATGATTTTATTTTAGTATATACTAAAATAAAATACAATAGATAGAGGTAGATTAATACCGTGTTTCCTCGAATATAAGACAGGGTCTTATATTAATTTTTTCCCAAAAATTGCCCTAGGTCTTATATTCAAGGGAGGGCTTATATTATTATGCCAATTTTTTCGACATCATTTATTTTTCCCAAATACAATAATATTTTATTCAAATACAATAAGATCATCATCTTCTGGGATATCATCATTTTCTTCCAGATCAAGACCTTGAATTCCAGCCAAGATTTCATTTGACTCCAGCTCCTTCAGTATCATAGGTCCCAATCTATCGTGTTTTGCGATGTAGCTCGCTTCAAATGGCGATGTTTTGTCCAAGTACCCTGCTTTCAGAGCCTTTGCAACACAGCTATCAGTGACTTTGCCCCATGCATTCCTTACCCAAGAGACTACCTCCTGCAGATTAGGCTTCACGAAGTTGTTATTTTTGTTTCTTGACATCCTATTCTCAATATAATCATTGATTTCAAGTCTGAGGTAATCCTTGAAAGGCTTGTTTATTGCAATGTCCAAGGTCTGGAGGTAAGCAGTCATCCCTGCTGGGATCATAACCTGATCAACCCTTCTTTCTGCCAAGAAGTTTTTCATATCCTTTGCACGATGAGTGCTTGCAGAGTCCCAAATGAGGAGACCTCGTTGACTTCCTCTTAAAACAAGTGGCAGCATAAGGTCCACCCATTTTCTTATTACATTCTGCGTACTCCATGCCTTTTCTGATTCCAAGACATAAACTCCTCCCTGGCATTCAATCTTTTCTTTCTTTCCTTTGGTAATAAGAAGTGGAGCAGCTTTCTTCCCATCCAGACGAATTGCCAAAATGCAGGTGACGCGTGCACTTTCATATCCAGTTGATGGTACATAAATTGATGAAGCTCCTCTGAAGTCGACTGTCTTTTGAGTGTCCTGACCCATGTAAACAGCAGTCTCATCCAGAGCAATCATGTTGGAAAGCTGATACTTTGAAAAATCCAAACCATCCATGAAAGACTTGAACATGAGAGCTCTCTTGACAGCTTCTTTATCCTCAAGCTTGAACAGTGTTGTTGATCTTCGTAGTGAGAGTTCATACTGCTGAAGGAAGCGATCCAGCCAACATTTTGAAGCTTTGAACTCCTCAGGAGGGATGTCAAGTGTAGGAGCCATCTCGAGAGCAAAAGCTTGAATCTCAGCTCTGCGCACAACCATACGGTTTTCTCTCTTCTCAGCAATCCAGTCAAAGATGATGTCTTCTAACTCTGGAAAGAATGGACGATTTCCAGAGCCACATTTTCTTTTTTTTGCCTGCCCATCTTCAACCTTTTGATTAAGATCATCATACTGTGCTCGCCATTTTCTAACCATTCGTACGTCCAACTTCTTCTCTTTGCAAAATGCAGTAATATTTTGATCTCTGCATTCTTCCACAATTCCTTTTTTGTATTCGACAGAGTAACTTTTCCTCTTGCCACTCATCTTAAATATGGGCAAAATGTTACAAAATAGTTTATTTAAATAGAAAAAACAACCCTTACTTTGACAGCTTTGTAACCTCAGGATATGCTTGAAGGAGGAAAAACAGTTCGAAAAACGAAAAATCTTGCAGCAGTTGGCGTTTCCGGTGTGGTTTTGACAGAAGTTTTTGTTGTTGTCAGCTGATTCATACTAGAAATTATAATCGAGGGAGAGCTTATATTCGAGGGAGGGCTTATATTAGAAAAATAGACAAAAAACGTGCTAGGTCTTATATTTGAGGGATGTCTTATATATGAGGAAACACGGTAGATAGATAGAGGCTTCTTGCTAATAGAGGCGTTTAATTTAAAGCCATTGCTGGCTTTAGTTTTAAGTTAAAGTTCGTTACTGCTAGGGGAATGCATATATATAAAAAATTTCGAATTCTAACGGAATCGGAATTTGATTAAATTTGATTTGTTGAATTTGATTTTTTTTAAATCTTTATTTTATACCGTTGTTATTAAATTGTTAAAGTAAAGTTTTGCTTTGCATAATTTTTTTTAATAATTGACTTTTTATTATGTGTGTTGTCCTAAGAAGAATTACAATTTCAAACATTGACTTGTTTGTAAAACGGGAGATAGGTACTCCTATGGTATCGTCCATGTTTACAAACAATCATAATGTACTTTTAATAAATTGACTCCACCCATTTTGAATTATCTAGCGCTTGATTATTTATTTATATCAAATTGAAGATAATTTAATACAAGTTAATTCTTAGGTAAGTAATTTAATACAAGTTAATTCTCAGGTAAGTTTTTTATTTTTAGATCATTACTTGTCAAATATCACAATGGCTTATGAAGTGGTTAACAAGGTTAGGGCCTCCATTTTTAAAAAATTTTCAATTATTTCATAAATGATTGAAAGTTTTAACCTTTTCTTATTCTTGAAATGATTGAAAATCTTGTTAAAAAGGGAGGCCCTAACCCTAACCCTAACCCTGTTAACCACTTCATAAGCCATTGATTGTTATCAAAACAGAAATTTACTCATATTTTAACTTTTTTTATTTAATGTTTACTATTTCAACTATTTGACAAGTACTGATCTAAAAACTTACCTAATGAAATTATTTTCAATTTGATATAAATAAATAATCAAGCGCTAGATAATTCAAAATGGGCGGAGTTAATTTATTAAAAGTACATTATGATTGTTTGTAAACATGGATGATACCATAGGAGTACCTATCTCCTGTTTTATCAACTTGTTTAGGCTCTAATGTCGTTACGGTGCTAAGAAAGTGTTTTAATTTCTTGAATAATTTAAATTTAATTGATAAACAAATTAATTAACATTTATGGTTATTTTACAGCATTAGCTACAGTACAGCCATTTTAATTGATTGAAATCCTTTTTTAAAGCTATTATTAAACAATTCAAATCAACTTGGATTGATTAAAAAAAGTCAAATTAGATTAGACATTATTAGAACAGACTTCTGTAAAATCAAAAAGTAATAAAGTTTTGATTTTTGTTTCAGCTCTTTCATTTCATGTAATTTTATAAGTAAATATTTTATTTTTCAGATTAGTTTGTTGCATTAGTTAGAGTATGGCGGTAAGTTGCTTTTATTTTTTGTTTCAATATTTTTCTCTTATTTTCAATGTATCCCTTTGTATGCTATGTATTAATTGTTGGTATTACCAATGTTTTAGTATAAATGCTATTTTTTTGTATGTTGAGATGGAATTAATAAGCATATTCGATTTAAATGTATTTTGTCTTAATGTATTTAATTGCAGAACCATCCCCCACAGTCACAGGGCCAATGTTTTTCTGTCTGCTTGGCAGAGTTAGTGAAATTTTATTTATGTACCATTTTTTGTTCTAAAATTTTTTTTGCTTCATTTCGTAAGTAATAAATACTGTTGTCCTAATTAATTATTTCAAAACTATAAAATTTATTATATTCCAAATGAACATTATGAAAGGGCTGATGCGAACAAAAAGTTTGCAGTGTTGAAGTTCCCACCCAGTAACAAGGTCGACTTCACTCTTTGTACAGCAGGGGTATGAATTATTTTCAATCATTTCTTTTTCTCTTGCACATTTTTAGTATTCGTTATTTATTTTATTTTTTTTATTCATAGCATTAGATTGTTTTTGTTGCATTATTTTTCTAATCAGTATACCACTACATACTGAGTATTTTTTTTAAATTTGTTTTAAATTGCGTCTATAAATTATGTGCATATTTTATTCATCCTCACTTTTCATCTTCTACAATCTCTTGTTTGTCTTTGGATGTTCATATATGCCAAATTATCATGCTGTTGTACTTATTGTTTAGAGGTTGTTTATTTTTCTTAGGTAGTTAGCGCTTCTGTTACAAATCCATCAGTTTTTAGACACTTAATTACGGATGCATTGGCATTAATAACAAATGCATTATTTTCGCAGGCAAAGTTAGAGAGAGAAAATAACTTAAAGGAGTTCAAATCGGCCTATGATATCGACGTCCTCCCAAAATTTGGTGCTGGCAGTGAGTATGGCAAAGAGCAGAGAGAGGAAGCAAGAAAAAAGATGTATGGAATTAAAATTAAAAAGTACGATCCCCAAGACCAACCCTGGTTACTTAAATTAGGCTCAGGCAAACAAATAAAAAGGTTCTGGTTGCTTTCTTTCTTTTCATACAACTAATTTTTGAATTATTTTTAATTTTAATTTTTGAAAATTTGCTGACCTAGGTTCCGGGGGACGCGTAATGGTGGAGTAACGAAGAATGCTTCCTATTATATTTTCATGCCCATGTCAGACTCCAAGTTTATTGCTCAGCCCGTTGAAGAATGGTTTGTTTATTTTTTGTTATTCCTTTTCATTGTTTATAAATTCATACATTTCTTTTTTTCTGTTGTTCATTCTTTAGAGTTTAATTGTTTAAATAGTTTTTCATTATTTTGCAATTCCAACCGATCACATTTGCATATTCTAATTCTCCATCATCAGCAATATATTAAAATAAAATTTTTTTGTTGCTTATGTTTCATCTGTTTAAAAAGCGTTTAATGGATTTAATTTTGTAATATGTATTTCTGAATCAACAAATGAGATTGATGAACATGAAATGATAAATTGTTTGATTGAAACAAATGAAACACACATAAACATTGAAGTAATTCAAATTAAACACATGTGAATATCATTGAAGTAACTCAAATCAAACACACTTGAACATCATTAAAGTAATTGAAATATACACATGAACAACAACTGTACAACTGCAGGTACGATTTTATTCCTCAAGCCAAATATAAGGCACTAAATGCAGAAGAGGCCGAGGAGGAGTTCAGCAGGTCTGCAAACATTTTTCACCTTCTTCGATTTTGTTTGCACATTTGTATTGCTTCTTGAGTGAAGTCTGTTAAAATGCATATAACTTTTTCATTTGAACTTGTTATAACCAAATCACAGACGCGATAGAACCCTGAATCATTTTGCAATTATGATGAAGAAAAGAATTGATAAGCATGAAAATGATGGGAACATTGAGGAAGGTGCTGGTGGAAAGAAGAGCAAGAAGAAAGATAAATCATTTGTAATATATTTATTTTTTTATTTTTTATTTTCTTACAATATTCATTTAGATTATCAATTTTTTACATTAAAATTATTTCACCTCAAGCTTGTTAGTGAATTCGATGAAATGAGCAACGAAGATGATGATCTGGATAGTGAATGTGAAGTGGATAAAGATGAAAATGCCAATGAAGGAAAGCCAAAAAAAAGAGGAAACAAGATGAAGAGAAGTAATTTGGTGAAGAAAAGAAAAGGGACGGACGATGAAGCTGAGGAAGAAAGTGATGAGATGGATGAAGGTCAAGAGGTCGACTACATGTCTGGTTCTTCGAGGTCAATTACATTTTGTTACATTATTTTTTATAAATAATTATATGCTGTAATTTTTAGATATTTTCAATTTTATTGTAGCATAATCATTCTACAGTTGTCAGTTTAGTTCCAGTACATTCGTTACATTGCTATACCCATTTTCCATCATTTGTTGCATTTGTAATGTTACAAAAGGTGTGTGAAATACGTGAGAATATTATTATGTACAGTTAAGTTTGAGATATGTGATGTTGGTGTGCTGAATTATCATCATTTATAAATGAGGAAAGATTTTCATAGGATGGTTATAAACAATTGTCTATATTTCTTTACATTTGTTGATCATTAGCTTGTTTCTTTATAGTCGTTGTCTATTTAATTCGAAATAATTGATATTTATGATAAATGTAAACAATATGATAATATGTTATTACAATTATATATAATTAACTGATATGCCAACAACAGTGATGATGAGGGAATGTACGATGACGGCAAGCGAGATGAAGGCGACACGTACAAGGATGCGAGCGTCGTAGAGGAGGAAGCCCTCAGGAAGCTCGTTAACTCAGACGACGATGAAGATGATGAGGAGAACAAAAAAGATGATGATAATGAAGATGACGATATCATGGAAAATGATAAGACGAAGGATGGAAAAGCCGGAAGAGGTAGTCAATTTTGTTTAGTTATTCAGTTAAAATATCTAGTAGAGTGCATGTGTAAGCACGATTGTTACCTTACATTTCTTCGTTTTTAATTGTGATATCTTTCCTCTTTTATCTTTAATCTGACAACTATGTAATCCACTGACACTTGGATTTTCTCCTTGTTTTCAACATTTTCAACTTTTAGTTTTTCAAGTCTCAACTCTGTTACATATCACTTTCTTTATTTTTTGTTTTCCTATATATATATATATATATATATATATATATATATATATAAACACTCCAATAATAAAAATAATTATAATAATAATAATAATGATATGTAGATTACATAGTTGTCTAACTGCATTATAAGGCACACTATATATTTATATATATGTAATTGTTTAATTTTGACTTCTGTTAATATTTTATTATAAGCATTATTTTGCTAATTTAAAAAACCGTTGGTATTTTATGAACAACTTAAGAATCAGACGCTGAATCATCGTCATCTAGCTCCGACATTGACGAGGAGAATGATCAGTTACATATTGTAAGTGTAATTATTTTTATGTGTATTTTTGATTTAGTTTTCAATTATAAATGCTATCCAATAAGACTCACTTACACATCAAACATACATCTAAATATTTATTATAATGGGACCTGTGATTATTTGTTTGTTCGTGTATAAAAGGATAAATAACATTCATTGATATGTTCCACGTGATATGAATTTTCATAATTCTGTAATTTTTTCACACTAACTTCGATTTGTATCATCTAAACTCAGCATTTTTCTGAATGCTCACTGTATTCAGAAATATTTATTTTATAATTGTATTTCTTGCTGTCTGTCTGCATGTTTGTATTTATAAATTTTATTTAAAAAAATTTGAGCACTCTTTTTCACAAAACTTTATTGAAACGAATCTGGTAATTTTAATAATGTTTATGCATCTAACATGCATGTATAAAATGTTGAAAACATTATGTTATTACAAACTATTATTGTCTCATACATAAATATGCTTAAAACAGTCTGGAAAATCAGCATCAGCTGTCAAGCAGACCGAATCAGATGTCTCAACAGTTGATCTTACAAGTTAGAATTTAGATTTCTTTATTTTCGCTTTTTTAGATTTCTAAAAAAAAAACATAAAATGTCTGAAATGATTACAATTGTAGTTTCTCTGTTTAAAAAGATTGATGATTTATTTAACAAATGTTCAGTTAAGCTTCTGTATAAAAATTATGTTTTGTTAGAAAATTAAAATGCCAAAAAATCTAGAAGGAATGTGAAAAAATTATCAAAAATTTTACATATTTTGATGAATTTGTTTTAAATTTCAAACCAAATATAATATCCATTATTTCAACATCTCTGGTTATTATTTATTTGTTATTTATTATGAAAAGCCACTTCCAATTCGTTAATTATTAAAAATTTGTTTTCTCTAATGTTTATTTTATGATTTACATGATTATTTTGTAAATTTTTCAGATAAGAAACGAAAAATGGATCCTCTCGCCACAAGTTTGCTAGCCAAGAAAGTCAAGCTGGATTCATCTTTGTCTCAACGAACGACGCAATCATTTTCCTCAAACAGGTCTAGTTTTGTCTTTTTTTCATAGAGTTGATAATAAACATTTATCTGGGATCCAATTTACTTTAAAATTTTTTAGCTTACGAGTTATATCTACATTGCATTTTGCAATTATTGATCAAATGTCCTGATTTGTTAATTTTTTGTTAAAATATCCGTCTATCCACACAATCTTTCATAAGTCCAGTTTATCACTCTCACTTCTGGCTTGCATGCAACCCAATTTCAAGCTAAGTTTGTTTTTTCAATTAACTACATTTAAATCTTCTCTATGGACAGCTTAAAATTACTTAACTTATCTCTTGGATCTTTGGCCTGCGCTTTCTATTTCTTTTTTCATTGCATGAACATTTGTGGATTCTGAGCACTGTTGCAGTATCAAATTAAATCCATTTCATACACACATACTCTTCACACTCGTTCTAACAATAAAGATAGCATTAATCAAGATGGTAATCTGTTTTGATTGCAATGCAGGCCTAAATATAAACTTGTCAAAAGTTCTTTAATGTTGTATCTGAACGCGTTTAATATTGTACTTAAACAAGTACAAATAAAAATAAAAATTACAAGTCCTTAAATCTCAATGAATACTTTAAATTTTTGCTATAGTACAAATCGCGTACAAGTACAAAGTTCAAGAACCGCATCACTTATATGACGTTGGCAATCAAAGAAACAAAATTTCTTATAAAGTCCTCTTTTTATGTAGTACTGTATTTATTATTCATGCAGGTTCCAACGTAGATAGTTAATCAAGAATTTTATTTTTTATTTCTTTTATTAAGTTGTTATAATTCAATTTAATTAAATTTTCAGTGATGCTTCGATGGAGGAAACATTGAAAAGGTATCTACTGCGGAAACCGATCACGCCACGTGACCTTCTACAGAAGCTGCATTCTAAACATAACAAAATAAATAGACTCTCTAAAAATCAACTCGAAGCCTGTTTGGCAGATATACTAAAGAAATTGAATCCCGAAGTGAACAAAATTGATGGAAAAATGTATCTTTCTCTCAAACCTGCTTTAACTGTTTCAAACAACACTGAAATTTGAAATTTTTTTTGTAATTAGACCTTTAAATTTTTTATGACGAATTTACCCAATAAAATGTTATTTTATTGTGATGAGCTTTGTTCTAACAACAACAACACACGTTTAGACGACATTTTCCCCGAGATCGGGAGTTGCCGTTTGGCTACCTATGATGAAACCGAAATACCCCTCGACGCCATCCACATCTGTCACTCGCCTCAGTATCACGCAACCCCGCTTTCACCCTGTCCTTCTCCACCTGCTCTCTCCATCCCAATCGCGGACGACCCCTTCCTACCACTCCTTCAACCTCGAACTCCGACGCTCGCCTAATCCCGACCCTTTCATCCCTTCACAACACATGTCCATTCCATGTGATGAGCTTTGTTCTAAAGAAAAATAAATACAGTGAATGAGGAACAACGATTAACTGAAATTGCACATGCTTCCAATAAAATTTGAAATTCAAAAGAATGCTGTAGGTTATCGTTTATTTATTTCCTCAGTCGGTGTTTCCAGACCAAAATGACTTGTAAATGTATGTGCTGTGCGCTGGTAAATTTTTAATCTATGGTGTGACATTTCTTCACTTCATTTTTATTTAAATAAAAGTAAACTTTAACGCGAGTCGAATGATAAAAATTGCCGTTCGTTCCATTGCACCGCCTATCAGTGGTGTTAAATTTAAAAGAACTCACAATCTAATAGTAAATTTTTGTGACGTAACTAAATCTATTAAATAATTATAATTAAATAACAGCAATAGTAGGGAAGGAAGATTAAAAAAAAAACGAAGGTCGGGGCGATTAATTCATTTTTTTTTAATTTTTTATAAATAAATTAATTTTTTAAGATTAATTAATTGTCCGGTAATTTGAGTTGTTAAATTTAATTTAAACCATCATAATACTTAATTATTTTATATGAGGTATGTATATGGACCATGAGGCCCCTAATTTTATCTAACTAAATCTAAATTGTTTTGAACATTTTTTTGAAATCAATGTCTACTTACTTTATCTGTTTCAGTTTATAGGATAAAGTAGATAAAGTTTATCTATTCTATCATCTTGTAGTTTATACTTGATTATGCCTATCAAACATACATTTTAGCTTGTAAAAATTATGTAACTTAATGTTTAATGACCTTTTAATTTTAAGTTATTTTATTTATCCATAAGCTAAGCAGAATAAGTTATCTATCAACTATGGTAACTTTTGAGAATGGTGATATCATATTACTAATAAGTCAAAAAGATTTAATTATTTTTTAGTATTTTTAAAAACCAAAAATTTTTCAGACTTTTTTGAAGTATCTTTTGTTTTGTTGCAATGTAAATGTAAAAAATATTTTTAAAAATTTTTATAGCAAATGTTGAAAAATTTTGAGTTGGGAGTCAAATTTTTATTCAAATAAAAGTAGTTCTACAGCTTTAAATCTTATATAAATAAAAACTCCTGTTTTATTCTTATTTCATTTCAGCTCCAATTGATGATAAAGTGTATTTATTATTCTTTTATCAATTTTAGATTATGAGAAAATTCGCTTTTAGAAGAAAATTATCATACCACCAAATTATTGTAGCATCCTTAGTTGGCTTCATGTCAGCTTTGTATGTGTGTCATCCAATGATTAAAAAGTACAGTGAAACAAAGAATTTGAAAAAACAAAATTTTGATAAATGAATTATATTTAATATATTGTTTTCAATATAATTATATCACCTGTTTTGTACAATGTATGTTTCATGTAAATATTTTTTTTTATAAACTAATCATGTTTGAAAATTCGTTCTTTAACGAGAATGTCATACACACTTATGAAAGAGTATTCATTTTAATCTGTTTAGTTCCTGTTAGTTGCACACTTCGTGATTTGCTACAAAAGTTATAAACGAATGAGTGATGTCAAAGCTGCTCTTCCAAAGCTATAGTTTTACAGTATCTTTATAAAATTTAAACTACCTCAACAATGTAACGAACTTGCGACATTGTTTTCGTGTGAAAAGTTTTTTCGCTAATCTTTAAATTAAAAATGTCTCTTTCGCATTTCAGTTAAACGTTTTTTATTATCTTGAAGAAATATCCCATTCAAAGACATTGGACACCGAAATCCGGTAATGAACGAATAAATAAAAATTTAATCAGTTTTAAAAAATGCAATAAAAATTCTAAGGTTTATATCTGTGGCATCATTCAAAAATCCAAGTTTAAACCATGGATATATATCCATTGTCTAAAACAACAACAACACACGTTTAGACGGCATTTTCCCCGAGATCGGGGTAACCGAAATACCCCTCGACGCTGTCCACATCTGTCACTCGCCTCAGTATCACGCAACCCCGCTTTCACCCTCTCCTTCTCCACCTGCTCTCTCCATCCCAATCGCGGACGACCCCTTCCTACCACTCCTTCAACCTCGAACTCCAACGCTCGCCTAATCCCGACCCTTTCATCCCTTCTCAACACATGTCCATACCACCGCAATCTCGATCTCCTTATCAATGTCACAATGTCCTCATTCAGTCCCATCATTGACATCAGCTCTGTACTACTCCTCCTATCCTTCACTTTAACCCCACACATCTTCCTCACCATAGCTCTTTCAGCCCTCTGCAGTACACTTTCCTCCTCTCGCATCAACACCCAAGTTTCACCACCATATACCATCGCTGCTCTCACACATGCTTTATATACCCTCCCTCTCATCTTCACTGACCATTTCTTTCCACACAATACCCCACCAAGTTTCCTAAATTTCATCCATCCAACACGAACTCTAGCCGTAACTGCGCTCAAACATCCTCCATCCGCATTCAGCTTATCCCCTAAGTAAACAAAGCTTTCCACTCTTTCAATACCACCACTCAACCCCGTCCTTGCGTCCGTCCTATTAATCACACCATGAACACATTTCTTACATTTGAACGTGCTTTCCACCTTTTTCAGTGCCCCCCTCACACCACTACATCTCTTATGCACCCATTTCTGACATCCTATACACAATACCGAGTTAGCCTTCACTCTCCTGTCACATACCCCACAGGGGTCTATTTTACTTATCACTCGCTCCCCACCTTCCCCACTCACCATTACCTTCGTCTTACCAATATTAACTTTTAACCCTTTCTTTTCAATAACACTTTTCCATCTGTCAAATTTTAACTGCAATTCTTCCATGCTATCAGCCATCAAGACTAAATCATCTGCATACAAAATCTCAAATAACACACACAACATCCATCACAATTGCAAACAGAAACGGTGATAACACTGATCCTTGATGCACTCCTACCTTAACACTAAAAGCGTCCGACATCCCCCTTCCAACCCTCACCTTTGTCTTTGCCCCTTCATACAACTGCATCACAGTTTTAACAAGTCTCTCATTCACTCCTTTCTTCCTCAACGCCCATTCAATGACCTTCCTCGGTACTCGATCAAAAGCCTTTTCTAGATCCACAAAACACATGTACAATCTTTGTTTCTTTTTTCTATAATTCTCCTGCAACATTCTCACCATGAACAACGCATCCACCGTTTCCCTACCAGGCATAAACCCACACTGCATTTCATTAACTGTCACCATACTTCTCAACCTCCTCTCAAGCACCCTCTCCACTACCTTCATTCCGTGCTCTAGTTATTTCACACCCCTATATGACCCACAATCTCTCACATCTCTTTTGCCCTTATACAACGGCACCAACACACGGTGTCGCCAATCCTCAGGTATACCTTCATCATCAAACATACTGTTAGCAATTCTCATCATAACTTCAATTCCTATCACCCCACTCGCTTTTATATGATCTGCCGCCACTTCCGAAACCCCTGTCGCCTTACCTAGTTTCATTTCTCTAACTGCTTTCTCTACTTCCTCCATCGTCACCTTCTCTATAGGTCCGTGTGTGACCGCGGATTCCACATCTCCATCCCACTCATTCTCTTCATTCATCAACCTTTCCATATGAGCTTTCCACACCTGAGCTTTTTCCTCCTCATCTTTGCACAACTTGCCAGATCCATCCCAAACACATCTATTCCCTATAACATCTTTCCTATCCCTCATTGACTGCTTTGCTACTTTGAACATTTTCTTCGAACTCACATCAAATTCCATTTCCTTCATTAACCTATCTGATGCTTTCGTCATTGCAGTTGCCACTGCCTGTTTTGCAACCTTCTTAGCCTTCCTATACTCAGACTCCGCTTCCTCCGTCATGTCCCTTCTCCATACCCTAAACCTCTCCTTCTTGACTTCCAAAACCCTTCTTATATCTTCATCCCACCACCACGTCTCACCATGCCTACACTTTTCTTTCGTCCATCCACATACTTTATCTGCCGTAGCCAACACACAGTCCTTGTATCTCTCACAAACATCTCCATCCTTACCACTCTCCCAATTTTCAGCCACCTTCACTTCAAATGCCTTCCTCACCTCTGCATCCTGCAACTTCCATGTCTTTCTCTTTGCCACAAACTTATCCTTCTTCCTCCTCCTCATTTCTTTTGATGTCATATCCATCACAACCATACTATGCTGCAACATGCCAGGTATCGCCTTCACATTCTTCACATACTTCCTATGTTTGGCCCTTACCAATATATAGTCTATCATCGATCTATGTTCCCCTGACCTATAAGTAATCAATCGCGCTGGTTCCCTTGTGAACCAGGTATTCCCCACCACCATGCTATGTGCATCCGCCAACTCCAACACTCTACGCCTTTCCTCATTCCGTATACCATATCCCCATCCCCCATGTACACCTTCATATCCGTCGGCATCCACCCCCACATGACCATTCAAATCACCCAACAACACCACAAACTCATCAAACTCCGCTTGCCCAATCTCGCCCAATCCATTGTCTAAACTAAAAGAATAATATATAAACACGCCCAATCCATTGTCTAAACTAAAAAAATAATATATAAACACACGAATAGAAATAAAATAAACGTGAATAAAGATGTAAACAAAATGAAAAAAAAATCGACAGATACGTAAATGAAAAATACCAAAATAAATCGGAAATGCATGTTATTTTGTTGAAGTTTTTCATAGAAAGGGACTGCATAATTTTTTGAAAACACGTTTTAAATCAAAATTTATATAAATTGGACAGCGTGCGGGTAAACAAGAAATATTTTGTTTTGAACCTGACCTGCAAGAAAACCAAAAATTTTGTACTACGTCAATACTAGCTGGCGTTAACTCTGACGGTAGAAGCGCCATATCTTGCGTTATTATGGCTCGATAACCTAGTTTGAGTGCAATCTATTGAAAACTCAAAAAATTGTACGTCATGTGTGTGGGATGCGGTGCTTGCTTGCGTGCGTACAGATAGAGATTGGCTACCTACTTATGTGGTGTGGTGCCTTCGTTTTTTAAGTAAATAATTATTAGGAAATTTTGTTCAATTGTAGCTACACGTTTTTGAAATATATAATTTGATTGAGAATTATATTTGAGAGAGGTTTTCGTTTTTGCCCACAAGTTATTTTTTATAATTATGTTTTATGGTTTATGTTCTACTTCTGGCCTTCTGGTGAAGGCCAGAAATAGAGGTTATATAACTATTGACTGATTTATAGGACAAAATAAATTATTTTTTTATATATAACTTATTATGTACAATTTTTGGAATTTTTTTAGACAAAATGAATTAGAAAACAATGTCAACAGAAAATTAATAAAATATTCATAAAACGCATTGCTTAGGGAAAGTCTCAACATCTAAATTGGTTTGCTTTGTTAACCGTCCCAATCGACAAACAAGAGATTTTGCCATTATGGGCAGTGAATTTTTTCTTTTCATGGTTTCATTGGTTTCCTCAACCGATGGACAAATGCAGTTTTTGAGTTGTTGCATTATCTTATGAGGATGATCTTCGTTGAAGATGTGTTTCAAAAAGTAGTAATAATTGAGTCCAGGTTGCAATGTTTTAACAACTGAACAGCAAGGACATTTGAAATGTAACTCATGAGATGTGCAGATAACGTCAGTTGAACTATAACATAGGTAACAATTAACTTCGTCACAATCTGTTTTTGATCTAATGCAATTGATGACCGGAGAAATTTTCCAAGTGTTGGTGCTTGGAAAGGTCACTGAAGAAAGTGTTGATGCATTAGAAGAATCGCTGAAATAGTTGCTCAGTTCGTTTGCGGATGCTTCGAGTGATGTTGATTTGCTTTTTTGTGGTGTGGTGTCGCTAGTGAGGTCGATGCCACGATCGACCAAATTGTCTGTTAAAATGATTTGTGATTTAAGTTCTGTACTACTTTGAACATTTTCAACGTTTTCTTCATCTTCGTCCTCATCTATGTACTTCATATTTACAAATATGTCTAGATTTGTGAAAGAAATGCTCGGAATTGGTGTAGCGTCGGTTTCAGCTGAAAAGTTCGATGAACAACCAGTTTCAGTTTTGATATTCTCTTCAGGAAGTGGAAAGGTTATTTCCTCGATGCCATCGTCGCTCTCTTCCTTTCCATCGCTTGTGTTAACGAGTAAACATCTCAGTAGCGAACTGTTTAGGCTGTTTCTTCTTTTACTAATGATGTTGGACAGACGTTTTGACGAAGATGAGTTGTATGTTTTTTCGTTCATGTTGACTGTTACTTGTGTTGTTAACATTTTTATAATTTCTATATAAAGAGCAAATTTTATTTGAGGTTGAAGAATTTTTGTAAAGTTCAATGTCTTTGTCGTTATTCATCGTTTTCGTTGCACATGCTGGATTCTCTCGTTCATTATATTTAACTGATTCACTGGATTCTTTCAATATTGATTTCCGTTTCAGGTTTTGGGTTGTGTTAGTTGAAGGCTGAGTAACAGTTTCATCAAATTTGAACGGACGCCCTATGTTGGAAATGTTATTACAAATCTGGTAACTCTGGTCCACCTCATTGAACAACAAGAAGGTTACTCGTCTCGCCATTTTAGTTCAGTTTATGAATAAAATTGTATCAGGTTATTTGCAAATACTTGAGATGAATTTTCAGAAATTTGGAAATTTTTTTGAGAACCTCGTGAAATTCCCAATTTATATAGGTGTCGATGGGATGGAATCAACCTTAGAGAGTTTATTGTTTAATTAATAATCGATGTCTTAATCGTATAGATTAAAAGTGATTAGCCATCTTTATTGATCTTGCTCAATATTCAAACAATCGATGATTGGCACGTGTAGTAAACATTCTAATTGCAATTAACAGTTGGAGACCGTTGAGTTGTGGCTCTCTTTACAATTGATTATTAGAATTTTGTTTTGTAAATATGTTTGAGATGAGTTGATTAGTGTGTTGTTGGGCTGATTTGATTGTTTTGTTTCATATTTGGTTAATCAAATGTTTCTATTGGAAATAATAAACTTGAAAAATATTTTGACAATTTTTAATAATTTGCTAAAAGCTACATTTTTCTATATGGATTTGTACTTGATCAATTATTTCGTTCTGTATTTTTTTAATCCTTGTGCTCAAATGAAAGTTTATGGATGTTTTTGAATGTATATACTTTGTTCATTTTTCCATTTTAAGATTTGAGTTAGACACGTTTCTTTCTATTTTATTTTCATTCTTATTCATGTCATCACATTAGTAAGCCTGTTTAATCAATGAAATAATAGCTCAACATTTTCGTTTGACCTATATGAATGAGAAATATTCTTCCACGTTTGAAATTTGTCCTACACTGCATTTTTGTCGATCGCCGGTGGCAGCTCAAGCTATTTTTTATTTGTACTGGTTCTATCCTATCGTGTTTTCTCCAACCCTAACGCGAACTGAAAGCAAATGACAATTCAAAGGAAATTGAATAAATATTTATTGCATTGGCTCGTAAGAAAAAATGTTGTTAAAATTTAAGTCTACAACATTTGAAACAAAAGTCAACATGATTTTTAACGACATCTTTGTCTTTACATAACGTCATTTTCGAGACCTGAAAATAGAACCTAACCACTTTTTAAAAATAAATTTGCTTTCATCTTTAATGTGTGATAATTTGTTAACATTATCAATATTTCCGAAATTTTTTTCGTCTTTGTCGGTTGCGGTGGGTTGTTTGTCTTGAGTCATTGATTGCACTGGCTGTGGGAGGACAAACTTTTTGCCGAGTTCTTTGGAATTAATCTTTCGTGTGTTCTCATCGAGCACCTTCAAGAGCAATCCATTCATGTAGGCCTCCATGTCCAAGATGTACAATTCTCTGTTCTTGATCCATTCCCTCTGGTCTATCACCAATTGGATTAATTCCTTTTAAACAAAAACACGTTTATGATCAAATTATTAAAATTTCAATTTATTACATTTTGGACAGAAAAATTAAAATCGAAATAGTAGTTAAAGCTAATGTTGAGTTATTTTATTTTCAATAATATAAATAATTGCATAGTTTAATTATTACAGATAATAGATACAATGCTTTCAAATATGTTAAAATTATGTTTCACAAAAATTCAATTCAAATTGAAGTCCAAAATACTTTATACGTAGTAAGCAAAAAAATGAACAATCGAAACTTCAGTCTTCGAAATTCAATAAATGGTTTCTAAAGAAAATTAAAAATATCTTAAATACGGAGATCTAAAGGAAATATTTAAAAAATTCGTTTGATGAAATCAAGAACATTTTTTGTTAAAACATTTGGGGCATAAGGAACTTAAATAAAGAAAACATTTAAATGAATTTTTGAGAAAATCATATCTGGGTGAAATTCAAAAAGTTGCTCTAATGGGAACTACCCAAAAATTTTAGTTTTAGAAAACTGTTCGCTATCGATAATAGGAATAACAAAAGGTTTTCATTTATATAGCACTTCACCGGCGCTTAGAACTAGTTTTTCCAGACACGCTAAAACATTGCATTGCTTTTGAACTCGGTCACTGCGAAACAGAAAACGGACACAATCTTTATTGAATACTATATTTCAACTTTGAAAAAAAGCGAATATAAATTGTTATAAGTATTGTTATGAGAATTAACGCCGTTTTCATTCTTAAAACAGTTGCTAAAATCAACGCCCTTTAATAAAATGTTTTATAAATTACCATTTGAGAGATTTAATAATTTAAAAAAAGTTGACTACGTACGTTTTTAGAGTAGCATTCTAGTTGGCGTGTGATGTTTGAAGCGTTGGTGTCTCGTGTGACTTTGTCTTTTGAGAAATTTGAGGTTTTTAAATTACTTTTACCACCGTTGATATATTCTTCTTCTGATCCTTGCAAGCTATCATAACTATCGAACTTTTCCAACAAATTTTTGTCTGAAAATTAAGAAACGGTTCACTGATGCTTCGAATTTGTTAAACGAACTAAAAAATATTTTAAATATTTTGATGTTGCAATTGAATGTTTATTTGCAGAATTTCATTTTACCGGCTTGTACAACTGTTTTAAACAGTTTTGAGTTTGAAGCTGTTTCTTCGTTGGCCGGACAAACATCTGTTTCAGCCTGGAATTCCTTTATAATTTCTCTTTTACAATTTGGTAAATCTTCAGTCAACTCTGGACTACTCTCTTTTTCATTTTGAGCATCTGCACAAAAGTTGATTAATTATTTAATTTATTTTGAATTGTTTAATAAATTGTATGCTTGATTTTGAATTTAACGGGTTTGAAATGATCTTAAAAAAGACATATTTTTAATAGATTTCAACTTATTAAATTGCTTTAACTTCAGCAAAAAGTAAAAATTACATTCCCTACATTTTCTTTATCTTAATGAACTTGCCACAGTCCAATGTAAACTATTAACTATTGAAGAACTGATTCTTATCAGTTTGCACAACCAGCTGACGGCAATCTGAGCGAGCCAGTTGAAAAGTTATATATTACCGTTATTTAACTCAAACTGAGGCCCTATGTTCAGTATTAAAATAATTTGTAAGTGTTTTTATTAACTTGATCTAATAGTAATTAATAAGTAGAACAAGAACATTTATCTTACTAACCAACATTTTCTAATGGACTGAATGAATCCAATGTTGAAAAATCGATCGTATGCCTCAGTCCGGTAAGCTGATATTTAAAATATTTAGTGTTTTTAATTGTTGAGTTCATGTTATCATTGTTAAATTTAAATAAAAATTTGTTCATATACGGACATAATAGGAGTTATTTGGAAATAATTTAATTGTACATATGCACCTAGCAAGTTTGTAACTTATAAAATGGAAACATGAAACGTCGTCTAGTGTTTAGTGTGGTCGAATGGATGCATAGGAAAACATAGTTGTTTATCAGACGTTTAAAAAATATAAAATATTGATATTTTTTTATAAACAGAATACAGAAATAAAAAAATTAACACTGGGCGAAATTTCTAAAAATAAAAATCAATAATATTGTGAATATTTATTTACCATAATTTACATTTTATTAATACCATCATATCAGTTCTTCATCATCAACATTTGATAAAGCCAACCGTTGGTTCTGATTTTCGTTTTCTTCTCAAAAATGTTTGATCGGACGATTCTGAAGATGTTGAAATATCCAACGGACTCTTCATTATTTCGTCTGGTGTCCAATATAGATCTTTTATTGTAGCTCCCATTGAACCAAATTTTGATATCGACTGGAATTATTAGTATTAACATTTCTATATTTAAAAATGGGATCAGCTTACTGAATTGTTTACATTTTTTCATTTAAATACTTTTAACACTGCTAGCTTGATTAATTTGAAATCCGTTTTTAAAACAACGTGAGCTGAGTGGATAAGATATTTTAAACTTTTATAAACTTTCAAACTTGTTTTTATTTAGATATTGATGTCGTGAATGATATTTTTTATAATTGAATGATACCGTTTGACTGATTGTATTTATAGATCATATGTTTTCAGCAAACAATATTGTGATTTTTAATAACATTATAACAGAAATATTACCAACTCGTTCGAAGTAAATCAAATTTGCTACACAACTTCATGCAACAAATATTCTCTATTATGATATGTATTATAATATAACAATTGCGCTGTGAACAATGAACGTACCAGTTCATTATCTCCACTTCTAGGCATCTGACACAAACTTTCTCTTCGCTTCTTAAATTCATTTTCAGCCTTTTTCACAGATAACTTCTCTCCTTATAAATTGTCAATAAGTGAATTACTTTGCGCCTTAAGAGCACAAATCTATAAAAGTTGTTAATTAATTAATTAAAATACTTTTCTTGAAATTAAAAGAATTATTACCGTTTAGAGGTTCATGTTGGAAAATAATACAGTTTTATGTTCTATAGTTAAATAATTTTTACGAAATAATTAGAAATTCAAATCCATCATTTACATATATGATACGATTGTTCTATCGAAGTAAAAAAAAATGAACAAATTTTATTAAAAAATTATGGACAAAATATTTGAGACCGCTATACTATCAATGATAAAATTAACCTGTTTGCATTAATTGGCAGATTTTAGCCTAAATAATGTTCCAACTTTAACAGGCAACACAAAATAAATAAACAAAGTGGCCTATAATTAGAGAAAACGAACGAACCAAATTTGACGGCTAAGTTTTTGAACGATGTTGACTTCCGAAGGAATGAATAATTTTCCTTGATAGCGGTGAGTGTTTCCCCATATACCAAGGTTAACAATATCTCTCCTTCATCATTGCCTTGATTTTGCAGTCTAAACCAGCTGATCGTAGAGACAAAAAATTGTGATTTTAAATTAAATATTACATAATTTGAAGACCTACTAAATATCAGACTTTATTTTATTCAAAATAAAATTGATAATGCTGACGGATAGCAAGAGGTTATATTGGTTTGTATCAGGTTAATTTTGAATATTATAAAAAATATTAGTTTTAAAAGCGCATAATTGAAAAATGTTATGCAATTTATATAATTATTTTTTCTTACGTTTTTAAATTTTTGAACAAAATTTTGTGATGAGTTATGTTTTTTTTTCAAAAATAAGTGAAACGCCTTCTACGGGGTACAGAACTTAACATTACAGAAATTAAGACCGGAGGCAGTACGCTGGTGACAGCAATATGACTTACCGACCACTGATAGATATTATTGCAGGTTGGTTTCTCAAGAAGAATTCGGAGGAAGTTGAAGTCTGGAGAATTCATTCAAAATAACCACAGATTAACGTTGCCAATTTGACAAGAAAGACTTCTAGAGAATGAACTTCAAATTGAGAAATAAGTTGTGGCAGAATATATTTGTTTTATAAAATTTTCTACAACTCGGTAAACATGTCTTTTTCTTGGTTGACATTTCACTGCCTGCCGAGAGACGTCCAGCAAGTGATAGTTGCAGCATTTGTACATTTGCAACGAAGTAAATGAGCTATTAACTACAGGTTTGGCATTCTGAAGAAAGGACACACTGTAAATCTAATCTATAAATTGTTGTACATTAATATACAAAACCAAAACTTGATGAGGACAAACACTGTCAAAACGTCTTGTTTGAATTGTTGTTTGATTTAGCGCTTTGTAAACTTATTATGAGTAATAATCATTAATATTAAGTATTGATCATTTATTAACACAAACTTCGTTTTAGGGGATTTGTAACAAGTAAGCTCTTTCAAAAGAATCTCCGCTGAACCAAGCAGTTCATCATTGAGCAATAAAAAATTTCGATTGCACACTTTTACAATTATTGACCGGGTGTCGTTTGATTCAGGATTCCTGTATAGAAATAAATAAAATATTTAAATAGTTTCTTTTTTTAACAATTAAATGATCAATTCGATTGTAATACTATTTTTATGTTATTTTGAGAAATGTTGAAAAAACTTATTAATAAATTGTTTTTGTTGTGGATGGAATTTACAAAAAATGTTGAATAAGTTTTTGAAATCGTACAAAATACATTCTTCGTTCCATTCAGGATTTAATGTTCTGTTTTTGACCGAAGTGGCGTGCTTTTCCTTTCCGAATTTGACCACTACATAGCTATCAAGTGAGTCTGATGAAAGATTTTTGAACGAAATTTTTACAATAACAACCTTACTAGCTGACGATCAGTGGGGTTATTTATTAATGCGGATTAACCATCGCAGTAGTCGTAGTTAAAATATTGGGCACATAAGTGGCAAACGAATTTATTGAAACTCCCAGCACACTCAGTTTTGGTTAAATATTAAAAAAATAAGCCTTTTGTGATATTTTTATAAACGACAGAGCTGCGTTAATGCTTCAGTTAAACGAGATAAATATTTTACTAACAAAATTTATCAGCTAAACATCTAACATTGTCAAACACAACAAAATAATCAAAAAGTTAACTGACCTGTCTTCACCTTAGAATGCACATTTCGTGTTTTGTGTACTGAAATCGAGAATATAAATGAAAATATTGCGCATAAAATAGAACAGCCGGTGAAATATTAATCCTCTTATAAATTCAATAAGATTGCGTAATAAAACTTTTAAACATGATATTTTTATATTTTTTTTTGTAGTTAAAGTTAGAAAATGTTTGAAAAGCTACGTTTACAATTACAAAACTTATTATATTGTGAAGAGCAAAATGTTTACTTGTTAATTTCAGTCTTGGTTGGTTTAACATATCTTTCTTAGTAAAGACAAAAATTTTAAAATTTCAAGTTGCGGAATCGACAAATTAGAAAAGTTAACGACAAATCAGTGCTAAATTTATCAAATAAATTTCAATGAGTTAAAAACTGTTCAATTAGAGTGCACATAAACAGCAACATGCTTTTACTTATGCTTAAAAAGAAAATCTTACAACAACATAATGGTAAAAACTGCGTTGTTCAGCTTTTAACGTTTAGTGTAGATGAGCTAGAAAGCAGAACAATGAGTCTGTATGCCTGCGAAGTAATGTGGAGGCAAGGCAACATATTAGTCGCGTTGACTTTAACAATGTATTGTAATTATACATTCATACTCGGAAGATTGCAGTACGAAATTTTGACATACAACACAAAACAGCAGATAAAAAAGGATCAAGTAGCTCTGTCTTACGAAGACCATTCCATGTCTTTGGTCCATAAACTGGGATAACGCGCGAACCAATTTTCAGCAGATTCAAGTGGTCACTTCTTAAATGTCTGGATGACAGCTTCATTAAACATCTATCATTCAAAAACTTAGGTGCCAAACCATTCACAACTTTAAATATCAACAACAACATTTCTACTAACTCCTACTAACAACCAGCCACTGCAATTCATTCAAATCGGAGAAACATGATCAAACTTAGAAGCACCCACAACAATTTTAGAGGCCCAATTTACGATTTTGAAATGAAGCATTTTTATAGACTTTGCAGGCAGACTAAAACACAAACATTAACAAAAATTTAAACGAGGCAAAATTCACTAATTTACAAAATTTCAAGTTTCAAAATACTTTGTTCTTGACAAAAAGGGACACACGAACTTATTCGTTTTTCTGTTTGATGATTTTCACACCTTGCCAAAATAAATAATTTTAAAGACAATAATTATGCGATTTTTTAGAGATCAAGATAAGATCATATTTTTAAATATCAGCAAAGGCGCGTCAATCACAAGGTAACGTGACTCAATAGACGTATTATTTCACTTGAGGAATTTAAATTTTTGCCCGGCGTGATGATGATGTAGTAAGGTGTCCGATTTTTGTATTCCAGAGACCAGATTCAAATGAATATGATCCTGTATTAATGAGAAAGTTGAATATAGAAGCGCGAAACGTGCTATATAAATTAAAACAATTTTTACATTTCTTTATAAAAATTTCAATCGTTTACTTTTATTTGCGCAACATACGTTACATCTTTAATTCTCAAGAAACATGAGGAGATGGTTTGCTATGGAGACAGTTTGACATAACATAATATGTGTGGACACTTAGTTAGGAAAAAAAGAAATAAAAAATATTTTGAACGTGTCCATGTGAGCGTTTGTTCTGAAAACAATATTTATTAAACGTTTTGCTTGTTTACATATTGTAAAAATTTACTTACCAACTTCTAAAACAAAGCAAAAGTAAGTAGAATATATGTGCGATTTTCGAACCAAAAATATTACATTCAAACTTTATATAATCATATCATGTCTATTATTTGATTCAAACTACGTAACATCTTGTAAGTTACTCATTATTTTAAAAGATTTTGTAGGAATGGGTGAGACCAGGTTCCTCTAGCCCTGGCAGTTTGGTGATCAATATATTTGATCAATGTCATAAAAAAGATTAACTCAAATATTTTGAAGAATAGTCTCTCTCTCTCTCTCTCTCTCTATATATATATATATATATATATATATATATATATATCAATAATAATAAGTACCTTGATAATTATATATATATATATATATATATATATATATATATATATATATATATATATATATATCTTTTTAAGGTTATTGATATATTTTAAACATGGAAAACAAAGAAACTTTGATGCAAGACAAAAAATGCTATAGTTTCAAAAAAGAACAAATGGATGTTGCCCAAAAAAATTATGCAACTGATCATGAGAACCAAACATTCTTCATGTCAAATGATGCTGAAGAGAGTGCTTGTCTTGATGTTAGCGATGAACATAACAGCAATGTATCTACCGAAAATAGACTTTATGTTAATAAGGAAATGGATTTTTTACCAATGGAGGTTGAACATGAAACAGATGTAAATACCATTAATGACAATGATCGCCAAAATGTTAGTTGTTAACTTTGAATGTGACTGATATGAAATGGCTGAACTCTTATTGACTGATATGAAATGGCTAAACAGTTAGCATCGGCATCATGTGGTTTTCAAAATTTAATTTATTTGAAGATATGTATATTAAGAGATATAAAATATCTGACAACGTGATTCCATACCTTTTTAATAGCAATAATATTGACAATATGACAAAAAATTTCAAGAAAAATTTCCGTGTCTTCAAAATTTTTTCCACGCGTTTAAGTTTAAAATTTTCAAAGACATCTATCTCTTACTTGAAACTTTTCTTTAAAATCACATAAAAGTATCAGAATATAAAATCTACTGTGAATCTATTGTTCTTGAATCCGCTTGAATGTTTGGACAGACTCTGAAAAGCGTAGGTTCGAGTTTTGTAATGTCATTCCTGTAAAAATCTTACGAACATTGAATAGTTCCAGCAATTTGCTTAGACCTGTTACTTTTCTTACCTTGATTTAGAGCCTTTTCCGTTGATCCAGTTTACAATTTTAAGTTTGTAATGTAAGACTCATCAGTGCTGTGCTCTCTTTTTTAATTTTTCAAATCTTTTAGAAAAATTGCTTTATTTTTCACTGAAGTGTTTTTAATTAGTAATCGCTTTTTGTGTTTAGTTTTTAACTGCAGGTTTAATTTTTTATTTCTGTTTACCGTTGTTAATTTACAGTGAGTGGCTTAACGAGCTGACAGTTTCGAGCAACTCTCTAATGATGAATGATGATCAAGATGTTTGCTATTACCATTTTAAAATGATATTTTTCTATAATATTCATTGAATAATTTGTTTTCACGATAAAATTACTATAATTAAACATTAGAATTACGAAATGTAAAGATTAGTTTTAAAACAAAACTTAAGAAAGGAACGCAGATTAGTCTCAGTTCGTGATTTTAACATTTTTAATGTGAAAGAATTCAGATTTTGAAATGAGAATCTGTTCTCACTATTTTTACTATCGCTCAAACGACAAGATGTAAAGATGATCTGCACATATTCATTGTTTTGACTCTAATGGTGGTAAAACTGCATAAGCAATGAAAAATAACATATACAACATGTTCATTTATTATGTATATAAAATCGTTCGATTTTTTTGAAGTGTTTCTAAATACAAGTCAAAGTTGTTTTGAATGATTGTTAAGTCCGATTTGACAAAATCGTTAGCCGCAATTTATTTCTCTTAAATTTACTTCATATAATTAATTTTTAATTATAAAAATAAAAAATGAAATTTACGGAAATAATGTTCATTTTTAAAAATAACTAATCCATTTAACAAAAATGATTTTTAAGAGATTTCAGGATCCTTATTTCATAAAGAGTTGTCAGATTTATGAAGATGAAATTGCTTGTACAGAATTGTTTGCTCCTGACATTGCCGCAACAAGCCAGTTGATTCAAGAAAATATACGTCGTAACAATTGTGATGTACTGGAAAATGACTTAGTTACTGAAGAAGCACCAAATTGGCGATTATTTAATGATGCCCTGGAAAAACATAATAAAAGTGTAATTTGCGAGAAACAAGAAAATGAAAAATTAACGATTGAGAAAGAAATGAAAAAAACTGTCAAAAGTTCTGAAAGCTACATGTTAGAAATGAATAATCATGTTACTTATAATACAAAATCAGATGACAATCAAATCAATCAGCTTCCAATGACAAAATACGATCTTTGTGAATTTCAAAATATGTTTGCAAAGACAAATGATTATGAAAAAAAAATGTCAACAGATCGTTGTTCAAAACATTCCGACGTCACTTCTTTGTTCGCGGAAAAGACAGTAACAGCATCAAAAGGAGATGTTATATCAAATGGTTTTAATATTTCTCCAGCAGTTGAACAAGGAATTGCCAAAAAAATAATTAGTTTGTTTGAAAATAGAAAGGAAAATAATGTGTCCAACGAATTCAAAACAGATATTGACTTTAATAAAGCAGAAGGTTTTACAAAGACACTGAAAGAAAAATCTATCGTGACAAAAAGTTTATCAACCGATGTCAATAATCATATCCCTGGAGATTTTATAGTGTCAATAGCTAACAAATCTTTATTTCCAAATAATGATAATATACTTCCAAAATTAGAAAAGTTTTCAAAAGTAGATTGTAGGGAAGAATATTGTGTAACGGAAAATACATCCAAATGTTTTCCATCATTCAACTCATACAATGAAAAGTCAATTCCTCAAGGAATTGCAAAAACCTTAATCGAAAAGTGGAAAACAAATGATTTGGAAAACCATAATGACGGGACCAAATCTTTAAAATATTTGGATATCAATGCAATTATAGAAGCCGGCCAAGCTTCTCAATCTGGGATATTTGAAAACGATCCGGAAGTAAGAATTGATGTATCTAGGGAAGAAGATCAACTGCCAGAAGTAAAATCACTTGAACAAATGAAAGCTACAAAAGAATTGTGGCATAAGATGGTTAAACAAAATCCTATTAAAAATAAGTAAATACAGCTTTTCATTTTACTTTTTAAAAAACTAACCCGTTCCTTGAGTTATATAACACATTTTAAAAATTTTTGTTGCATCTATTCTAAAGCTTTTGTGTATAATAAAAATTATCCAAAAAAATTCGAAATTTTTAAAAATTTGATTTCAGCATTATATGCCTAATCCTAAGAACAATCAGCTGAAGCACTCATTGTCAGACAATTAGAATAAATTGAAGTAATAAAACCAAAAAACATTTATAAACTAAAAGTATTGAATATAGATTGAAAACATAGAATTGTAATGCCCATTTTTTGTCCATGCATAGCAGATTGAAAGAATGAATTTCTAGAAGCCAATGAATTGCTAGTTATAATTTGCGGCGGTTGGTCAAAAAGCGTTGTTGACTATGATATGAATGTTATTTGACGAATTTGCAGTTAATGATCGCAGGCATCTATTGAAATTTTCAGTTGGTTGTAATCACGTTTCTGTGACGAGGTGGTTGTGATGCTGGTAGAAAGTAGAGTCACCGATGTTATTGCTGAAATTTTTAATTGAAAATCAATATTTGACTGAAAACTAGTGGATATTTTGAAGCTTATCTTTTTAAGTTGAGTACGACGCTAGATTTTGATGACCAGAGACGGTCTTAGAGGGTTGCGGGAAACAAACAAAGAAATAAAAAAATTATATAGCAAAATTTACTTAGTATATTAACATTATTGGATACATTATTAATGTGGAGTCTTTCGTGCTGAACATTTTTTGTTGCGCGTCATATGGTGGTGTCACAGTAACAAGATTAATGAAGTTTATGGCAATAGGGGGTATTTATATTTTCTGAACTGTTTGGGTTTTAAGAGGAGAGGATAGGTTGCTTTTTGTGAATATATAACTTTCTATTAAGAATGATATGAAAACAATATAAGTTATCGCATTTTAACAATAAAAATTATATTTGCTATATATCATTTACGAAGTTTTTGAATATTGAACATCCTCCATTTATCTGAAACGTTTTTGAATCAAATCTTTCATTTTTCTTCTCATTAAAATTGTCAAACAACAAATTTGTAATTCGCATCCATATGGCATACCCTGATATTGTTAGTCATTCTTGGCTCTTGCATTCGAATATTTTCAAGTGAATTCATGTTTTTTTTTTATTTTTGATTCCAAAGCTGAACTTAGTACTCTAGTTTAAGTCAGCCTGATATAGGTTTAATATGACGATTATTATGACGCCGATAGTCTAATGTCTAGGGCTCCCATATGTCCTTTTTTTAAGAGGACAGTCCTTTTTTTTACATTGGTGTCCTTTTTAAAATCTGTTCTTCAATTTCTTTAATTTTGTCCTTTTTTTTAAAATGTGTCCTTTTTTTGTCCTTTTTTTTCATTATTAAGTTTGAAAATATAACACAACATCACGGTAACCTCGGAGACGGCAAAGTGGTTTTTCCAGAAATATTTATTTATACTCAACAGTTTAAAGAGACTCATAAGCTCCACCCACGGTGCAACTAATAAACTAAATACAGCCTGCATGTTCGTTGGTTAGCGACAGCATAATGTAAACAGCCGAAATACTAAAAAAAGGAAAACTGTTTTTTGAGTAGTTATTTTTAAAATGTTATTGAATTTAAAAAAAATAAATAAAATGTAAAACGCTTGACAATGCAATCTACCCTTAAACGATTTTGAATAAAAATATAACCTGAATTTTATGCTTTGTACCATAAAATTAAAATAAATATAACGGCCTTCGCTCATTTTTGACGGTCGAACAAGGAGCTTACTTCCGGAGGAAAATTGGAGGGTGATTTTTTATCGCCTAAGTCAAAAGTTGCGATCGTATATTTACTAATTTCGGAATAATGCTTTTATTTAAAATTTCAAAATGTTTTAAAAGGTGATACTAGATGCTGTTTTGGGATAGATATTGCTGTATGACGGTTAAGTATTTTTTTGGATTTTAAATAAAAAAAATTTTTTGTGAACAACTAATTAGTAATTAAATTACTAAACTAAACTCTAATAAATAATTAAACTAAAACTAATCTCTACTGATTCTAATTACTAATTGAAATAAATAACAGATAACACTAACAAACATTAACAGATTAGACTACTAGAAACTACCAACCACTACCTACACTAATACATACTACTACTACACTAATGACTAACAGCACTTGTTCCTAAGATCCTAAATTCTATTGCTTGATTGGTTTTAAAATTTTTATTTACAATGCTTAGGTCTGGGAATAAAAAATATACTAAATTAAATAAATATATTAAACAACTTACCAATCAATTTTATAAACAATTAAATAAACAATTTTGTAATTTGTTCAATTCAAGCTTCAAACTCCCCAAGCTAACTTGCAATTTAATTAAAATTTATTAATTATGAGTGATTCAAACTAAATTTTTTTTCATTTAATGTTTTACAAAATATTCCTCATTCTTAAATTGTAGTACATGTTGTTATTAAATTTATTAAAGATAATGTGTGATTCCAGTGATCATCAATCCATGACTTGTTAGATCATGATCATTCAGTTTTAAAGAATCCCCATCACCATAACCAATGAGGTTTGTAAAAATTGTACTTTTAATTTATTATATTTTATGCACTTAGAATGTTGTATTATTAATTATTAATACCTCGGGAAACCGGGTCTCTGGACGCAAAACGAAGATTGATTGATTGATTAATTATTATCATTAATTTATTAAATGCTGTGCATACCTATGGCAAGTAAATAAAATAATTAAGCATAGAAATAGCCACAATCAAATTAATTTATATAGGCATGAGTATAATTTGGATAATAATAATTAAAAATATCGGTATCATTGAAAATGGATAAAGTCATAAATAAAAAAATAAATCATAAATTGCTAAAAATAATAGTTCCAGTAAGCTTTTGCCTTACACCTACATCTTTTTTTCATTCTTATATTATAATAAATGTTTGTTATCAAATATATCAAGGATTGATTTCTCAATCAATGACTAGATTGAATGTCATGACCCTACAGTTCCAGAGGATCCCCATCACTATTAGTCAATAAGGTTTGTAGAAATCATCCCAGACATACCATCAATGTTTTGTAGCCACCTTTTAATGTAGTGTTAATAAAATGACATTGAGAATAGTTATTTAAAACAATCTTATTAAAACTATTGAACAGGTATGACAAGATTACTTTCTTAATGTCCTAGTGTGAGGAAGATGTAAGCCATTTGTCCAAAGATAATGCCTTATGCCCATACAAATGCAGTGTCAACGCGAATGATTTTTGATCAGAGTCATATGTTCTAATTTTTTTAAACTTTTCCAGAAATTTTTTTGTTAATTTATTTGTTACAATAAATACTTGATGTGTATTTCATATAAAAACTTGATTATGCCAATTTAGTTAACTTGTTAAGCATTAATATAAAATTGACTCTACTTGTAATGGTGATTGGTATGATGATGATGATCCCAGTCCTAAACAGGGTTTATTATTCACAATGTCATTATGCCCTTTCTAAGTTTTAATAAAATACATGGAATATTGGTGAATGCATTTTATATTTTTTGTATAGATAATGTTGCAATGTACAATGATGATGTGAATTGCTTCCTTGTGTAACTGATGACATATAAATCCAACTAACTTGAAAACATGGGAATGCTTTTTTCAGCATTACCTTCCTTTCTCCATCATAACCCTTATAATCTTTATTACAGAAATATGGTCACTGCATATTCTTGCATTTTTTGATGGAAGCCATTTGAAATCATTTATTTCCTGTCTGATGCACTTAATCCAATCGTTTTGCATTTTTACATTTTGAGGAAATCTGAAATTTTATAAACTGTTACAGAAACTTGTGCATTTCTCTGGTATTGCTTTTAATAATAAAATGGTAATCCATGATAGCATTATATTATAAATTATAATAGTCTATAAAATAAAATATATGTAATTGTAAAACAAAATAGTTCTATTCAACGAGTATAGGGGTATTGTTACATTTATTTTAGTGTGAAGTTAATTTGAAAATAAACCTGGGAAAAGATGCATCAGAAATTTTTTCATTTCTATTTATTATTAATGCAATTTTTAATGCAACAGGTAGGCATGTTTGTGTATAGCTACGAAAATGAAAATTTACTTAAAAACAAAATTATTGTATCTGACACGAAAATAAGTACAGAAACAAAAACGAAAGAATAAATGACAATATAAAAATTTAAACATTGATTGAAAGAGTTTATTCTAATTATATGGTATGGGCAATTCGTTGCGAAATCGTTGGAGGAAATGGTGTCAACAGTAGTTATTTTACTGCATGGTAGTTAATCAGCCGGTATAAAGGTTATATTCAATTCCTATCAAATAAATTTGACAAAATATACACAGGCAGAACTAAATAAAGAAATAGACATGTAGTTATAATACATTTATAATGTTGTATTTAAACATTCAAATTGTACAATTGTGTTATGGTGTAGTCTCAAATTATCGTGAATTCTCTCAAAAAATTTTAAACGTTTTACTACACTATATATACTAGTTATTTTTATCAACAATTTAAAAATTTTATCAATAATTAAAAAAAAATTTCAAATTGATTTCATTGTGATATCGATAATGATTTTTTTAACATGACTGATTAAAAAGCATCAAAGAAAGTTAAAATAGGATGGAGAATTTGTTATATTGGGATATTCGTTTAAAAAGCAAGCAAAATTTTAATATAAAAGCGCTTATAAATCTATGCATATTGGCTCAGCTTGGCTTGGCTCGGCTTGGAATCGGATTTTAAGCAACAATTACATTAAGTAGCTATATAGGTAGGTTAGATAGGCATAATTTTAATTGTAGGTAGGATAGATAGGGAGCATCCAACACTAATGTAGTTGAATAGGTAGGCAGCGTAAGTTTATCTCTTCTATTTTATCTTGCACCCACATTACACGCACCAGCGTATTACACACACACACACACACATACATACATAAACACATATGTTAGTATTTGAGCGTAATTTTATTTTCATTACACATTCTAATTTATTATTACTAAGGTTGAGAGTTATTTAATTTCATAGGTAGTTAAGAGCAATAATGTAATTCTAGAAAAAATCTTGTAATGTAAATTAAAACGCTGTAAGTGTATCGATAGGTAGGTTAATTGTTAAGTTTTACATTATCATTATTAAGTTGGAGCCCAAGACATTACGTAGGTGGTGGGGTGGGTGCCGAAAGGCCAATGAATTGGGCTCTTGAGTTTTATAATTTTAGGTAAGCTAGGACCGTAATGTAATGAATAGGTAGGTTAAGGCTACGTTGTAACACATACTCATTAATAGATTCAGGGTTTAAGTTTTATATTATTATTACTAAGTTGGAGCCCAAGGCATTACGTAGGTGGTGGGGTGGGTGCCGAAAGGCCAATGAATTGGGCTCTTGAGTTGTTTAATTTTAGGTAAGCTAGGGCTTAATTGTAATGAATAGGTAAGTTGAGGGTACGATAGCCGATAGACTCTGAATTTCAAAGTCTCTTGTCAGAGGTAAGCCTTGGCGGCCAGTGGTGAACCGGCAATGGTTTACTATCCGGACGGCAATGGTTTACTATCTGCACGGTAATGATTTACTATGCGGCATGGCCATAGTCTACTACCCGCACGGCTTCCGGACGGCAAATGGTTTACTATCCGCAAGGCAGTAGTCTACTAACCGCACGGCAATGGTTTACTATCCGGTGCCCTGGCTGTCGGTGAACCTCTGTGCAAGGAGGGAGAATGAAGGGGAACTTTTGACTATCGTACCATTAACATATTATAGATTAGTTAAGGTAATTGAATAGGTAGATAGGATTATTTTTATTAAGCAATTTAAGATGCAGGCTCCGCTAAGCTTTCTAATGAGAATTTTCTCTTTCTCCATTCCACGGGCTATGTTTCAACAATCTCGAGGAGGACTGGCACCAGTTTTGGAGGACAACGCAGGAAACGGAAGGCACTCATCATTTTGCCTTTGTCAAATGGACGACGGTAAGTTTTTTTTACATTTTACTCTCTTTATTATTTTCAAATATTATTTATTTGCCATTATTTCCATTTTATAATTTTTTGCTTCTAAGATTCTAACATTCATCTACTACTAAGCTAATAAAAATAACTTGTCTATAGACTGATGAGAGGTGGGCAGTGGTGGGCGTCAGCACGTTTCAGATGGTGGTCTCATGATGATCGTTCCGATAACAACTCGAAGAAAACAACAACGACGATTTTTGAAGTATGGTTTAGTTTCGTTGTTTTTATTTTTTTCATTCATTCATTTTGTCACACAATCTTTCATTCATCCATTAATTGACTCATTCTATTCATTCATTGAATCATAGATTGGTTAATTAATTCATTCAATCACTCAATCATTCGCTCAATCATTTATTCGGTTGTTCTTTCGTTTTAACATTCATTTAGTACTAAGCCAATAAAAAAAATTTGTCTACAGAATGATCAGAGGTGGGTTGTGGTGGGAGTCAGCACGTTTCATGATGGTAATCTCATGGTAAAATAAGTTGCTCCTTACTTTTTTTCAATGGCTTGTTTTTTATTTTAAAAATTTAACTTTTTCTTTCAATTTTGTTTTTCAGTATCCGGTAAAATTCATTTCCTCCGTGCGTGTCAGATGATGGTCGGTGCAATGGAGGTTCGTCCGTAGTGGGTGAAGAAGTTTCTGGGGAGTACGCGTTTACATACACGCACACACATAAATACAACACACACATACACAACATCCATTCATTCGGTGTCGTTGTTGTTATGTTTCTCTTCAACTTTCTATTTTCTTTACCGGACTTAATTTAATTCATAGGTAAGTTAGGGATTGAGATGAGTTGAACAACTGTAGGTAGGCTAGGGCTTAACATTAGTTAAAAAGTTTCAAGTAAAATATTAACATTAACATAAATTAAAAGCTTCAAGTAAAATTAAAACGTTAAAATATGTAAAATAAATGAGTTGAGTTATTATTACAGGTAAGCTAGGGCACTGAGAGTAATTTAATTGTAGGTAGGTGACTGACTACTATTCTTGCGACTTTTTAATATTTTTTTTTGTGGTGTGTTTGTTTTCGCTTCTTAGCACCAAACAACATCAACAAAACAAACTACAATTTTTTTTGTCGTCGCCTTAAATTTTACCATTTTTGAACAATCTTTTTAATAATGTCTATTTATTTGTAAAATGTTGACTGGTTTCTAGTTTCTTATTTTGGTTATATAATTTTTGGATATTTCCTGATTTACTTTGTATATATGCACTGTTTGGTATGTTGATTTAGTCATTATGATATGCTGTGAACTGTCCTTACTAAATATTCATGTTTCGTGATAATTATTTTTTATCGATCGATATTTTGTTATATTTGTTTGTTTAAAATCTGAACTTTTTAAAAAATTGACATTTAACAAATTTTAATTTCGTCACTTTTCATCTTTTGATGATGTCAAATAAAAGCAACTGTTGTGTTTTTCTTTTCTTACTAAAATCTCGAATACAAACATGTACAAAGAGACACAGACGCAGACACACATACAAACATACATACATACATACATACACGCATACTGCCATCATATATACGCAGTACAATAAACATTCATGTCATTTCTGTCAATGTATTTTAAGTATGTTATACTGTTAATCTTATTAACTATGATGACGATCATCATCATCATCATCACAACCATCATCAACGAACAACAATAACAACAATATAATAATAATTACAACAACAACAACAACGAAATAAAAATAGTTGTTCTCATTATGCATTTCAAAAGCTTGCATTCTTCTTTTAATACAAGCGTTATATATATATATATATGTGTGTGTATGTGTGTGTGAGTTTGTTTGTGTGTGTGTGCGTGTATGTGTATTGTATATTTTTATCTATTTATTTTTACCCCTTGTCTCATTCTCTCTCTCTCTCTCTCTCTCTCTCTCTCTCTCTCTCTCTCTTTTTCTTACTTTATATATATATAAACATATATATATATATATATACATATATGACTGGCTGGCTGGCTGGCTGGCTGACCGACCGACCGACTGACTGATTGTTTGATTGATTTATCTCATAGTATTGTATACATGAGAAAAATCCGATTAAGCCAACCTACGGCTTCAGTAAGCCACTGTTTTTCACCTGACAAAAGCAATTTCTATATTTATATTGACAAAAATAATTGTGATATGAATATATTGATTTATTTAAAGCATTATATGTACAAAAAAGTGCTATCGGAAGAGTTCTATGAAACCCTGTAAGCCACTGCTGTAAGCCAACGTATGATTTCAGCAGCCAGTTTCTTATGAGCACCAGCAGAATGTAAAATATTCATTGAATATAATGAAGATAGTTGTTCAAATAACAATTTTGATTTATTTAGGCCGTTTATTTCATAAGCAAACCAATTTTTAACATGATCGAGTAGTGTAAAAAAAGGGTGACTATAGTTCAATCCTACTAAGCCAACCTTCGGCTTCAGTAAGCCGCCTTATTTCACCGGACCAAAAGCCATTTTTATATTCAAATTAACAAAAATAATTTAATAATACATAATTCTATTAATCATTATTAAAATTAAATAGAATTACTACAATGTTTTAAGCATATTAAATCAAGTAAATATCTCATTTAGCTTGCTCGTTAAAATCCATGCAATTTCGTAAGCCAACAATCCAAGCACGACAAATAGCCCGACCGATAGATCGAATTGATCGATTAGTCCTATTATTCTAGTTATGTGGTTTGGAGCAAGGGGAAACATTACTGAAAATAATTAAAAGTTGAAAAAATTGAGGTTCTTTGCATATCTCTGCTTCAACCCATAAGAAGGTGTTGTATGCTGGTAAATAGGCCTCCCCTTGCTTTGTACCCGTTGAGAAATGTTATAGCTCAATTTCTAAAACTAAATAGATCTACCCACCGGTTATGAAGTAAAAATTTTAAAAAATAAGCGGTTTTTTGAAGAATTTTAATTTTTAAATGTTTATGACTTTAAAATTGAAAAACATGAATGAAAAACGTTTAACGAAGAAAAGAATAATTCATACAACATAATGTTATAGTTCAATTTTTAAAACTTAACAGATCTATCCGCCGATTATGAAGTAAAAATCATGGAATTATATTACTGGAAGCGCCCTACCAGCGTTTTAACATTGAAAATTTTTTTCAACGGCAAGTTACCTCTGGAAGCATGTTTCTAAAAATTAATAATTTGTTTTGAAAGTGAAACTATCTTTTTAACAGATACGTTTAAAATTTTGTTACACATTTTGTAATGTATCATATTTTTATAACTTTATAGAGGTTTTGTGGTTTTTCTAGTAAAAATTGGTTTAAAATTTTTATTTTAAACTTTTATTATAAGCTTTTATTATTTAGTTTAACTTTTAGTTGTACCGTGGGAGGAACTTATGAGTCTCTTTAAACTGTTGACCATAAATAAATATTGCTGGAAAAACCACTTTGCCGTCTCCGAGATTACCCAACATCACATCATAAGTATAAATCAATAATCATAATGCTTAAAATAATTAAAAAAAATAAATAAATTATTTATACATCATAAATCATAATGCTGCTCTTAATAATTGTTTCCAGGTATATAATGCTTATGTTCTGTCCAATCTATAGATTAAAATTCCATGGTTCGAAATAACTTCTATAACAATACTATTTATGATTTCATGTCCATCTAACTTCACTGTGCGTGGAGCGCGTTCTCTTCTTCGCGTGACGTTTATATTATACAGCCACTTTTTTTAATCTAAATTTTTTTAATTTTATCAAATAAATTAATAAATAAAACTAATTTAAATTATAAAATTAACGATGTCAAAAAGAAAAAGCGTTTATCGTGAACAGTTTTCAACTGACTTTCCAGGGATTAAAAACAGTAAAAAAAGGGAAAATTATGCCTTTTGCGAATATTGTTCAACTGATGTTAGTATTGTGAACGCAGGCGTTTCATCTATTAAACAACATTTTGAAAAAGAAGTTCACAAAAACAACGTGAAAATTAAAAAGTCTACTGTCGGAATATCAAAATTTTTTCATAGTAATAATTTGCCCACATCTAGAAAAACTGCTGCAGCAGAAGGAGCATTTGCATATCATGTCGCTTTTCACTCGTTATCGTTTAAAGCTGCAGATTGTACAAATCGTTTAATTTCAACTGTTTTCGCTGAATCGGAAACTGGTCGGAAATTTTCATCTGCTCAAACAAAAACGCAGACAATCATTTCAAGAATATTGGCTCCGAAATCAATTGAGAATCTTTTGTCTGAATTGGGCAGCGAGCCGTTTTCTATTGCAACCGACTCGTCAAATTTTAAAGAAATCAAAACATTCCCTATCATTATTCGGTATTTTTCGCATGAAGGATTGAAAGTTGAATTGTTAAAGTTTTCAAATTTGCCAGGAGAAACGTCAGAATTGATTTTCAAATATGTAATGACTGTACTTGACAGATTCAAATTGAGCCCTAATAATTTGGTAGCGTTCAGTGCTGACAACGCTAATGTAAACTTTGGTGGAGCAAAACAGAATGGTCAAAATAACGTTTTTGCCAAATTGAAAAACATTCAATCAAAACTGATTGCTGTAGCCTGTCCAGCTCACATTCTCCATAATGCAGCTAAAAAATCCTGTGAAAGGTTTTCACTTGACATTGAATCGTTGCTGTTCAAAATCTTAAGCTATTTCAATGGATCCACGCTGCGACATGAAAAATTTAAAGAATTTTGTGAATTTATGGAAATTCAATATGCTAAATTTCCAACTCATACTCGCACACGATGGTTAAGCCTTCTTCCATTGATTGAACGAATTTTACAGTTATGGGGTGGCTTAAAATCACTAGTTCTATCAACGGATGACATTCCAAAGGTTCTGGAAAATTTATTCTCTGATGATTCAAATGAAATCTACTTCTGGTTTCTACAGAGCTCATTGCAGCTGTTTCAGCAAACTTTGCTGATACTTGAAAAAAAAGACCTTGTGCTTCCTGAAATAATAGAATCACTGACAGGATGCAGAAAAATTTTTTTGGTGCCATGACTCAATCAAAGTTGTAATCATTAGAGGATTCTAATTTGGCTAATTGCATAGAAAAGGAGTTTTCAACATTTTATTCGGCATCTGTTGATTACATTCAGAAGTGGTTCAGAATTACTGATTATCCGTCTTCTTCTAAGTGGTTAATGCTGAAATCTGTCGATACAATTTCGTATGAGGATATTCGAAAATCTGCAGAGTTTCTAATGCCAGAAATTTCTGTGAAAGATTCTCTGTTTGATGAAACGAGTCTTCTAATATCACTGTTGAAAGATTCAAAAAAAAGTTTCCACGAATTGCCCATTGATATAAAATGGGCTGTTCTGTTTCAAAACGAACTGTTTTTAGATTTGAAGAAATTGGTATACACAATTTTTGCCATTCCTATCTCGAATGCTGCTGTTGAGCGAATTTTTTCATTATGTAAAAAACAATGGACTGATGATAGAAACAGCCTAAAAATTGATACTGTTAAAAGTTTACTACAGGTAAAGTTTAATTATTCTTTAACATGCTCTGAAATGTACACTTACTTGTTAAAAAACGATGACTTAATTAAGCAAATACAATCAAAGGATAAGTATGTTGGTTGATTTCAGTAGTATGCCGGAGATCAGAGACTTATACAAAAAATTGAGAAACTGTCGTATAGATTGAGTACTACAAGGAAGGAACGCTAGTATTTTTATTATATATATATATATATATATATATATATATATTTATTTATTTTGTTGAAATCGATCGCTGTTATTAAATTATTAAATTATTTCTTTTCTTTTTTAGATTTTCCAACTTTCGAATTAGTTTTTTTATGTTCGTAATCTAGGTCGTGTATTAAGTTTCCTAAAGTCATTTTTAACAATTTTATTTCCCGACGTTTCGATGATATTACATCATTTTTAAGGTTAATTTTATAACTAATTTTTCCGTAGTTATATAGATATCTAAACAAAGTAAGTTTGAAATTTCAAACCTAGATTACGAATACGAACATAAAAAACTAATTCGAAAGTTGGAAAATCTAAAAAAGAAAAGAAATAATTTAATAACAGCGATCGATTTCAACAAAATATGTATAAAAGAGAACCTACTGCCGAATTACACAGACATATATATATATATATATATGTATATATATATATATATATATATATACACACACACACACATATACATATATCTGAATCTGGTTTTAAATTTTGAAGTTGAATAAAGGAAATTTCCATTGTTATTAGTATTTACTGAATTTAGATTTTTTGTTAAAATTGTCCTTTTTTTTGCGAAAAGTAAATGGGAGCCCTACTAATGTCAGATGTTAAACATATTCAAAACATTAATTTTGTTTATTATTATTCTTTAAAAATCAGGATCTGACATACGCAGAAACTGTTTTAGCATGCAAGGCAATAGTACAAAATTAAACAAATAAGTAAATAAATAAATAAAAAAACGGAGAAAGAAAAATGTTTAAACAAAAAATAAAATAAATAATAATAATAAAATAAATAAAATAAAATAAATTGACAATAAAATGAATGGCATAAAAACGCAAATTAATAGACTAGATGATGACTTAGCGAGTAAGTGATGTGATCGATAAATAAAAACTTGTTGAAATTAGCCACTAATTATAACATTAGTGGCTTGTCGTGCTTACAATTTACGAAAACTATTGCACGGTCGTTGTCAATCTTAATCACTAATTAAAACAAAGACGATAAATTTTGTGATTTTACATCAACTTTTGTTTGTTACATTCATGGTAAGCCATATATATTGTGCCTGGTAAGTCAAAATTCGCTATAATATGCGCTGCAAAATGTAGCGTGTTTTGTAAGTATATTTGAATTTTCAATGATTTACAGTTTTTGACTAATGTTTAGGCATAAAAATATGGAGGCCACCATTTTTACCATAGTTTCGTAAATTTGACGAAATTTTTGCCGTTTTAGTTATTTTCCAGCAAAATGTATCGTCCCATTGGTACTCATGGTTAGATTTTTGCATTTTTGGTAAATTTACAATCATCGTTTGTAGCTATAATTTGTTGATTGGTCGCTAACACCTATCCACTGTGTCTGTTGAAAAGACTCCACACATATGAATTAGAATTGAATTATAGTGCATGCCCTAATAAATCTTAAACTAGAAAATTAGGAGCCGGACTGAAATTTTTTAATGCACTTTTTTTAATGAGCCAATAAATTTGCAACACATATTATATATATATTATATAATATAATTCTGATGTAGAGATAGTTAATAAGTAAAGTAGTCTGGTTCAGTTCAGTTTTGTTTAATTAATAAAAAATTGTAATTTAGTAGTTCATGGTATGTACATAATATATATATTTATATTTATCTAAAATTTCAATAATTTATGATTGAATTTAAATTTAAGAAATTATTAGAAATAAAATAATACTACAAGTGCAGTGTTAATAAATAAATGTAAGCAAAAATCTTTTGGTTGCAGAAATCAAATTGATTCATTAACATATTAATATAATTTTTATTGTTTTTTAGTGTGAATTTTGTCACATGTAAATAGATATGTCAGTTTTGTAAATTGGTTTTTCTTGTCAACATAAGAAATAAACTGCTAATGTTTAATTTAATATAAGCAATAAATTACTAATACTTTTCTGCAAATAGATGACCTCAACTTTAATGTAAAAAATGTGTTACAAATAAAATAGTAATGTTTAGTAAAATGTTAAGTTTTCTTAAAAAATTATAAATTTGGGTTTCATAAATTTAATTTTCCTTGATCTGTTTTTAAGATATTTATTTATTTTATCCATAAAATAAAATTCAATTTTTTGTCAAACAAGGTCCACCTGCTCAACGTCCACCAACAACATCTATCCAGAACCCTCTCCCTCCTGTTCCCCCAGGTCCAATTGGCCCACCATCAGGTCAATTTTTATAACTCTTGTCTAGTAGTATATGGGTGGAATGTATGTGATTTCTATAAAAAATAACAATTTTGTAGATTGTAATTGTGTCAAAACAATATATAATATTTATGTATGATAAAAAATTTTTAATGTTAAAATATAAAGTTATGCTTAATTTTCTTGTCAAATAATTAGTTTTTGTTATTATGTATGATAATGGTTATTCACTGAATTTCTAAATTTTACACATTTAAAACTTTTTTTGTCAGTTGATTTTTAACTATAAGTTTACTGCTTACCCAGTTCAGTGTTAACCTTAATTTTATATATTTATAAGACATACTTTATCTGATTGTTTTTTTTGTTGTTGTTTATAAGCATGTTATTGAAACTGAATTGAATAATTAAAGCAATACAAATCTGAATGTAATATTGTTTTCAGCTACCTCTGCTGTCTCGACTTCTTCACTTGGTCTCACTCAAACTCAGATGCCATCAACCTCAACAACACCAATCTTGCAAGACTTTCAAAGTCCTTCTCGTCCAAACCACGGAAATGAAGGTCAACCCATCTGTCTCAGGGCTAACCATTTTCAAGTGAGGATTCCAAGGGGATTTGTGAACCATTATGATGTAACCATATCACCTGATAAGTGTCCTAGGCGTGTCAATAGGTAAGTAAACGGAAGGTGTCAAACATATAATGCCTAAATGTTTAAACATTCAATTGTTTTTTTTTAGTAAATATTAGCATTCATTTGTTCTTGATTCTATCAATAATGTTTTACATTACATTCAGTTTCAGTTGGAAATTATAATGCTTAGTATTTGCATTTTTGAAATCACCTTAACAATCTTATGTGTGTTACGCTGTTGGTGAAATTACTCCCTCTACATCTTAATAGTGATATAATTTATATTTTATCTATTCTATCAATCATTTTCAATCCTATTCAGGTCAGAACCAATTATTTATCATTCTCATACCTTCTATCTTCATGGCTTATCATTACTCTGTCCAATTTTTTTTAATTTTCTTATTTAAAGTTTATGCCATCTCAACTAAACCTGTCAGCTTAATTTTTTTTCATTTGTGACTTGCAAACAAAAGATGCTGGTTATAAAAAAAATAGGTAGCTAGCTGAAAGTTACACAATGGCAGTTATTTTGAGGCTTAATTTGACAGCCATCTTTAGAGCTTTGAATCATCATATCACTTTAAACAATACATTTTAATGAAATGATTTTGTTTGTTATTTAAAAATTGCTGTTTTCTTAATTTTGAAAAAAGCTTCAGTAAAGTCAAGATTAAATAGGGTGATTGCATTTGGAATCCAAGAACAGTGAGAAAATTTTCAGCCATCAATAAAATACCAAAATAGATCAAATATGGTCAATGAATGATGGACTAAAATATTTGTATCTTTCATGTCTCATATGTTACCCTGAGTGACCTCATATGGTTGTATGCATGTACAACATGTTGAAATCAAAATAGAAAGATAATTTACTCTGTTTGTAAATTAACATTGAGACTTCTTTTTTATTTTATGAAAGATTCCTTCATGAGATTATTTTTATCATTTTTATTTTTTCAAGTATTTTGTGAATTAAAAGTTTGCAAATCTTTTGAATTTATGAAATTAGAAAAAAGTAAATTTATTAATGCATTTAACATTTTTACATTTTGACATTTAAATTTAAACAAAATTATCTAAAAATGTTTGTTTCCAAATTATTCTAGCACTTATATTAAAAGATTCAGTATAATGATTTGAAAACATCAATTGTAGAGAAATAGTAGAGACGATGGTACAGTCTTATTCTCAACGAATATTCAGTGGACAGAAACCAGTTTTTGATGGTCGGAAAAACCTTTACAGCAGAGATCAACTTCCAATAGGCAATAACCGAGTATGTACTCATTGCTTTTACAACACATAAGGTGATCTTATTCGTGAAATAATCTATATATTTTGTAATATATTATAATTTCAGTTACCTTAATCTAATTTTAATTTTATTTGCAAGATTATAATAAAATAATGATTATTTAATTATTTAAATTTACAGATAGTAATTTAACATTTTGAAACTTACTCTCAAATAAGTTGAAAACAAATGAAGAATTAGTTGTAGGCAATGTTCTCCTTAAGCAATGCTCTGCCCCTCAGCCCAACTCTTTCATTGATTGTTTTTTAGTTATCATCTTAACAAACATTACATCACAAAAAAAGACCTTTTTTTTATAACTTTGCGTATGTGTTTGTGCGTGTGTGTTTGTGTGCGTGTGACAGTTTATGAAATTTATTGCTCTTTTTGCATAGTTAACTTTTTCAAACTTCCAACAATTTCACGTCTATTAAGCAGAAAATTTAATTTTGATGTTTTTGAGATTCATTTTATTGAAATGGTATCAGATAAATTGCTGACGAAATGGTATCGAATAAATTGCTGATGAGATGATGTTATTGGTGTTCTGTTTTACTCTTGGACTAAAGGCTTTTTGTGTTCCTAAGTTGCAAGTTATGATATTGTGTTGCTTCTGGAAACCTTTAAAATGAGTTTTAATAGATTCATCTTGTTATTGCATTGTAAGTCTTCTTTTCAAGGGTCTCCTTGTCATTCTAATTGAGACTAATTTATGGTGCCTGTACTCACCAAATGTACATTTAAACGGATATATCAGATGACCAAAGGATAAAAATGAATAAAAACGTAATTAAAAACTTTGTTTTCTATATAAATAAGGTAAAAACAATGATAAAAATACGATACAGAATTTTTTTTTTAATATGATAAATGAGAATAACCTGAAATTACCATCACTCATGGTAATCAGATGCCTAATTACGCTTTCAATATTTATTCAAATATATTGTGAATGCTTAACAATATAAATGCATAATGAACCCATGAAGGTAGATCTCGAAGTGACCTTGCCAGGAGAGGGGCGAGACAGAGTTTTTCACGTAAGTATCAAATTTGTTGCCCAGGTGAGTCTCTATGCATTGGATGAGGCTTTGGAAGGTAAAAATCAGCAGATTCCACTTGATGCAGTTCAAGCTCTGGATGTTGTCATGAGGCATCTTTCTAGTATGACGTACGTTAATTTATCATAATCATAAAATAATTTGCTTGTATTATCATAAAAAGTTTTCTCTAAAATTCACTAATTTCAAATGCCTTGAGTTCTTGTGTAGTGAAGATAGGTCATATATTCCTGAACTTCACATATAGGAAACTCAAAAACTGTTAACATAGAAGACAAATAGGCGTAATGATTGTAAATCAGGTTTTTAATGTAATTAAAGTTCAGGGAAATTAGAATGATGTTGTTTACTGCTTGAAGTATCTCAAATTTTAAAACCTTATTCAATGAACTATTCAAATAATGTACGTTGACAGGTACACTGCAGTCGGTCGTTCTTTCTTTACACCTCCAGTCCCACTTATGGAAGCCAGTGCTGATCGTGGTCAGGGTCAAAGGTCTGTTTCACCTGTTACCAATTTTTTTTATTTCAATTTGCCATAATTTTGTTTTTCGGAAGCACCAGCAGACATTTTCGTTTTTTTTTTCAAGGTTCCAAGGACGTTCTTTTTTCTCACCTCCTGAGGGGTATGATCATCCACTTGGTGGAGGTAGGGAGGTTTGGTTTGGTTTCCATCAAAGTGTACAGCCTTCACATTGGAAAATGATGCTTAATATTGATGGTTACTTTTGATGCTAAAATTGATGGTCAATGTTTATAGTAGACATATCATTGACTTTTTTTTTATTTAGCTTCTTTTATTGGTTGTTATTGAAGCAGTTGTTATTGGGGAAGTTTATATTGAAATGGAATATTCATATTTACGAGAATTGAAAGAAAGATAACAGGATGTTGGAGTAGGATAAAAAATGTCTGACTCTGACTTCTTGGTTGAAAATTTTCTGACTCTGTGTTCATTTGCTATTTGGTGGTTTCTGCATGAAAGATAAAAACTGTGCAGTGCATGGTTGACGCTGCTCTTACTTCCAGTTAAATCTTTGATGGAAAAAATGTAATAGGGCGATTTCAGTACTGAAGTCCATGCATAGTACTCATTTCAGACAATATCGATATCATAAACCCTTTACGTTTGCGATGACTCTATCACTTAGGAAAAGGTGTCTTTCCTTAATAAGCTTACTGAAGATTTTGAATATTATTTAGATTTATATGAAACATAAAAAAAAACGTTGATTTATTCAGTCAATCCTATATGTAGTTGAAGTATTTGAACATGGCATAAGACTTTTATTAATAATTGCTAATTCTAATATATAATAATTTTTGTAATAATTGAACTAACTCAGTGTCAGCAACAGCATTTTATAAAGCTCAACCGGTGATCCAATTTATGTGTGAGGCCTTGGACCTGCATGATATACAAGAACAAAGAAGGCCGCTTACTGATTCACAGAGAGTTAAATTCACCAAAGAAATCAAAGGTTTGGCCCATAAATTCAACATGTTTTATCACAGATGTTAAAAATGGTAAAGATCTTCAAAAATTTAATAAACTATTGCATAATTGATCAAATATATGTTTTACCTGCCTTGGCTGGTCCAGTTGCAATGTCATTACGTAGGAGGGTTTCTTAACTTGATTTTATAGTGATTTAAAATGGCAGATGTTTGGTATTTTATTGATGTATATTTTCTTGGATGAAAGGATTCATTTTGTAGAGCTTAATAGTTAGACTAATTGTAATTAGTCAAATTTTTTTCCATTTTAACTTTGTGATTAATAAAAGATAATTAAAAATTTTATGATGAAACTTTTTGTTTAAAATGGCTTTTCAAATCATAGTTTTTTAGGTTATATAATATGTGGTAATATAGTTTTTGTTTATTATTGACTTAGTAAGGATTTGTCTATAGTTTTTGGGTTTAGTAAATTCTTGTAATCAGTGGTTGATAAATTTGTTAAGCATTTATTTATCACTTGGGTTTGATGAGAAAAAACATAAATTGACTAAATGGATCTTTTCAATCAAGTTCTGCAAATAATTTGTATGAACTAGGTTTAAAAGTTGAAATAACCCATTGTGGTGCGATGAAGAGGAAATACAGGGTTTGCAATGTAACAAGGAGACCTGCTCAAACGCAATCGTTAGATATTTTTATAACATCTTATTGTTACATACATTTTCTCTGTATATCAGAGCAATTTGAATGCTATGCATAATTTGTTGTATTATATTTTTTGGCTTTTCTTTTTATTCTTGAGCCATTTGATTCAACAAGGACTCAATGGTAGATAAACTAAATCATGCTAGAATTTTAGAAAAATATTTAGACTTTATTTAGTTTGAATTTAATTCGCTATAAAAACTGGTTCATCTTGAGTAGATTATTTAAATGTTTATGGATATTTAAATTTTTAATTTTTATGAAACATCAAAAACATTTATAATTTTTCGTTTATGAAGTAATACAAATGTTTAATGTATCCATAGTTTTCCTCTGCAGTTGGAGTCAGGGCAGACAGTTGAGTGTACTGTGGCCAAATATTTCCAGGAACGCTACAAGATGAGACTTCAGTTAGCATTTATCATTTTCGAATTTTAATAATTAATTTTTAAATATTAATATCAAAAAATTTTTTATTTTCCAAATTGTAACCCATATTTTGTTGGGTTTGAAAAATCGGGTATTAATATAAGTAATAATTAAGTTGAAGTCAAATAAATTCCATGGATTCAAAACACGAAAAATAGTGAATCAGTTGATTTGCAGTCTTTATACAACGTCACATTTTTATTACATTAGATTACTTTTTTTTATTAACCTAAAATAGATCATTTATTTGAATGTTATGCATGTTCTTTATAAAAACTCTAAATAACGTAAATTTACACCTAATCTTTGACTTGATTTTTTTCACTCCTAAATATTTCTTTCAACATACTTCCATTTCATCACTCAAGCATTTTTGATTGACATAAATGAGCAGCTAAAAAGTAAAATTTTGGTGCTATGGAAAAGTAGAAATACAACATATTTAATCAGATAGTGATGACAATGGTTCACCCAATTTGTTAAATAATACCATGAAATTAATTATAGTTTTTTATTGCAAAATAATTGTAACTGTCTTAATTGATTGCGCTGGCAACAAGGTAGTTGATTCTTTCAACGACTTTGTGTTCATCCAGCTCTAATTACTTCCACTCTCTTTTAATTATAACTTCTACTTTCTTTTAATGATTTTATCAAATCTTCATTCGCTGTTGTAATGTTGCGTGCGCGCTTAACATTTCAAAGAATTTGAATTAAATTGAAGTGTTTGAATTAAAAAATTTTGAATTTTAACGTTAGTTTGTTGATTTGACTAACTTTACCAAAACATTTTTTGATGATGGAATTGTAAAAGCCTTGAATTGGAATGTTTTGAAAGACAATTTTACATAGGCGATCATTAACCATCCGGTTTTCTCAGCATTTGGTTGTTTGTGGTTTTGCTACTGGGCTGTAATCAAACGTTTTTATGTGATGAAGACGATTTTCTTTTTTACTATTTATAACCTGACAAAAAATAGACATTTCTGTTTCAATATGATCATAAATTATGCCTGATATTTTAAATTTTAGGTACCCACACTTACCCTGTCTGCAAGTTGGTCAGGAACAGAAGCACACATACCTGCCTCTCGAAGTATGTAACCAATGTTTCATCCTCTTCTATTGCTCTGCTATTTTTTTAAATGTTCTGATGTTAATATTCGGTTGCAACTTTGTTCAGTAAAATTTACATGTTCCAGGTTTGTAACATAGTGCATGGTCAACGCTGTATTAAAAAACTGACTGATCTACAAACATCAACGATGATTAAGGTAGTTTTTTTGACACACATATGCGAAAAAATCAATTTGCTACTAACCTTTATTCAAATACAATAAATTCATGAATGGCTAGTACAATCTATAATTATTTAATTATATATTTAAATGAATGCTTAGTTGTAATAAAAAAGAATAATTAATTTGAAAGGCTACTGCAAGGTCAGCGCCGGACAGAGAAAAAGAAATTAACAATTTGGTTGGTTTAAGAAATTTTTCATTTATTCTTATTTGTATGGCAGTGAGATAGTGCAGTGATTAATGGCAAGGAGTATCAAGGTTTCAACAACAAACACACAGACCATGCATCGCACACATTATACATATAGGCGGGGATCTCTGCATTCAAACCCTGTCATTGCAATAGCATGACCACTTTTTTAACCACTACCTTATAGCGCCGCTTAATATAATTATAAGGTAGGGCAAAGTTACTATCAATTTAATATAATTACTAAATATAATCAAGTAGCACACCATTTTAAGTTATTGATATAAAATGATAAATCATATTTCTTCTTACATGTTATGTGTTAGCATTGTCTTTTCCCAATTTTTTTCGTTATAAAATGGAAATGGATTATATCTTTAAACGGTAGATAGATAAAATCTATTGCTATTTTTATTAAAAGTTACGAAGATGAAAAGTAATGTTAGTATTTTATTATTTGAGGGTATTTTTAAGGCTGATATTTTTCCTTTTTTTAACTGGTCTTATTTTTCTACAGGTTATGAAAGCTAATTTCAATTCTGATCCGTATTTGCAAGCATTTGGCATTACAGTGGCAAGTCACATGGTTGATGTTCAAGGTCGAATTCTTCCTGTCCCGAAGTTACAATACGGAGGCAGAGTTAGCTTCCATGAATTTTTGTTTTTCACTTTTTTAAAACTTTCTATTTAGGGATCATTGGTTGGGAAGTTGATCAGTTTTTGAGTTTTTTTCATCTTAATAAATTAGACATTATCATTTTTAGTACTAGGACAAATGTTGCAAAAAGTTGGTATGCATAATATATATGTTCAAAAAGGTCAAAGCAAAAATATTGGAGTTTATGTGAAAACAAATAACCAAAATTTTAATTTTTGTTACAATTTCATGATCGTTCTGCTTGAAGACGCGAAAATTTATAAAATATAATTGAACCTCTGCTTGAAAATGCAAAAATTTATGATAGATTATATACTAAAAAAGCGAAGGCTTATAAAATATAATAGAGCAGTTGTTTGAAACTTTAAGATTTATAATAGGTTATCTGCCTGAAAAGCGAAAACTTATAGAATATAATAGAGGATCTGCTGAAAATGCTAAAATTTATAATAGATTATTTTGCTTGAAAAAGCGAAAACTTTTACACTATAATAGAGGAGCTGCTTGAAAAAGCAAATAACAATAATAATAATCTGCTTGAAAACACGATATTTTGTATATACAGAGTTATACATAAAAATTTGGCCCAATTGTTTTCGTGTTTACTTTTTCTTTAGTAAGCTCTAATTGTTATTATCACAACTCATTCATTTCTAACTTTTGTTATTGAATGCCGAATATGGGCGGCTACCTTTTTATTTTAATTAAATGAAGTGCCTCACATTTAATTTTACCTGGAAATAAGGTATAGCCAATTTTAAGCCATAACAAATTAATGGGAGGCATATAGACTAACTTCATCTTTTATTCTTTGCAAACATTACTATATGAAATGCAGACAAGAGCTCAAGTTGTTCCAAATCAAGGTGTGTGGGACATGCGAGGCAAGCAGTTATATCAAGGCATCCAAATACGTGTTTGGGCCATTGCTTGTTTTGCCCAGCAGAGAACTGTAGGAGAAGAATCACTCAGGTTCAATTTTGTTGCTCATTGATCTATGCCATTTAGCTGCTTCTGTTTTTTAAGTATTCTTTGTAACATGATATATAAACTATGTGGCTACTGTTTCTTATAGAAAATAAGAGTTATATATTTGCCATTTATAATATAACAGGATATTGTCAATCTAATGTATCTCTATTTGATCAAACCAGAGTTGTTAAATTTTTTTTTGTAGTAATAAATTGAAAAGCCTTAAAGATGATATTTTATTATAAAACGTTTACGTCTAACAAAGTACTGCCACTTTGCAAAGTTGGATACACATCTACTAAGTTTATATATTTTATGATTGTTTAAAAAAAAAATCAAACTCGGAAAGAATTTCTGATGACAGAAATGTATTTTGCAGGACGTTTACACAGCAGCTGCAGAAGATATCTACAGATGCCGGCATGCCGATCATGGGCCAGCCTTGTTTCTGCAAGTATGCAACAGACGCTGATCAGGTCTGCCACTCGTTGATTATTATTTTCATTGTTGTTGCTATTATTATTAATATTATTGTTGTTGTTGTTGATGTTGTTGTTTTTGTTGTTACGATTCTCTCTTTGACATTTTTCAGAGGCAGCCCCAATAAGCACACATTGCATGTGATAGGAGGGGGTCTCCTTTGTAATTGAATCCGGTCACTGCAGCCGTCTTCTGCTGTTGCATCATCGCGCAGCCCAAGTTGTTCACTTTTGTTTCTAGTTGATTGTTTTTGTTGGTGGTATTTGTTGTTGGTGTTTGTTGTTTGTGTTTTTTATTTTCACTAGTGGCTCATTCTTGATCTTGTTGATCTTCATTGGTTGTGGTTGTTGTTCCTTTATTAACTAGCATCAATTGGTTATTGCTTTCTGAATTTTTTATATACAGACTGCAATTTTTTTATAAACATTTTAGCTAATATAATGAAATTTCATAGTCATATTTTTCATAGACATTATTACCAATCTTCTTTATTATCTTTATTGTAGAATTTGGTAGTAACGCAAGTAGAGCTGAAATCAGTAAATTGCAAGAATGTCTCTACATTTTTGTTATTATTAAGTATTAACAACAACGCTAATAAATAATGCAAGTTCTTTGGTCATACTACCCTGAGGTTTAATATGCCGTTAGTAACTTTACCAACTTTGATATTTGTTAAGTAATATGCAGAAGAAGTTTTAAAACGTTTATTAAAGCAATTTTCCTGGATGTCCTCAGAAGACTTCTGACTGAATGAATGCCTCTTCAATATATGTAATATTACCCCTAACCTGAAGTCCATAAATGAGTGTTTTCTTTTGCGTGCTTGTAATGTTTTTTGAGGCTTTTGTGATGATGAACAGGCATAGGTCAGATAGTGTAAATTTATAAATTGGTTAATTTTTTGGTGCATTAAAATTTTTTTCTTTGGCAAAATTTTGCTTAATCAGTAGGTATCGTTTAATCAATGTTTTTAAAATGAACTTCTAGTACATTTGCAAATATTTTTTGCATCAATATTTTTTGATTAGAGCGTAAAGGAATGCTAACGATTGTGAAATCTAACGTATGCTGTGGTCGCTAAAACGCAAAAAATTCGACGGCCAGATAAGTTGATGAAGAAATTGCCTGCGTGCTTACTCATTTCTCTTTTGAATTTTTTTTCTTCAAAAAAATTGTAAAAGTTATTCCTTGAAAAAAAAAATAGTTGCTTGACTAATTTAATTATCCGCTTTTCTAGTGACCATTTTGTAGAAAAATTTTGAATTATGTTTTGTTAAACGTGGGATGTTGATGTTTTTTGGTACTTCAAAATTGTTAGTCTGTCAACCTTTTAATGACCGTGCTTTAGTCCTAGCTAATTGTTTGCGGTTTGTTTGACATAAAAAAATAAAACAAAAACTTGTTTTACATGACCAGGTGGAGCCAATGTTTCGGTATCTGCGCAACACTTATCAGGGTCTCCAACTGATTGTCGTTGTTCTGCCTGGAAAAACACCTGTCTATGGTATTAAATCGTATAATATCATGACTGTGGTTGTTTATGTTCTAACAATTTTTTATCACAGTTGAATGCTAATTTTTAAAACTAGTTTCAACCTTTTCTTTTAATTTAAACATTTTTAATCTCCCAACTAAAAGTTTATTTTTTTTAATTATCTCCTCACAGCTGAGGTGAAGCGTGTTGGAGACATATTGTTTGGCCTGGCAACACAATGTGTCCAGTCGAAAAATGTAAATAAAACATCGCCACAAACTATATCAAATCTTTGCTTGAAGATAAATGTCAAGTTAGGAGGCATCAACAGCATCTTACTTCCCAGCATTCGGTACACCTATGTTATATTATATTTAATACAGTTGATAATTTTTTCGTTAACAGATTATAAAAATGTAACTGGTATTAATTAAATTTTTCATAAAATACCTTAACTATGAAAATGTGAATAAACTTTAATCTAAATTTCTGGTTTTAACCTTATAGCAAATTGCAGCTTATCCGGTTCTTAATTTTTACCTGATCAGACGATTTTGGGAAATAGATCTACTTATTTAAACATCTCTATGTTACTTTGTTCCTGGCCAGTTATGATTTACCCTCCTCGTTTTTCTCACAGTTTTCAAATTTCGACCTTTTTTCTCTTTATGTAAACCTCTCCATTCCCAGCATGTCCTCTGCTGCTCTAGATTCCACTTCATTTCCATAGCAAGCAGATTGTAACCAAAGCCTATTAAAATTTACACTCATGCTTAAACTATGAAATTTTTGATTGGTAGTTCTGTAGTTATTTATAACTACTTCATCTTGCAAACATTTTGGTATGGTCAACAAAAAAAAACATGTAAAATTTGCCAAATTGAACATTCTGCTCCATTTTATTGTAACATTTTTATTTGAAAGTATATACTTATTCATTTGTTTTCTTATATACTTCCCACAGTCCTCAAGTATTTCAAGAGCCTATCATATTTTTAGGAGCTGATGTTACGCATCCACCAGCAGGTGACAGATCTAAACCATCCATAGCTGCGGTATGCTGGTGTATATATATTGTTGTTGCCAATGTTGTTGTTGCTGCTGTGCTGCTGCTGCTGGGGTTGTTGTAGTTGTTACTATGCTAGTAAAATTTCATGTTAAATTCTGCTAATCCTCTGGCTAAACGTGATGATAAAAACGTTGTTGTTGATGATGATATTGCAATATGAATTCTTATGATTCTTATGAACACTTATTATGATATTTCTTTGTTTGCTCTTTTCAACAATGAAGGTGATTGACATTGTTCTTTGATAGTATCAATACATTATGATGTTAAAAGATATTCTACAAAAAATATTTAACAAAAAATTATTTTTCTGTTTTATTGTATGCAGAAACTGAAACTGCTGAAGTATCATTCTTGTTGTTAAACTTTTGTACTGCACTGACTCTATCATCCATACCACTTGATGTACATGCTTGCAAGCACTCTAAAGCACCACATCACACGCACGTGGCATATAATAGTTTTTCAGTTTTGGACAGGCAATATTCGAATCAAAACATCATGCAGTAACTATACGAGCGAGGTGTTGCACTTTTACTGTCTATGCTAACTGGTCAACCAAAATAAAAACGAAATCGACATAAAAAAATATTTTGCACGTTGATTGATTTTTTAGGTTGTAGGCAGTATGGACGCTCATCCTAGTCGATATTCAGCTACAGTAAGAATCCAACAGCACCGCCAAGAAGTCATACAGGAGTTATCTGCAATGGTCAAAGAGTTGCTGATACAGTTCTATCGATCGACCCACTTCAAGCCAACACGTATCATTTTCTACAGGGATGGCGTCAGTGAGGGACAGTTTGCACACGTTCTCTCTTATGAATTGCGTGCCATCCGAGAAGCCTGCATGAAGTTAGAGGTCGACTACCAACCTGGCATCTCATTCATTGTCGTGCAAAAAAGGCACCACACCAGACTTTTCTGTGCTGACAAAAAGGACCAAGTACTGCTTACATAACTTCTTAATTTTTTTTATCGATGTCGCTGATATATTTTAAGCATAGAGAATCGATACTCAACATCAATACTTTCAAATATCAGTTGAAAATATTTTTGTTAGAAGATATTTCAATTTTCAAAATTAATCTCGTTTTCCGTTTGATGAAGTTTCCATCCAAATAGGTTTCGTTGTCTTTCGCAGTTTTGTTTTTATACACTTACGCTGTACATGCTCTCCATTACATCCTGAAACGTTTTATTCTTGTCACTGATTTATTCCTGTCAGTAATTTGTAAAACTTCTAAAATCTGCTTATCAATTGGTTACCAATGAATTTATTCAACTTTTACAAATTATTTATAAATAATTTTAATATAATTCAATTATTAAAAAGAAAATTTCAATTTCATTTTTTTTCTGCCTAAAGAATAAGTTTTTGAACAAGATCTATATAAAATCTACTGTTACAAATATATGTATTACATTTTTCAGTCTCATTGATGTTTTCTCCGTTTTTGCATATTTAGATGTTTAGTTGGCTATTCAAGCTGCTTCATATTAGATGATTGATTGGCAATATCCAAACAATTTGTCATTACACAGTCAGTTTTACTTGTCATATAAACTATTGAATGCTTTATTGATGGCGAAATGATCATTGAATGAATGATTTCACACAGCATTGTTATAGGTGTCATTTCAAAACTGGCATCAGCGATATTTGACTTTTGAGCGTTTGCATCTTTGAATAAAAAGAACATTTTTAAATTAAGACCGCTAATGTTATGTTTTAAAGTTTAAATTTTGTTTGCAATGGTTTCAACAGATAGGGAAAAGTGGCAACATTCCAGCTGGGACCACGGTCGACATTGGCATTACTCATCCAACTGAGTTCGATTTCTACCTCTGCAGTCATGCCGGTATTCAGGTGAAATATCTTCACGTTTTACGTAGAAACAAGCTAATCAGGCAGAAATAGCAATCCTCTTCGTGTGCTGATGAACTAACTTCAATTCAACCTTACTATTATCAAATTTAAATTCATATTTCAATCTTTCGAGAACGTCCATCTAAGTTCTAATTCTAACTATAAATGTTTTGTTGATTTTTTGTTTGTTTTATTTTTTAATATGATAACCTTGAATTTATAATTTTTCAAACTTGCCCTTTTTATTCTTACTTGTTAACTATTGCAGTTGGTTATTCAATATACAAAGGAAGAAGTTATTATGATTTTTTATATCAGTAGTTAGGATGTTTCCTTGGGCACATTTAACAACATATTCCATTCAATTTTACATTAGTGTAGTAAATTTACAACCGACTAATTAATTGATTAATTGATTGAATGATTGATTGGTTGATTGATTGATTGATTTATTGATTGATTGATTGATTGACAACAGGGAACAAGCAGACCTTCGCACTATCATGTATTGTGGGATGATAACCACTTTACAGCGGATGAATTACAGATGCTGACATACCAATTGTGCCATACTTATGTAAGATGCACAAGGAGTGTTTCCATTCCTGCACCTGCCTATTATGCACATTTGGTGGCTTTCAGGGCACGATATCATCTTGTGGAAAAGGAACATGATAGGTTATTTTTTAAAATCTGTTCATATAGGAGAATTAGCTTAATCTTCAAACTGATTTTTTCTTGCATACTGAAAATTAATTTGGTTTTAAAGGTATTCTTTCTGAATGTTCATCACTGTCATTTGGCCTCTTTCTTTCTCCTTGCCTTGTTTCAACCCATTTATTTCGTTATTTCTTGTTTGCCTTGTGTTTCTGTTTTTTTCACTTGACCTGTTGTTTCTTCTCATTTTGTCTTGCTTCGTCCCGCTTCTTCTGTTTTTTCTCATGTTTAAATGTTGGTTCTTCTTTTCATTCATGCTTACCTTATATGCATTGTTTTTCTTAGTCATTGTCACTGTTAATGTCATTCAGCTGATGCCGTTGGTTGGCCTACTTGATAGTGTTTTAAAGAATTTTTTTCTTGCATTTGCTCTACTATCCTTAGAAAGTTTTTTGTTGTCAAATTATTGTTTTGAACATACTCCGATAATAAATTGATTTTTTTCAACTGAAACAGCGGTGAAGGTAGTCAAATATCAGGTAACAGCGATGAACGAAATTTGGCTGCTATGGCACGTGCCATCTCTGTCCATCCTGACACATTTAGAGTCATGTACTTTGCTTAAATATTATTTATTGTCAATTGAATAATTGTCAAAGTTTTTATAAAAGTTTTGTTGAAATTTGTATTTCATCGTGCTAATTTAGAGTTATTTTTCTAACAAAAACTTTTATTATCTTAGCAAGCATTTGGTGTTCATTTCTCTCCTTTATCAAATATTGGAAATGTGTTTTATAGAACATAAATACTAGACGTTAGTTATCAAAAGTTATCAAGTCCTCTCTGCCTGATTCATTTTTAGGTAATTTATTTTACAGCTGTTAAAAATTAATGAGAATAAGAATTATTTTCTTGCCATTTGCTTTAAGATGGTCTAAATTATTTATTAAGTTTTTGACGGCAAAAAATTGTGCACTGCGTGAGTTGATTCTATTTGCTTCACGTAACTCTATAATTTTAAATGCAACCTTGCTAATGATGGGTTTTGTTTTATTGTTTTGTTTACACATTTTTATTGCATTAAATTATATTTTAAAATATAATTTTAAGACACGTTTATTCATACATTCATTCATTCACTCATTCATTCATTCATTCATTTATAATTTTGTTTGTTCGTGAAGGTTTTATTTATTTTTTTTTTATTTGAATGTTGTTTTATTGTTAAATATTTGATTTTATTCCTTATATTTATAATATACTTCACTAATGAATTGCATGATAGATACATTATGTTAAATACAAAATTATTTGATAGGATTAATTTAATACAGTATGCACAGATACGATGTATGTGCACATATATATGCATAACATCAATATTGTTAGAGACAATTTTGTTTTTTTGTTATGTTTTGTTTCACTTTTTAGTAAAACATTACATAATAATTTATGAAGAACCATTTAATAGGAAAGTTGCAATAAAATTCAAAGTACAAAACTTTAGTTTATTATTGTATTCGTCTCGTTTGCTCTCTTGGACATCAAGTTGTAAACTGTCGATTACTGCTGTGAATTTGTTCATTTTTGGCTTAATGTTAATGTTGTCTTGTTCTGATCATAATCATTACTGATAATTTTTCTCAATATGTATATATACACATGTGTGTGTGCGTGTGTGTGTGTGTGTGTATGTATGTTTATGTAATATATTTCCGTGAACTCTCTGAGGTCAACACAAATGAACTTGTTTTGCCCGCTTTTTATTCTGGTGTATGTTTGTCTTTTGATTATTATAAATTTTCCTTAGTCTCATTGGTTTTATATCCTGATCTTTCAAATCAAACCATTAAGCTATTTTCATGCTCGTCCCAGTTTTTGATAGTTTGTGTGATAATTTAACTACCAATGTCAATTAATTCAGTGCATCGTATTTTTTTCGGTTAGAATGAAAACAGATCATACACAAACAGTCGTTCTCCATCACTGAAACATAATTTGACATAATTTGTCGTTGATATTTTTTTAGTAATTCTGTTAAATGCTAAACCAAGTTAGAGAGGGTCATGTAATTTGAATCCTGTCAAGTATATTAGTATTTTTTGCTTATAATTTAGTTTGCTTACTTTCTTTGTTATAATTTCGTAAAGTAATTGTGTTTTGAATTTTTATAGTTTTTAATTCGTTTGAAAATGGCATGAGATAACAATTTTTAAATGTAGTTTTCTTTGAAAAAAAACTTGTTGCATTTATCCGTTGTTTCTTGGCAAGGCTCTACGTGCGTTTTCGTAATGAGACATGACTGATTTTGCTGAATAAATCTTGTGGAATGCAATGCTATACCTTTTTTTAATGGGAAGCGCATCTGTGCTCCACAATGCATGAAGATATTATGACGGATGCTGGAGTGTTCGTATAACATTTTTTTTTTATTGCAAATCCTTTCTAAATTTGTCGTTGATTAGTAAAACAATTTTCAAAGTTTTGAGGCCGTAAAAAATGTATATATCTATCAAATTACTCAGATCCGAATGGCGTTGGCACAAAGAAGTTAGGTGGTGAAAAATGAACTGAAACAATTTAAATGACTAAAATAGACGACTTACAAAGCATGAGTTAAATGGGCTTATATATGAAGAATAACAGCAGTTTCAACTGGAATTCAACACACTGATTTCTAATATTGGTTAAATTTTTGAGAAATATTCTGCATGTTACTTTTGGTTAAATATATAGAAAACATTTTTTCGAATAATTTTTATTGCAGTATTTTTTATATCATTAACAAATTGATGACCAGTGTGGTTCTCTATGCATTTGTTATTTTGTTTTTTATTCAATGAGGTCTCTAAAATTTTCAGTAAAAGATATAGGTGACTGTATATAGTGCACATTTATGCTCATGTTAGATCTCTAGAGATCTCGTTATTAATAAAGTTATTGCATTCATTCTTAAAACGTTGAAAACTTGACATTTCGCATTGCAACTGCCTTTTTTAGGATCAGAAAGTTAATCAAAAATACTTGTCTTCAAAAAAACTATTTGAGGAACTTTTTTGGGCAAGAAAGGTTGCTTGCTGTTACTGTGGAATTAACGCTGAATAATTATTGCTAAATTTGCTATCTTCACTATTTGTCATCGATTGTAAACCATAGAATCTTTTCATACCATAGAGGACTGTAAAAGTACTGTGGAAGCTATAAAAGGGCTTGTGAATATTGAAGTCAATGGCGAGGTTTGAAACGAATTTGTAAATGTGATTTATTTAGTTACTCGGATTAGTTTAGTGTTTCTATTACTCTTGGCATTCAAATAAACGTTCAACAAAGTTTGCGTTTGAAGTAGTTTTGTTCATCTATCGGAAATCTTGGACCTACGGAGTAACGATAACTTGACGGTCGTTGGAAGCTACAACACTGGTTTTGGAAATTTAGAGATAATTGAAGTTATGACATTGATGTTGGTAGTAACGAGCGTTAACGATTACAACGTTATATATTTTAGTCAATTAGTCATCAACATGTTAGTCAATTAATGAAATTCGATTGCCATGTGTTATACAGTGCTGCAGAGTCGAAAAAAAAAATTTATAATAATAAATTAAAAAATAATAATAATAAATTGTGAAATGATTAAAAAGAAAACTATTTATTGACAAAACGTCAACTAATTTAAGTGTAGTTGACCTTTAATTCGGTTTTTTCTGTGTTAATTTTTTCTCAAAAATGATGGCCAGTAAAGACATAATCCGACCAGGTTTGATCGTTGTCTTCAAGTTAGATTTGAAAAATTGAGCTTAAAAATCATATATAGTTTATTTTAAAAATCATTGTGAATAGACTTAAAAATATTTAAAATATACTCAGTAGCTGGTGGTTCCTTTTTAAATCTTTTGCGTTAAAATAAAATATCCTCTTATCTTACAACAATGTTTATACATCTTCCGAGTCTAGACATCCATTCAAGTAAACGGCTGAGCCCGTAAAAACAAAATAAAACTAGAAAGTATTGGTTCAACCCATGGTTTAACCTTGCCTACAACCTTTCATATATTTAAATTTATATCTGTGCAATCAACCAGACCATCAGCGATCTTTAATACTGCTACTCTGTTTCAAATATGACGTTTAATATATGATGATTTTATTTTTCGACAACAAATAAAAAGTAGTTAAAAAACCATATTATTCTGAGTATACTGATTCTAACTATATTGTTATTCTGCAACTATATATATATGATAAAAACTAATATTGCAAAAATGATTTCGGCATTCCATGTACAATTTTTTCAAAAACGAAAAGGACGTTTAGTAAATAATTGATTTTTTCGACTTTTCAGGGGAATTCCGTTTGATCGAGTTGTAGAATTATGGCCGCGAAAGTTAAGCCGAGAGATGTTACTCCGATTATTCAAGCTGTTCGAAACTGGCTAGGCCAAGTACGTTAAGTTGAATCTTTAGTCCTTTAAACGTAGAATTTTGGACATGCATCTTACTTATGCTTATGGCATATATAAATTAATATTAAATAATATAATTTTTTAATAAAATAAGTAAGGGCTATGGAAGGTCATTTAAAATTTAAAAAGTAATGTAAGATTGAGAATCCAAACAATAAAGAAAAAGCTGGTATGTAAATATTTTTAGGTTGTTTGGTAGAGTACAACAAACATAGCAAGCATAAATAAATTATTTTTATTTTGTCTAGTTAATGATTAACTAGTTAGTTAATGCTTAATTAACTGTGTTTATCTTCCTTACTTAATGGTTTTCATCACATAAAATGTTGACAATGAGGTGCACCTGGTTTCTTAATTACACAAAGCTTTCATTTTATATTCTATTTGAGTTGAAATAAATAAAATTAGGTAAACATGAGAAAAAGTGAAGTAAAACTAAAACTAAAAAAAAAGATGAACTAAAAAACCTAAAGTTTTAATAATGTTAAGAAAATTATGGTAAAGGTAAAGTGAAGCTTTTCCCATCTTGTTAAATTCTCTCTCTCTCTAGAAGTCTAAAGTTTTTGCTACCAATAATTTTTTCTTTTGTCTGTCTACGAGTTATAAGCTTTTATCTATAAAGTATTAGAAAAATTTGTTTAAACAATATGCTACCTTAGTCTGGATTCCTACATGTTCATAGTACCGAAAATATCGCCAACATATACACAGCCCACCTGATTGTTTCTATCTGATTATGCTAAAAAATTTAATTTGACAATTTTACATGTTGAATCATTTAAATTTACAAAAATGTTTTGTATAAATTCATTTAACACATTGAAAACTTTTTTTTTATTTTTTACTTTTATTTTTTATTCCTTGCAGTGTTGGTTTCGCAAATAATTTACAATAATATATAAATAATTTATTTTTTCAAGAGAAAACTGGTCAGAACTTTAAGATTTGAAGATTATGTTTCTCCAAGGTAAATAATATAAAATGAAAAAAAACATGATAATTTCTAATTTAGTCATTTGTAAAATATACATCGAATCATATTTCCATTCACACACACACACAAATAAACAAACACATACTGTGTCAAAGTTTTCATTATTCCTATCTATTTCTTTTTTATTTTTATATTGTGGATTTTATAGTGGATGGCTTCAAAATTTTAATTTCATCCCATTTATTTCTATGAATCATTAGAAATACTAAATTCTTTGGATTAGTGATTAGCTTAAAAATATTGTCATTGCGTTACCTATTCACATCATTGAAATTTTTATAGTTTTTTCAAATTCTCATTCCTCATTTAAACTATTCTTTGTATTTTCTGGAACATCAATGCATGTTCCTGGTTTTACCTTTTTTAATGCTGGCATGTTGTTTTTGTTATATGTTGGGTATCAAATTTGATAAACAAAAAACCATGCAATAACCCATGCCGCTCCGTATGTCTGGAATGCGTTACCCCCTGAGTTTTTTTCAAAAAAAGATTAAGGACTCATCTTTTAAAACTGGCTCCGGGCGCCTCTGAAGCAGCCGTGCGAATGGGCGATTCATAAATGTTTATATTATTATTATCCAAGAGTCCAAGACTTAAATTTTGCAAAATGCATATGTGTTGGTTGTGTTTTTGTAAAATTATCCTGATATAGAAGGTCTCTTGGTTTTTTATGCAAAACCCTGATTGTCGTTTTTTCTTGTATTGTTTTGTCTTCTGCCTAGCTTTTTAACAATTTAGATTGATAATTATTATTATGAACTAATATTTTACATTAAAATTCTATTACTATTTAGCAAAATAAACGAGTTGTTTTTATTATTATATACCAGTTCATGCAAAGATAAATAAATTGTTCCTTGCTATAGATCGGCACCTCCTCCGAAACTTCCTCCTGGTATAAATCACAAGCTGTCAGCCAATCTTTATTATGCAAGAGATGGAAGGAGGCAAGCTGAACCACCAGTTGTTGTGTATGACACTACAAAATTGATAGCAAGCAAGTAAGTCTGATCAGTTGTGTTCGAGGTTATAAAATTAAATTTAAACAATTTTACGCATAATAGTTGAGACTGATGTTATTGCTCTATCACATCCTTCTCATTGTGAACTTTATTGAACTTTATTGCAAGCAAGAGCGGCGATGACATCATACACTCTTTATAATTAGTGATTGGAGATCTTGGCAGTTTACATTTGGTTAATCGACGGGAGCTAAAATATAAAATGACGCAATTTCTTCCGTTCACGTTCAGGTTAAATGCTTCGTTTCCACCCCACGCGTAATTTAGTGGTTTCTCATCACGGGTCATGCATCTTTTATGCTGCATTTTGGTCTATTTGAAAAAGAAGTACAATGTCTAGTTACATAATTTTCAGGTGATTTTCTTGTTAAATATAATTTTATAGAATGGAAAAAGCGGAAACTTCCGTTAGCTCAGCATCAAGTATTCCAAAACCTGGTAGTGGCTACGACTGGAACACAGGCTCTTCCAACTAACTAGCAATATTTACCAAAATCAATTATGCTAAAATTGGGTTATTAATAAATTTTTTCTCAAACTATGTATTTCGTTTGTTGTTATTATGATTAACCAAATCATCACAACCAACCGGAATTGAGATTTTTATTGAAGGAAACTAAAGAAGAAACAACTTGTGAAAAGGTTTCATTATAAAAATTAGAAAATTTTTGTAGCCTAAAAAGTTTCAGATGATTTCCATGCAGTTGAAAATTTTTTTGGTTGGTTTGTTAATAGCTTCTATCTGTGGTTCCAAACCTGTATTTTTGGCTGGAGCCTGACAGTTTTTCCATTTGTGAATATTTATTTTACGAAAAATTAAATTTTAGAAAATGTCGTTCTTGTATTTGACCTCAAACTTTATAGTTTTGTTCAAATACAGCTGTTAATTTAAATTTTAATCATGCTTTCATTATAAAATTACTTTTGATGAATGTTTGCATCGTCTAAAAACATTTGAAAGTTAGCGATATTGGGTTGTCAAGTATAAAATCAGGCAAACTAGTTTTAGTGCGATTAGTTTTAATCGCACGAAACCCACTTAAATTATGTTTTTAGGCATAATTTTTGAATTGAACGCCTATTTAAATTTGCAATATTTTTTTTGTGGTCATGATTTAAGTGACAGTAAAAACTCTCGCCTAGCTTCAATAGTTCGTTCGTCAAAGATTTTTGAACGTCTGTTTGATAATCTTTCCTATTAATTGTTCACTTTAACACTCGTCACCTGTTGCCTGATGTTAAAGGTCAATTACACTTTTCCAAAGTTCAGAGGATTCAACAACTTTAATAACAACTTCAATAATTTTTGTGTTTGCGTTTTTTGTGGTCATGATTTAAGTGACAGTAAAAACTCTCGCCTATCTTCAATGCTTCGTTCGTCAGAGATTTTTGAACGTCTATGATAATCTACCTAATAATCTATTTGTTTTCCATACTCGGGAAACTGGGTCTCTGGACGCTAAACGAAGATTGATTGATTGATATTTGATAATCTATTCTATTAATTGTTCACTTTAACACTCGTCACCTGTTGCCTGATGTTAAAGGTCAATTACACTTTTCCAAAGTTCGAAGGTTCCAACGACGCCACAAACATCATTTGTGAATACATGCTAAGCGACGCATCACACACTAAGCATGTGATAAGCGAGGATCTTGTCAAGTCTGAACCCGGTTACTTCGAATCAGCACCAAGCGACCTTAACCACTAGGCCGTCACGTCGGCCTACCACTCTACCACGGCTTTGCTTGAAGATTTCAATGCAATAATGTTTTAAAAATCGACGAGTTTTGTTTTTGGTGTTATTAGATAAGATTGCCGCATTAGACGCTAATGATGATCCTACGTTGTTGACGCGGCTGGGTTTAGTTTTTGGTGTAAAGGACGTTGTTATTGAGCCGTCAACGTCATTTATCATTGACAGAGTAAATATGTGGCACGACTAATTAATTTAAAGTTATTTATAAAAAAATATGACTGGGTAACGCAAAACCGATATTCCACGTTGACAGCGTTCCTTTATTAAAGTTAATATAAAATAAATTTTTCAACTAGATAAACCCAAGATGTTCACGTTTTAATAAGGGAACGCACCTGGTAAGTGAATGTTTAACATCAAGTTAGGATTATCTTTATTGTGTATTTGAGTGGCGGGAAATAAATCGTATCGATGGCCGACGCAGATTTGCATTTTAGACAAATTGTGCAAGAATATCTTGACTTCCTAGACGATAATGTTAGTAAACTTTTGATTTTAATTTGGAATTTATGTTTTTCAAAAAGTTAGAAATTATATAATTCGCTCCTTCATGTTTTACCTACAGTTGGTTTTTTGTTTTCTAATATTGTTGGTTGATTCAATCATAATTTTAATCAATTTCAATTTTTATTATGTCTAAAGCGCTGTTTTTGTGATGTTTAACTCAATGAATATATGTTAAAAAAAATGATTCCATTATTTTTACAAAAATCATGACATATTAGTGATGGAGGAGATGGAGTTAGTTTTTTTAAGGTTAAAAAAGAAGGAAAGAGAGTTCTAGAGAAAAGAACCAGTGAAAAAGCAGAGGCCATTAGGCTTTAGTTGAAAGAGTAGACAACAATACAGTAGAATCAAGAAGATGATGATAGTCGAATGAATAACAGTAATTTATTCTTAATAAAACTAAGGAAATTACAAGTAAGAGAAAAGTAGAATAGAAAAAGTTTTTTTATCCTACCTAGAATAGATAAAGCATGAAGTAAATATAAGAATTTTTAACAACTTTATTAATCTTTGATAAAAGAAACATGCTAGAACCAAGAATGAAACCAAGTTTGAAAGTCTGGCAAGACATAAATAAGAATGAAAGTTTTGAGATGTCTTAAGATTTTGTTTTGAGATTGTTTTTAAATTAAGATGGATTTTGTTCAATATACATTTAATTATTTCAAAAGATATGAAGACAAATTTTTAAGAACTGTATTTAGATTAAAAAAGGATTATATATGGAGGAAAAGAAATGTAAGAGTCATAATTGACTAATTAGTTAAAGAGTTCACTAATCTCTGCAATCTTTATTACAAGCTGTTGTATGTCCATTTTATGCCAAACAGAATGTCAATATTTATCTATATCAGCATGGTTTCATGCTTGGCAGGAGCTGTATTTGAAATTTAAAAATATCGAGCCTTAACATTTTAGTCAGAATCCTGTATAATATAACCAGATGTATGTATATCTTATAAATTCTGAGACTACCTATATATCATATTTTAATGTTGAATGTTATAAATTGTTAGGATGACCAGTGGATATATCACAAGCGTGTGAAGGACATGATTGCTGATGGCAGAACAAGATTGCTCGTGAACATAAATGACCTAAGGAGGAAAAACCCCAGTAGAGCATTGAGGTACATGTGTAATTTGTACATTCATATTATATTTCATATATCCACTGGCTCGGTGAACTTGCTTCTGATGATATAAAAGTTTTTTTCTTATTTGTGAGTGCATTACTTTATAACATTTGAATTACTGAAATTTGAAACTCTTGTTCTACTATCTTGAGAAACCATTACTGAATTTGTATCCCATTTTTATGTGGCCTTGTCTTTTTGATTTTCCCATCATGTTAAGTTAAGTAAATAAATAATTTCTTAATTTCAGTTTTTCAATCTTTCTATACTCTTAGTTAAACCAAAAAATAAAAAAAATGCATTATTCTTATTTTCAGGTTATTGCAGAATGGGTTTGAAGAATTGATTGCATTCCAAAAGGGACTGAAGGAATTTGTTGATTCAGTTGATCAGGTATTTGGAAAGCAACATGAAGAGTTGTACATAGGACTGGAGGGCAGGTTCTTCATTCTATTTTTTTTCCTGAGATATATTTGTTCAATATTTGTTTTAAAAATCATCCATTGACTAGTTTGCTATCCTGTTAGTTTAAATTGCTTAATTTCAACATAATGACTAGAGCATAAAGGATGGTAGCCAGATGATAAATTTGTTCTTAAATACTTTAGCGTTATCTTTAGCAAATGGAAGAAGTTGTTTTGTGTGCATAGTGTTCAATTTAAAACTGATGGAAGAGGTCTGTTACTGAGCAGTTACAAATAATGTGGTTTAGAGATATTTTTGAATGAAATGGATGTTGCACAGTGACATAATAATGGAATTAATCTGCAGAAAACTGATTTGTCTCATATGACCATTCACAGCAGAAGCAGATTAAATCTTTTTCTATTTGAATGAGGTTTGAAATAAAAAAACTGTGTAGTCTAATGTAGGAGGAAATAACTTGAAGTTGTATGGACCACATGAGGTGTCCTTCGTTAGGTCATTTGAAGGTAGTGCTTGCTCTCCATGAGGTCATTCAAGCGACGACTTTTTGAAATTTTAGTTAATATTACTGCCAAAAGTTTTATTTGATATATCCTTAGTGAGCATTATCATAATGACATTTGTTTCAAACTTTTCTAAAACTTTACATTATTCCATTTTATTTTTATTGATGTGTTGGATTTGAAAATAAATAAAAAAAAGGTGGTGTGTTCCTGAAGTTGCATCACAAATTAGCTGAGTTTGCAATAAATTAACAAGTTTTTAAAAACATATCTCCACAAGTTTCGGAAGTCATCATTTGACACCAAGGACTCTGAATTCCTCATTTTTAGGAAACACTGTGTGCATTGAAGGAATTGTATCAAAATGTTGGTATTTGTCATGTCACTTGTTTGTTTTTTCATTTTGTGTCACATGTTAATTAGAGAATTCACAATTCTGCATGAGTGAATGATATCTATTTAATACTGCTTGTAAATAAATCAGCTTGTATAGTATTTTGTCTGTGAAAATGTGAGCAGCCTAAAGTTATTTTTCACTCAATCTACCTCACATCATATTTTTCAGTTTACTTGAATGGTTGGCTAATAAAACACTACTAAATGTCATAAAAATAATTGTCTGAGATGAAACAAACTAAAGGCTTGCAATCATATCTTTTTATTGATGTGTTTGGTAAATCTTTAGAAGATTATGCGCTTACTAGCAAACGATTCTTTTTGAAGAGTTTTATGTTGAAATTATACAAATGTGCATTAAATCCTGTGATGAAATGTTCATTTTTTGTTTGGTTTGATGCGCAAGTTAGATTATTCTTCCAACATCTGTTGTCAGGCTCATTGGTACGTCCTAAAATATCAAGAAGTGTCCATTATTGTCCAGCAACCAAAAAGTCGATGGAGAGGAAATATACAGATATGACGTCTTTAGATGCATTCCCTTCCTCTGGTGTCTATCCTACCAAAGTATCTACATAGTTTTTTTTTATTACAAAATGAATTTTTAAATATTTGGTCATACTCATAATCAAAAAATTGTTTTTCTAAGTTGAAAATATAAATTTCTGACCTATTTATTTCCTCATATGTGTTATATTCTTAATCTATTAGGTTCAATCACTTTCTATGCTTCAACTCAAATTTTATTTTCAATTTGTGCTACTCTACCATATTCATCAAACAATCCTTCTTGCCATTGGTAAAAATTCTTCTGCGGGCTGCTGATTTAGGCTCATTAAATTCAAAGGTTTTGGCATTGTGAAACATTAAACAACCTTTAAACGTTGTTTAACATTGTTTTTCTCTGTTGGCATATTTATTAGATGATGTTTCATAAAACTGCATTAAGTTTTCATACAATTTGGTCCTATGAAAAAAAGTGAATATAAAAAAATTTTATAAGCACTGATTCAATTGTGTGATCATTATGTTACATAATTGTTTAAACTTGTCTCTTACAGGATGAAAATGGTAATCTTCTTGAAACTGAATATGGACTATCTACTTACAAAGATCACCAAACGTTCAGTATTCAGGTAATTTATGGGAACAATTACGTCGTGATTAAAATAATTTTGATCTTTTCCACAATAAACAGGAAATGCCGGAAAAGGCTCCTGCTGGTCAGTTGCCGAGGAGTGTCGATATTATAGCTGATGATGATCTAATTGACAACTGCAAGCCGGGTTAGATGCATTAAACTGTTGCCATATAGAGGCGTGTTCAACTTTTAGTAATGTTATATCGTTGGTGGAATAATCTTCTTACATAAGTTTTAAAGTTACTGAAAATAACTTGTTTTTAGCATGGTTGCATTTTGAAGGTTTAATTTAATGGTGGTCCTGTTTACTGGCTTCTATTCTAAGTATTTTTTCAATTGAACAATTAAATAGGTGACAGAGTTCAGGTGATTGCTCTGTACAGATGTCTTCCCAGCAAGAAAAACGGTTTTACCAGTGGCACATTCAGGTTTCAAAATTTCTTGAGATCACAGCGATAAAGTACTCTAACGTTTAAAATTTTTTTCATAGGACACTTTATAAATTTGTAATTTTATTTTTGTATAGGACAATCTTGGTAGCCAATAACGTACAGCTCTTGAATAAAGAGCTCCACCCAACTTTCTCTTCCAAGGATATCTCGAAAATTAAAAAATTTTCAAGACAAAAAAAAGTAAGTTGTAATTTCGAGTTAGCTTCAAAATGGCGCCACCATCATGGTCATAACTGTCCAATAATAATAGAGGTGCTACTGCTCTTGAAGTAAATAATATAGCAACTCTACTTTTTTATTCAACAATAATTCAATGATTTTTAAAACATCAACTTCTAAACAACTTTGATGTGTAATAAATGGACAGAATGTGTTTGAAATTCTATCCAATTCATTGGCGCCCACCATCCATGGGCATGAATACATTAAGAAGGCCATTCTTTGCATGTTGTTAGGGGGTGTGGAGAGGATTCTTGAGAATGGAACCAGAATAAGGGGGTAGGCGTCATCTGTTGTTGTTTTCTTTCTTGCCTCATCGATCAACATCATGATGAAATAGGACTAAATATTTTAATTAAACATTTTTCAAAGTTTAATTAGACTGGTTGACAATGACAGACTGTTAATTATTGAATTATTTCATTGTGCATTAGAGCCTTTGATTTAGCAACAGGCATGATACTGTTAAGTGAATGTAAATGAAATGTTGTTTGTTTCAAAGGGACATCAACATTCTACTCATTGGTGACCCCTCAGTTGCGAAATCTCAACTTTTAAGGTATTTATAATCTTGTTTGATTTCATGAAATTTGGTTTGTATGAACGAAAATGTATTCAGTTTCTCTGAGTATTGAATGATCTTCACTGATCTGATCTTCTTTTATTATATTGTAATGTTTCGTCGGTTGGTCGGTCGTATTATATTATATTATATTATTATATTTTATACATTTTAAATATGTTCAACGGGCAACTTTCATTGTTGTTGGATTGAAATGTTTACTGGCATATAAAACAGTGAGGTAGAGCATCATGTCAGAAATGAACCTCCATCTTGCAAGCATAACATGAATGAGATAGTTAGAATCTGATAAATGTTTTAATACTTTTTTATGCAAGGTAGGCGTTTCAATATTTTTTACAATTAACCATTACAAATTGCATTCTGCTGTCAGGTACGTGTTACATTCTGCTCCTCGTGCTGTCACAACTACCGGACGAGGATCATCTGGTGTCGGGTTAACTGCTGCTGTCACCACTGATCAGGAAAGTGGTTTGTTCAACATACCTAACTTGACTATTTGCAATTATCTCATTAATCCTTTTTTTCAAGTTTATGTTCCCCAAATTTGTTAGATAAAAATTAAAAGTTAGTTTGAAACGATTTATAAAGAAGAATATAGGATGTTTTATACTCTAGCATCGAAATTAAAACAAGGTTGAAAATATAAGATTGACAAATAACACTGTATTATAAAAGAAGATGTACACTGTTTTAAAATTCTATTTGAAACAAGGGGAGCGTCGTTTGGAGGCTGGAGCAATGGTCCTGGCCGATCGAGGTGTTGTTTGCATTGACGAATTTGATAAGATGTCTGACATGGATCGAACAGCCATTCACGAAGTCATGGAGCAGGGCAGAGTAACCATTGCAAAGGCTGGCATCCATGCAAAATTAAATGCAAGATGTAGTGTTCTCGCTGCCGCCAACCCTATCTATGGCAGGGTAAGCCAGTGCACATTATTATGTAAATGCTTTATCAGCCCATTATCGTGTATCTAAATTATCATGCATGCCATCTGAGTTGTCATGCATATTCGTTGTCTGCACAATGAAGAACAAAAATTTGAAACTAAACCATTGGAATGGGGAAACTAGTTTACAATTTTTTTCATCATCTACAATAAATTATGGAAATTTTTAGAGGTTTTGCATTTAGAAAAGCATTAAAATAAATTTAGGAAAACCTTATATGCATTACTATGTATAGGCATTTTCACCTGTATATTGTATATCAACTCATTGCTAGTTTGAGATGGTAATTTGCACCACTTGCCTTGGCCAATGTCTTTAAAGGTTTTCGAACAACTTTTATTCAAGTATTTTTACTTTTCAGTACAATCAGTACAAAACGCCCATGGAGAACATTGGACTCCAAGACTCTCTCCTATCTCGATTTGATCTTCTCTTCATAGTTCTTGATATGGTTTGTAGTGATTTTGTTGAGAGCTTCCATCTTTCCTCCATTACTGTTATTTAGATTTGAAGTAATGGAGTAAAATTCCAATTGAATGAAGTTTTAATTTAACTCATTTTATTAAGTGCATATTTCTTTTTCAGTGTACCTGCTATCACTAATCATGTTATGCATTCCATTTTTTTCTTATAATCAGATAAATCATAATTTTTAACAATTTCTTATTTTGATGTTTTCTGGTCATGTGATTGTGTACATATTTGTCGAGTGGGCAATTGCTTATATTCATTGAAATTGTTTTGTTAGTTTGCAATGAACTGCGTTGGACGAATTTGAAATGATTGAAATTAAATTGTTAGAACGATCCAGAGAATGACAGGATGATATCAGATCATATACTGAACATTCACAAGTTCAGATCTCCAGCTGAGCAAGATGGAGATGGTTAGAAGTTAATGATTTGATTTAATTCATTGCCAATCCTCTTAAACTAAATTACTGCTTGTAACTGCCTGCCACTGCAGCAAGTCTTGCAGTGGTCATTAAATTTTTTTTTAACTTTCAATCATCGTAAAAATCTGATTCCATTATTTTCATTTTACCAGTGCTTCACCTCTCAAGCTCGTTGGACTTGCTGACTACGGAGAGTCTGGATGAGGTGGGAGACGATGATGATGTGCCAATTTACGAAACCTTCCACACCATGCTGGGAGGAGTTGCAAAAAAGTTTCAATTTTTATAATTATACCCACGTATATACACGCCCACACACACACACACGCACATTTTTGTAATAATACTTTTTCAACTGGGAATGGGCCATCATAAGTATTTTTAATTGAGTATTTTTAATTTGATATTTAGGATTAAAAAAGTTGTTGCTATGATGGTTTTATCTGTCAAACTCAAATTACCTTTATTCATGAAACCATAGGAAAATGACTTGCCAAGAAGATTCAACATTCTTGTGAACCACTTGCACAAAATTTACATTTTTATTTTCATGAAAAAAAACAGCCAAAATAAATATTTCTTTGACCTAAAACGATTTCTAAACGTACATAAGTGTACATAATTTACTAAATGTATATAAATCATGAAATCAAAATATTGAATAAATAAAATTAAGTAGACAACAAATTCTTTAACACTGTAGCCAATTTCGTTTCCGTTTAGATGATTTTAATTTGATCAATCCACAAACACACCGTGTCAACAGTTTCAGCGTTTTAATGTTTAAAATAATAGCGCTAAACAAACGTGTTAACATTTAAAGCAAAGCTACTTTTCAAAATCGCCGTAAGGGAGCAGTATGTGAGCCTGAAGTTTATGCGCAAGTACCTCCACGTGGCCCGGGAGATGAAGCCCCAGATGACCAGAGAGGCCGCTGACTACATTGCCGAGGAGTACTCCAAACTCAGAAACATGGACACCGCACCGGAAGATGTTGCTCGGGTAAGGGTTGTCCAAATTCTCAGGCATGCACTGAAATGAACCTCACTGGGGGTTTTGTATTCATCTCGATGTCTAGTTCATTTTTTGTTATTTATCTCATGTCAAGTTCATTAAGGTATCGTTACTTTGAAATAATTTTTAACTTTGGCTTGTTCTATTCTTATTGTGATATTTTAAAAATAATATTAAATTAATATATATATATTTTTCCATTTATTTTATTTTTATTTGTTTATTTGTTAATTTTTTATTTTAATTATTTGTTCAGGTATTTTACTTATATTATTTCATTCTATTTTGTTTGTTATTTATTCATTTAATTATTCATTTGGTTATTTTTTATTATTATTGACAACTAAATGAAACAAGTGAACAAAACATGATATATTCATCAAAAATAAAAGAATTATCAAGATTGAACAAAAAGCAAAATCAAAGCTGTTAAATTAAATTAAATCAAAATAATTAAGACACATTATAGCACCATACTGGGAGCTGCAAAGCCGTAAAATCAAATAAAATAAAAAAATATTTTAGAAATGTTTCATTATACTTTCAATCAATAATTTCATGTTTCATTGAAAGCAATTTATTCGAGAATAAGTCAACTCATTTATATTCCAGACACAACCTGTCACTGCTCGTTCCCTGGAGACGATGATTCGATTGTCCACGTCGCATGCCAAATGTCGTCTCTCGAAGACCGTTGAAATCCAAGATGCTCAGGCTGCTTTAGAATTGATTCACTATGCTTATTTCAAAAAGGTGTGCACACAATTTTACTAATCTTATTTAAAACAAAAATCTTTATTAGGTTTTATACACTTTTTTAAAATTCACAAACAGCGTAAATGAATACTTACTAAACTATGCATCTTTTTATCATATTCGAACCCTGTTATTATTTGCACTGCAAACAGGACCAAGCGCTTCAATCACTAGACCATCACGCCATCTCTCATAAATTAATTATTTTGAAAGTTTTTGCTCTTGTAATTCCTAACAGTAAGTTATTCTCGTATTGTATAAATCTTATTTGCAGTGGTTTTTATTTATTTATATCTTGCATTGAGTTAAATTTTTGGATAATGTGCTGTCAAAACTTTAAACTTATTGATAACTGAAAATCTTCTAGCAAAAAACAAGCAATTCTGAGCTAACTATTTTATTATATTACTCACGAGTAAGGAAAGTCCGCTTATTGGACTGTCGTTCACGCTGTAGAAAAAAGGACAAAACGCTTAATAAAACAGATCTGTCACTGTCATAGATCTGCAGCAACGTTTAAACTTTCAAAATTAAAATTTATAAACGTACATGTCTAACTATTCTCTTGTCTGCACATCAGCAAATTGCACTAAGAGAGAAATTTTCAACAAACAAATTAGGGCCAAAAAATGCAGTTGCAATAAACGTCATTGTTTGAAACGCTAAAATATACAATGAACGTGATTTGAACATAATGTGTAGGTAACTAAGGTAATTGTTCTAAGGTTTGCACATTTTTTTCTCAATATGCTGATTCATGTTACATATTCTTCATAATGGATGTTTTAGAGTTTATTCGAATCATTGACAGGTTTTGAAGAAAGATCGCAGAAGGAAGCATGTGAGTGATAGTGAAGGAGAAGATGAAGTGGAGGAGGAGGAAGAAGGCAGTTTGAAACTACAGAAGAGATCGAAAAGGTAGAAAATAATTTAACTTGTTTGATGGCAGCGTCAATTGAATGCAAATAAATTTATTGTCAATGTTTTTGAATAAGGTCAAGGTTAGGAGATGATGACGTTGAAACTGGTAATGAAAATGAAGACAAAAACAACGTGGACAACAGAGTAACAGGTTTCGATCATATCAATACAGCATCCTGACCTTTAATAACTTTCTCTTTTATTCAATTCTTTGATTTGATCATCGATTTGCTATTCTTAATTTAAAGAATATATAACTGCTGGTGACGACCCTTGTTGAACATTTTTGTAACGTTTGTTCAACTCTGTGGCGGCAGTTGCTCAACACTGTTGCAACAACTAGATTATTTATTGCTTACATATTTTAATTTTAAAATACATAGTTTTCAAATAATTACTCCGAATCTTATCGATTATATCGCTAAATTTTTTAACAGATTCTATGACTAGCAGTGCTATTGCTGAAAAGGAGGATGATCAACTATCTGGAACAAAGTTATTATTTTTTCCCTGAAAAAATTTTTATTTTATTATGTCACGAAAATTGTTTTGGGATACTTGGCTTAAAAAGTTTTGATGTATTGTTGAATGGTGATTTAGCCCAGAAATTAACAAATGACATCGGGATTACACTTCAAGAGTAATCAGCTTGTACTGTTTGGTAGTGAGAAGGCTTTGTTGATCAGCCATCCTACTGGGCAGCCGTGTCAACTCTGTTTTCTATTTGGCTGAATTCTGTTTTTTGTTGTTGATTGAACTAAATGGTTTATATGAAAATTATATAGACGCAGATCATTTATTTTATTTTAAATTTTGACGGTTCTAGTTAAGGTAGTTAAGGGTGACTTATCTTTTTTAGCCATTTTACTGAAATATTAATAATATAAATAATAATTATTTTCCACAGGTTGCAACGTATCCGTGGTTTTATCTTCAAAAAATTCCAAGCAGATCACTCTCAATCATTGTCTGTAGATTTAGTTTGGTCCTTTGTTGAAGCACAACATGCAGCTGAAGTTATAACTCGAAAGGACTTTGATAAAGCCATTCAGCATATGCACGATCAAAATCAGATCATGTTGCACGAACAAACGATTTACCTAATTTAAAATTCTTTGTAGATTTTGTATTAAAGACTAAAATTAAATATTTTAGAGACTATTTTTTATTTTTGTGAAAGTCTATGATGAAACCCTGAGTTCTTTTATGATTTTATTTCAAGGTCCAAGGCCGTTGGATAACTTATAGAATTTTATTAAAGAAACGGCAACAAAATAACTTTTCTTTAACAAAACAGTTACATAAAATAATTAAATAGTAGATGTCTTAAATAGATTAACCGTGATTTAAAAGTTTTTCTTCCTTCGTCCAGTGAGTACCGTTGTAGTTTTGACCCCTGGAGTTCTGCTTGTCAATAAATCCAGCGTTCGAAAAATTTACGCACATATATCGAGTGAGATAACGGCTTGCTACAGTCAGTCAGTACGAGTGCAATGCGTTTACTGTCTCACCACGACCTGATTCTACACTCCACCCTTTAAGCAGAGCTTTTAACTGCTGCTCGTCTAGTTTTTCATGCCCCTTTCTTTTCTCATATTTCCATATCTTGTTCTCTATCTCTTGCACTGGCTACCTATAAAATATATAATAATTTTTAAAATTTGCACATTTGTGTATAAGTCTCATTCTAAATTATTTCCTAAGTATTTATCAGATATATTAATTGAACCTAAACGCCCCGGTTTACGATCGTCTTCTTGTTCTCACTTCTTATCTCGTGTTAAACACTTGCTAAATCTGCATTTGCCTTTTCTGGCCCTTTTCTCTGGAACTCTCTACCTACTTCTACATCACATACGAAGTTCAGAGCGGATCTCAAGATTCATCTGTTTGCAACATTCATTGAGGAGCGCTGTTGAACATCGCGGAAATAGCGCTTAATAAGCTATTTGATTGATTGAAGGTGCATTGTTTTAAAGACTTAACTAGTTCTAGGCATGAGTTAAAACAGGACCTAGCCCTTTTACAATTTCGGTAGATAATATTGAAAACTGAGGTTTTTATGTGATTGAACATTTTTGCCGATAGAGACGTACTACTATATCAAAAGAAAAAGTAGTGCGTTAGCAGGCAAGTATGTTTGGATGTGAAATGCCGATCTGCAACTGCAGGTAAGAGCACAATGTACACCGTCCACGACACCAACTCCGCGAACATCTCACTACGACCAATGAATGGTGCATTGTAAATTGTGGTGGTGAAACGCGCCAAGCCTCCTGGAACGAGTTAGGTTATGAAAATAAAAATATTCAATAAATGGGATTGCAAAATAAATTATTAACAAAAATAGTCAAAAAATATAAATGAACCAAGTTACTCTATCCAGGCAGGTTCCTTCATTCTCGAAGCCTTTACTAACAACATTATGGCTTTAAAATCTGAAGATAAAAAGATAATTTATATTAAATTTGCTATCTATATCATGGATATGATTATATTCATGATCTACATCAATGATATATCCATGATCTATGTATTATTTTTCTCTTGTTTTACTTATACTATATTATCGTCCAACCGCTGCCTGCCTAAGGAAACAAAAATGTTGAAGGCTTTCACTTGCAGACGATTGAATTTCAAACGATGTAAGAATATTTGTCAAGGCTAGTTAACCTATTGATAAATTCTAGATCACGAATTTACCAATTATTTTAGAATTTAATAAATTATTAAATTTTAATTTAATTTATTAATTGTTTTTTAATTAATTAAATTAAAATAAATAATAAAAAGTGTATAAATTAGCAGGTCGCACGATTTTTTTAAAAAAATTTTTTTCGTATATAAACTACTTTTTCTTATAAAGTAAAATTTGCTGATTAAAATAATACTAAATTTATTATTGTAGCATTTATAGTTACCGAGAAAACGAATTTTGAAAGAATTATTTTTACTTTCAACTTGCGCCATGTTAAGAGTGGCGCTCAATGTTAAGTGAGCATGGAGCGTTACATTCGCGCACAAGACGTGAAAAGAACGATTTAAAATTGAACACAACACAATTTTTCTTCTTGTTTTTATAACAGCTGTAAAATAAGAAAATAATAATTATGAATAATTTATATTTATAATAAAATTTAATTATAAATGATTAATTATAATTATAAAATAATTATATATGTATCTATAATTTATATATATTATTTATATATTAAAATTTAATAATCATAATCATATTACAATGGTATTTATATTTTTATATCATATAATATATTATAATTTATATATATATATATGTTGGGCAGCTGTTGAACTGCATGAAGGAGCTTCTGGGTTCAGACTGGTTGGCTGACCAATAACTTTAAAATAAATTGATAATGAATTGAACAAAAAATTATGTCTCAACTATTTTTTAATTTTATTATTTTTACT